TTTTCAGAGGATGTGTCCTCTGCTCCTTCAGACACTAAAATTAGCCTGAAAACAGACAGGGAGGTGCAGGCAGCATCCTCAGCCCAGCAGCTGGGCTGGATAGGCTCAGCCAGGGGCTGCATCCCTGGGATCACACCAGGCAGATCTGGTGCTGCCTTCAGCAGAGCAGCTGTGGGGTGCTGCAGACAGCAGCTACAGAGATGAGGGGTTTTGAGGCAAAAGGGGAGATTTCCCCCAGCCACTTTTGCTGTCCCTCTCTCTCTGCTGGGCTGGCATCAGAGGTCTCACTCCCAGCCAGCACGCTGACTTTCATAACAGTGAATTATAACTTGGCACTTCTGTGGCTCTCTCTAGTTTAAAGCCATGCTGAAACATTATCTAATTAATTCACACAATAGCCCTGGAAGGCAAGAAAGGGAGGTAGGAAGCTGAGTTACTCGCCCAATGACAAACACTGAGTCAGTGCAGGAGTGGGAGGAAAACTCAAGGGCCCTGGATGTTTAGATCTGAGATGGCATTCTTCTTGTTGCAACAGCAGTTCTGTCATTTAAAAAATAGCACCTGTATATTTAATTACAATTCCAGCCAACTACTCCTAATTAATACATTAAACAGGGACAGAAAATGTTATCCTAATTAGCACCCCCCCCAAAATTAAAAATCACATGCTTTTCACTTCTGTACGATGTTAACCAAATCAATTAAAAAGTATAAATATGTGCTATAAGCAAAATTAGCCAAACCCCCTTTTGAAGACAGAGGCTGCCCCACTGACAGGGCTGCTCAGGTGCCCCTGCTCCTGGTCCCCACTGCAGGCTGCAAGGGGCTTGGCATCACAGGAAAAGCCACACAACCATCCTGCCACCACCACAGCACCTGCAGGACAATCTGAGGTGCTTCCTCCCTTCCCTCAGTATCTTTTTATTGCATAAAAAAGAAACGCAGAACTGTAAGGGGGAAAGGAAAGGTGTTTGTAGAAATAAAGACTATGAAAATGTCACCAGCACCGTTATAGCAGGAGAGCAGACCAATGAAGAAAAACAAATAATAAACCAGGGATTTATTCACAGAAACTATCCTTACAGGAAGTAATGGGCAATTAGAAACAGTGTTCCATAAACTCACATCAACAGTAGAAATATTGTATAAAACACATTTCTAGGTGTGAGGGGTTAGAAGAGGTATGTTCAGAGATTTAATGTAATCCTTAATGTAATTCCAGAGGTCCATTAATCGGCTGGAAGACCTTCTATAGGAATACAATTTCATTAAAATATTCAGTAGTTATAGACTGAAGAGGAAAAGGCCAACTGCAGCTAATTACCCTAAGGAAAAAAAGTCTGCACAGTACTCAGAGTACCTGACTGAAATGGGGGGATGGAGGGAGTGGAAAGACAAAGTTGCAGGAAAATGCAATTAATGAAATATACTGCTAGGAAAATAAACTGAAGCAGCATTAAAAAGAACTTGAACTTTACACAAGGGAATATTGAAAGGGGGAAATGGAGTGCATATGTGGAGAGGTTGTAGAAGGAGAGAAAGCTTGGTTTGAAAGATATTTATATGAGCAGAAAAAACCCAAATTGTGGATTAAGGCATCTATTGATGCAAGTTAAAACATGTTTTCTAACAAGCAATTTAGATGAAAATAATGTCATGCTGCTTTGCTTTTCTGACCAGCAATTATTTAATCAGAAAGCTGTATTAGGAAAAAAGTCTGTTAGTAGGATGGAGTATCTGACTATGAAAATGTGCTGTGTGGTAGCCAGCCAGTAGCTAATGCATCTTCAGCTCTGGGGCTTTGCTTTTGTATCCCTGTTCTCCCCAGGGAATTTGTTTCAGTTCATACCAGGTTGGTTCTGTTGGTCTGGCCATGTGATAATGATACCCAGCCCCTGGAAGCCTTCCAAGGAAGTTGGTGAACAGGGGATTGCTGTACTTTGCTGGTTTATAGCCCAAATGGCTCTCAATAATTGAACATTAGTGTGGTGGGAAAAGTACCAACAAAACTTTTATGATAAATCTTCACCATCCTCCAGGACTCCAGGTCAAATAAATAAAGACATGCACAATTGGCATGCTGGTTTTAGCATCAGCAGTTATGAAAAATGTGGCACATACATAGATTTTCCTTGAGCAGCTCATTTTTCTGTCCTTCACTAACCTTTTCCTCTCCCAGTAATGGACTACTTTTTACATCAAGCATTTTGTAGCAGGCTGAGGCTAAAGGGCCCACATCTCCATCAGAAAACTGCTGTACTTTCAGCCAAGCAAGAATATTTTCTGGTGCACTAGGAGACCATTATCCCCTCCCTTGCTCACTTGGGGGTTGGAGGCAAGCTGAACCAGGAGCTCCTCCTCCTCCAGCCCCAGTTTGGTAGGATCTGCCCTGAAAACAGAGGTTCTGTTTGCATTCCCCACACACGACCCCAAGGCCAAGAATGCAATGGATCAGCAGCAGCTTTTCCATACATCATGCACGTGGCTCGGACAACAACCAAGCCCTTTGCCAACACCCTGCCCAGCATCACTGAGCTTGTATAAAAATTTGATAAAATTGGCACTGATGGGCTTCATGGAGTTTCACCAAATGTTATCGACTTGGTCCTGCTAAACTCCTCCTCTAGAGGGCATGGAGAGGTTTTTGGGAGCATGTGCCCCACATCCCAGGCTGCTGTGGCCTCTCCAGTAGAGCACCTCGATTTCCTGCACACTGTGTGCTACAGACAAAGCCTGTGTTAAACAACCCCTCAGGAAATTAGCATTAATTAGCAGAGTGCTGCAATCCTGCAAGTGACTGCCACTTATCCCACTAATGTTGGCTCCACACTACGGGGAGCTCTTAGAATTTCTGACATTAAAATTGTTACTGGCCACAAATAAGATGTAATTGATATTCTTTCAGAAATGGAAAAAGTACGGTAGGATACTCTGCAGCATTATTAATTAGTGCTAAATCAAATATCAAAGGATGAAAATAACACTGTATTTAGCAATCAAGTTTATTTTAATAGATGCAATCAGAGTCCCATGACTTACAATTTTGCCTCTAAGGGGAATGTTCTCACTGAGGAAAACATGAAGAAAAAAAAAAAAGACAAAAGCGTACATTTAGGTAGGCTCCTCTCTCACTCCAGAGTTGTCTGTGCCATTTGCTAGTTCTGGCAAGATTTCTGTTTTCCTTCTCATATGACCACTCACACTTTAACCTTGTTTTTTCCCAAATATCCTGAGCTACTGTTGGAACCACTCAGTGCAAAACAAAACCAACACCCTGAAAATCCTGTTTGTGCAGCATTTAGTATGAAATTGTAAACTCTGTGAATTTAGCTGCAGATTTCCTGTTCTCTGTTGTCTCTTTGTATTTAAGGGGGAAGTGAACGGTGACACAGGTGTGCCCGTGCAGCAGCAGCTGGGGACTGGCACCTGCCAGCAGTGGGACCTGTCAGTGCTGGCCCAGGAGAGGCTGTTGTGGTCACAGTCTGCTCACTGTGACAGGGCTGGGCTGCAGGAGCACCCTCAGAGCCCTGAGCTGAGCCGGCAGCTCCTGAGTGTGCTGTGACAGGTGAGAGCGCGGAGCTGCCACACAAAGCACGGGCAGGAGAGCTGTGAGACTCACCTGCACACTGCTACCTGCACAGGCAGCCTGGCTTCTCTGTCTGCACAAGGAGCTCCTCTGCCTGCCAGAGCTGCCATTCCAGGGACAGTCACAGCTTCTTTCCACACCAGCACCCAGCACCAACAGGGAACCAGGCAGAGGAAGAGTTGAGTCAAACAAAACACTGCCTTTTGGATGCTGTTAGAGATTGGAGAGAGGCTCTTCTGCAGTACAACTCCTGCCTTCCTGCTGGTTGTCACCACAGCCTTTGCTGCCAGCTGGTACAATCATGATATAATATTTTATATAAATATATACATCTCACAGCATTTCCTGAAAACATTCTTTCTCATTCAGCTGGTCAGGATGCTGGAGGGGAGGGAGGCGTCTGGATGGCGAGGCTGCAGGATGATCGCTGCTGTCGGACTGTGAACTGCAAGAAGATGTACTTGTTCTCCCATGGTGTAAGTGGCATTTGTCCTCCAAACTTTGGCATAAGGACCTGAACCACCAGCACCAGCAGTATCCTGACCTAGGCAAAACATACATTGCAACATAGACTGGCTGCTCAAACCATGAAAACTTCATTTACCATCACTGCTTCAAGAGCCAGTGGCCCTAATAACCCAGAGACACTGACAAACCAACCTGTTACATTCTCCAAGTGCTGTTGTTCATCACAGTCAGGAGAGCTTTGCTGACTGACCCAGGTGAGACCAGGTCCCTGTGGGGATCACCAGATAACAACAAGCAGACTGAGGTGGATCCATAGAAGAGGTGCTTCCTCAGGTGCCTCAAGCTTCATGTTGCCTTAAAAGCCAGGTAAAACAGGTCCTTGCATAATAAACTGTATTTACTGCACCTGAGCAGAAGCCTGCAGTTCAGAGCAGTGCGTGTACTGATGCTGCCTACAAATCTCTATTTTAGCCATTCTTTATACAGTGGTCTATCACCCATAATACACAGGAAGTGCATGCAATATACAGGAGATGCACATTTTAATGTCCTCGTGGGCTGTGGGTCTGCTATTGATTTGACTGATACTGGGGAGAAAATTGCTTTTGGTAGTGCTTTTCCTGGTTCTTGACAGGGCAAAAGAATTCACAGGAGGTGCAGAGCTCACATGTGTTGGAGAAAGGGCTGCACACACCCCTGCTGCACAGGCCCCTTCCCCATATCTCCAATCCAGGAGTGGGTTTTCCTTAGCCTTGCTGGGCATGTGCTGCCGGCTGCTGTGTTTTCCTCCTGCTGCCCCGACCTGGGGAGAGCCTGCCAAGTGATGGCCTGTCACACTGGGAAGATGAAGAGGTGGATTAGACAAAACAAACAGAGAGGAAAAGCAGCTGAAAGCCAGGGGCAGATATCTGCTGGCCTTGTGAAGCCTCACATCTGTGGGGTACAAGAACACTGCCAAATACACGTTATCCAAGAGTTTTAACACAATTTATTTTATGCTTAAATAATCAACTAGATCATCCAGTGTTTGTTGTTTTCATACATATGTAATTAGAGCTATTATCAATGAATGCTGTTTCCATATGAATATAATCAACAAATTAAAGTATTTCACCAAAAACCAAATAAAAATGCCCTTTAAAACACAGCAGCCTTAACAACCTAATATTACACTGCTAGGATGATTACAGATGATTGGCTTACTGAAAGATTCTACATCTTATAGCCAGTACACAATACAGTAATAATTTTACAGCGTGCTGCCAGTCTATTAGCTAATAATTTCTCTTCAGTTCATTTAAAAATATCCCAAACTTGTGCTCCTTAGAGCACCAACCCACTTCTAAAGCTGCAAGCATTACCCCCATTATAAAGCAAGAACAGATAGCACCCCCCTCCCCATAATGCAACTACTGTATATGTTATGGGTCTTAGGTCATTTCATTGAAAAATTGGCAACAGCAACAAATATTAGATGAAGGGCTTTGTGTTTACAGATAAAATCTTATTTTTCATGTTGCGGAATAGTGTTTGCAAAACTGGAAAAGATTTAATCAAAATAAGGTGAAACACATGCATCAAAATATTAGTACTCTGAAGAAAAATTTTCACAGAACTACAGAATTCCTCATTTTGGGAATCATTTAAATTTGCAGCAGATTTTAAAGATTTTTTTAAAATCAAGCTAGCGATTTTGCATATACAAACATTATAATTGCTAATATACAAGAATCTGTGAAGATACACCCAGAATATCCCTGTAGGTGCAGCCATTTGAGACACCTAGCCTGCTCAATGCATTTGCAATATTCTGTTTGTGATCGAAAAGGCAGTGCCTTATCAACACTTATTCTATTTTGTTAGAATTTATACAGTGTTATTTATTTACAGCAAAACTATTGATGTTTAAAAAAGAAACAAATAGTGTTTTATACCCTGACAGTTTGGGTCCAAGAAAAATAAGGCGAGCTGTTGTGGATTTTAGTATTTTTAGTGTCTTTCCATGGTTTAACCATTTCGTCTTCGCACATCCTCTCTGGCCACAGGAATTTATTTCTTTTGAGATGACATCAAACTGCTTGAGAGAAGCTGTTAACAGCATGGCATCTTGTATATACACTGCATTGGTAACTGAGCACCCTCCAATCCTGTGAATGAACGTGAATTTCCATGCTCTGTAAATTGGCTCATGCTAAATTAATTTTTTTGTTTGGGATTTTTTTTGTATGTTTTTTTTTCTTTTTGCATAAAAACCATGCGGTTAATGTGGGGAAGCAGCAAACACACGCACACTTTTATAGGTGAATGTTTTAATTCCTGTTGATTTTTCTTCCGTGAGTGTCCCTCTAGAATACTGGCAGTAAAAGAACACTGTGGAGAGAAAACAAAGAACAAATAATTTCAGAAATATCTTGTTAGAATCAGTTTCATGCCTTTCCCTGACTAAACAGAAATGTAATTGGAATTCTGCAATAGGCTAAATCACACAGCTTCTAGGTAGGCAATGGCATTAGCTGAGCTCCAGCGTGAGGGGAAAATGCAGCTGCAGATGTCCACACTGCTCATGAACTGATTTATAATTACGTTTGCAGCAGACTGCATTTCATCATCCCGGACATGCCACCAGCTCATCTGATCCACTGATGACAAGGAATAGGTTCTTTCGTTGTGGAAGGAGCAGCATCATCTCCAGACAGAGAGAGCTGCTGCTTTCACAGCATGTTTTTGTTCATTGTGTGCAAGCATCCCCACAGTGATGGAAAACCTGCTCTCCTTGCACATCCACCTCTGCCAGTTGCTCAGGGAACATTCCTGCAGAGGCAGGAATGCAGCACCCAGCCTTTAGGAGGCTTGGTGAAGGACAAAAGCAGCGACAAGGAGCAGCGCCATCCATCTCCCTCCCGCCTGGCTTGCATGAGCGGCACAAGGAGAGACAGTCCAGCTCCTGCTCTCTGACCCCTCCAACAGAGCCATGCACATAAGGACAGCAAGTCTGTGACATGTGTTGCACAACAGCAGCAGAGAGGGCAGTCAGCAGAAGCACAAACACAGCAGTGAGCAGGAGTGGAAGCCCTGCAGCTCTCAGGCACCTGGGCACAGCGCAGCCGGCAGGGCTCAGGCTGGCACGGACATGCCTGCTCACTAATCAGGTCACAGGTCCACACACATCCCCCAGGAGTGCTCACAGTCTCCTTCCACGCTACAGCAATCTGTCCTTGCCCACAACTACAGTTGCCATAAATCTGTGCTGCTGCTGAGAGCCGCCTGTTCCCACTGCAGCAGTCACGGCAGCTCACACCGCGCTGTCCTGCGGAACTGCACGCACGAGTTCTTGGCTTCTCCTGTCAACCTATGCCTCACTGTGGGCTTATCTGCAGTGGTGACAGGGACATTTCCACAGCAAAACCTAGCTAACATCATGATTATTTTCAAACACCTCACCTCTGCCTGCCCAACAGGATTTTTTTTGTCTTTTGTGATTACAAAACAAACAGTTTTTCTATAGAATCCCCTCTGCCTCTGCAAACACATCCACTTCTGCATCCAAATGAAATGTTTTCAATGGGCTCTTGACCAGACTCACAATTACGTAGTGCTCATTTGGCCATGCTCATCATATCAAAGTTTGGAGCATAGAGATTCATCTTACAGGACACAGTTCCCCCCAGAGCAAAGGTTCATTATCTAAGGCAGACTCCCTGAGTTCCTCAGGGGCTCCAGCATGGAAGACCTGCCTACTGGAAATCACAGGAGAAATGCATCAGCAGTCATGGGAGCAGGTCTGATTCTGAGGAGCTCAGACTCTGGCCTCCTGAAGGTCAGACTGTTTCATACATTAGGCAAAGACTGCCTAATTTATGTAATGTTATTTTAAAAATAAATGCTTATCCCTGGTGTCTTTTGCATCAAACTCGTACGCTGGCAGGCTCTTCAGCTGCATTGCTTATGGGGTTCAATGCTTGAATTTATGGGGTTCAATTGCCTTCAATGCCTGAATTTACACATTTCTGCTGCTCTGCCCCTGCAGACTGACAGTGGAAGCAGCACGGGACCCAACATGGGACACAATTTCATATAAACAGTGTCATTGCTTTGGCTTGCTTTACTCCCACATGCTTGAGCTCCATAAAGGGGAAAGCTGTGTCAAAAGAATCACCTCCTCTTTCCAAACAATAAATATTTTATGAGTGTGTTGAGCACCAAGTCACGAGAAGCTGTATTATTCTATCAGCACACACAGGAGGACTCTCAGTAAAAGCAGGAATTCAGGTGGATGCAGTAGGTGCTTACCAGATACTGAAATCACACCAGCCACCTCACAGAGCTTGCTCCTTGGGGCTTGATCCCCTAAATCCCTCAGCTAGATCCCACACACTGAGTGCTGCTTCTCCAAATGGCTCTGCTCACATGCACAGAGCACCTGTAGGGCCAGGGGGCTGTAGGGGCTACCTTACATTGCATCAGTTAGAAGGGACTGGTGACTCAAGAGAGACTCTGCTTCTGTCTGTCCTTTCCTCACTATCTGGTCCATTTGCCAGGTCCTGTTTATTCTGTTCTTACAGTCAATCCTATACCATATGCACAGTAAAAGGATAATTGCACTTCATAAACTCTTCCTCTGTCCAGTTCCTGAAACCCAGCAAAGCTAAGAGAGAAGAGCAGAAAAAAGACATGTCTGTGTTAAACCTACACACTTGGAGCCACAACTGATGGACCAGCGCTGAAAGACACACAGGCACATCTCTGTGTGCAGCTATGTCAGTGAGACAAAACAGCCTCTGGCTTCTTTTCTTCACATCTTTACAGAGTGCCCTGCAAGGGTGTCTCAGTCTGTAATTTGGGTTTAGCTTGTGAAGCCCTTAAACCATCAGCTGCTGCCTTGCTACAATCGTTAAGGCTGGATCAATAAAATTCACAAGGAACAGTTGGTAGAGATTATTTGTTGGCAAATATTGAGACACTTCACTCACAAGGACTTTGACTTGCATAACTGCCCTCAGATCACATGTCTGACAGTGGAAGAAGCATTTCACTCCTAGGTTTATTTGTGTTTACTATTTGTGTTTAAGTTTTTAAGGGTAGACAATTCTGTGTATTACAAACACTGTAAAATTCTGAGAAATCTTACACATGCCCGAGTTTTGCTTTGTTTTATTTTCCAAGAAGTGGAATATAGATATATAAAGATTAATTTTTATATGTGAACACAAGGTCATTTTCTGCTTACAAGATCAAGGGCCAGCTATTCAGGTGTGCAGCTGGAAAGCAAAGTCAGGGCAGCAGAGGCAAGCCTTTGTGCAGCCCAGTGCTGTTCCTCATGCTGGCAAAAGCTTTCAACAAGGGAAGAAAATTGATCACACTCACCGTTCAGTGGTTGGCTTTCAGCTTTCATGAGTAACTCTTCTTCTCCACGTGTCTGACTTCTTTCTTTGTCTTAACCTTATAAGCTTCTCCCTGCTTTAAAGGAAAAGTATAAACATTAACACAGTCTGCAGAGAGCCCTCGTAATTGTAAACCAGCTTCCAAAAACAGGATACACATTTTGCTGTAACAGGATAAGTAAAAAGCAGTTAAATCACATTAACACTTCATTTCAAAGATACACACAATCTATTTACCCACTCTGCTGAGCTGCAAAAGCACAGGTCTGAAATATCATCTTCCAAGTAGAAAACACAGCTCTACAGTTTCAGCCTGACCCTGGGCTGGAGTGCCCGGCTGGCAGTCTGTCCTTGGCACAGCCCCTGCTGCCAACTGCAGTGGGGGCCAGTGCCACTGACAGGGAAAAATCCCCTTCCCAGCTGTCCTCCTGGTCAGCCAAACTGCTGGGCACTCCCAACAGCAGAGCCTGTGCCTGCTCTTGTGATGTTTCACAACGTCTGTGCTTCAAAGTGAGCAGGTTAGTAACACAATAAAGGGAAGAGGAAGAAAGCCAGCAAAAACCACCATGAAGCAGCACAGAAGTAAAACCAATGACAGTGACAAGCAGAGCAGGTTTCAGCATCTTTAAAACAGCCAACCCCAAAATAAAGTTCATCTTTGCTCATTAAAAGTAGCTCAATAATCATCTAAAAATAAATTCTCCAGTAATCACAAGCCTCATTCACATCAGAGAAAGGCATCTGTTTATGGGTGGCTATGGGCAGAATTTACCCCTCAGGTGATCTGCATTGATGTATTTGTAACTATTTGTAGTTTCCAACTAATCTAATCTAGTGCAGCAAATTGAAAATGTTTACCCCTTGCTGGGCAGGATTTTTTTTCCTTCATGAACAACTAGGAAAGAGGGAATGGAAATAAGTTTGTCTCCATTCTCTTATTTCTGTGACTTTTTTCCTTTTTCTTTTTTTATTTTAGTTGCCAGTAAAGAAAGGTTATTTGTTATCTTCCTTTCTGAATCTGTTTTCACTCAGACAAGAATTTCATTAGCCCCAGTGACAGTTTTACTTGAGCAGAGATGTCTGAGGGCCATGTGCTGGGGAAGAAGGCACGAGCTCCTCTGAAGCCATTTGTTTTCAGAGGCAGTGCCCATTCCCCCAAGGCCTCCAGGGGACAGATGACAGCTGAGGCACAGCCTGCCCACTGCTGCCCCTGTCACTGCAGCCCTTCCCAAGAGGGGCTGGGGTGTGCTGGCACACAATAGTCCTACTCTTCCCGCTGTCAGGGTGACAAAGCTGGGCATAGTCCAGGCCTGCAGAAGCCTTCCAATTTTGATCCCCAGGGACAAAATCCTGTCTTGGTGCTTGCTTGTAAAGGATACCATTGCTTGGGTATGTTCTCATTGACCTGAATCCTGCAAACCCTCAGTCACCAGCACCAGGGGTATCACACCAAGGTGAGAGAGAGGCCACTGGGATCAGACTTCAGCTCATTCCTCTGGGTCGGTGGAAAAGCCACACAATCCACCTACAGCTGCAAGGCACAGATTCTGCAAGGGCTGAACCAAACACACAGACACTGCTCAACCTGATGGCACAAAGCAGGCCCCAAACACACAGCTCAGACCTGCTGCCTGTTTTACAGAACAGACCTGGATGCCCTGTGCTGACAGAATTCAGCCGGGCCCCCCAGTGCTGCCCCTGCCCCATGATCCCAACACACAACTTGCCAGTAACTGCAAGCACTGCACTTCTTGCCAAGGCTTCTTGTTAAATGCAAACCTCCAGCCCTTTAGCAGCACTTTCTAGCAGTCAACACAACCCTCTGAGCCTACTGTTACTTGCTGGTAGTCCCCGTGGCATTACCATTTCACCAACTTTCCTCTCATGGGGGATAACAACACGTCTCACCACCTTCCGGGTGATCTGTGGGAAGCAATACACGAAAAGCATCGATTTTTATTTTTTTCCTAGATTCTAAAGGGAAAAAATATGTTAAAAGAAGTTACTTGAAAGCAAAGACTCAGAGCAGTGATGTAATTCATGATTACTTTTCTCGTGATGACGTTGCCTTCTTCATCGGTAAACTGCTCCTCTGTTACAGATTCACCAGGAATGTTTTTTGCTTCCTCACCCTAAAGAACGTGTTATAAGATTAGCAATAGAGCCTATATTCTGTCAAACCCACACAAATTTCCACACCAATCCAAGCAACAAGCACATGCTAGCTTCAACTTTATGTAACAGTTTGCTTTATGCCACACGAACTGTTGGAAAGCCTCGTTCGTTTAGCAATGCAATACCTGTGCATTTGTCCTACAACATGTTTCCTTAAAGCCTGTAGGGAGCTTCTAGCACACTGATCTTATTAACTAATGCATGTCAGGAACTCTCTGGGCAACAGAATCGAGTGGTCAGTCTGAGCCCTATGAGAAATCCCTTTTCACAGCATCTCAGTGAAACTCAGCAGCGTTTCTGCTTTGGCACACGTAGAAACACGGTCTAACAAGGGGGAAATTTGGGACTTAGAAAGACAGCTCTGCCTATAGCTTGCTAAACACGAGGTTTTAAACACAAACACAGAAGACAGACAGGACTTCTCAGCACTTACACGATGAAGGAAGTTGTCTTACGTGACACTTTGCCCGGCACGGTGCCACCGTGGCGAGGCACCCGGGCAGCCCAGTCCATGACTTACTGAGATCAGCAGCACTGCAGCCATCACTTCTTGTAGCACCAGCAATTTATAGCACCAGTGTAAATAAATGTAAAAGCAGTTTCCTAGCTGCTATGCCAGTGACTTAATTCCACTTAAAGGAATTACTGCTTAAATCATAAATAAATGACATTAGTTTAGAGTCTGAGCCCAGTTGGCAGTGATGAACTTATGTTCCAAAAGAACTTTGCTAACTTTACCTCACAAAGTTGTATTTCCAAACCTGTGTGCTGAAGCAAGCACTGCTTTTGATGCTTCAAAAATATCAATTTTTTGTGCTTATATCTTTCATATAAGAAAAGCAAACATAATGTAACTGTAGCTGCCCTACATATGAAAAATTTCCACTTGCAAATCAATAACCTAAACAAACAAAAAATCCCTAAAACTTTTCTTCTCCCCTCACTCTCAACCCACTATGGAAAAATTACAAGTAGAGGGAGGAAGCAGAAAGAAAACACTGTATAAAACACATTACATCAATATTAACTACAAAACACTATTTGAAAGGAGACTATTACAGCTTTTGTAATGCTTCGATGTACTGAACAGCACAGGACAAATATATTTTCTATTTACTGTGGTCTATACACTGCATAGTTGTCTATATAAGCTCCTGGCACTGCTTTATAATAAACAAATACAGTGACGCCATGTGTGTTTTTTAAAAACAGTATTCCCTACCAAAGCTGCTTTTTCAAGATGTACAATGTAACATTGGGATTGTATGCTATTTCTAAGCTCTAAGCAAAACAAACCTTTCCTTTTGTTTACAAGCCACTTGTGGTCTTTTCTAGCCAAGCTTTTCCATTTTCCTTGCCTGGGGACAATGGCAGCAGGCAGGAGCCAGGGGGGAGTACTGCAGAGCAGAGCCTCTGGCCATGTTTGCCTCTTCACAAGTACAGAATTTCTGCTGGTTTCGCATTGAAAACTGTACTGAAGTCATCACTTAAGCAAGGGAATTCAGATATTTTACACATCTTTTTCCCCAGGCTTTCACAGGCTGTTTAGCAAGCTGTACAACCTGCTGAACTTTGGTGCTTCAGGAAGCGCTGCCAAGAGAAGGACAGGCTCCACAGCCAGGTGGGTTCCAGCACAAAGGGACACAAGGATGAGGTCCTGGTGCTTCAGGAAGCGCTGCCAAGAGAAGGACAGGCTCCACAGCCAGGTGGGTTCCAGCACAAAGGGACACAAGGATGAGGTCCTGGTGCTTCAGGAAGCACTGCCAAGAGAAGGACGGGCTCCACAGCCAGGTGGGTTCCAGCGCACAGGGACATAAGGATGAGGTGCTGTGCCTCAGACACACCTAGCTGAGGTGCCTGGGCCAGGGAATGCTGGCGTCCCTACAAAAGCACAGAACAGCTACTGAAGCCTTCAGATGGAGCCTGAAAAACTCATTCCCCAGAAGGAGAAGTGGCACAGGTGCCCAGGCAGGGCACCAGGCTCTGTGCAGCAGGAGGAGGGAAGTGTGAGGCTGGTCCCTGAGCGAGCGGGGCCCCAGTGGCAGCCGGCTGCTTCCTTTCTCACCAGAGAGTGATGGACTGCTGCCAGGCAGGGCCAGCCACTGGGCAAAGGGTTTGGGAACCGAAACCTGTGGGCTTTCCTGCTCACAGAGAGATGGCAGGGGGAAAGACTGATTCTGGAGGCTTCACACTACAATCAGATGAGAGCAGATGGGGAACTAGATGCACAGTTTCTTTTCTGGCCTTCCACGTATGGCTCCAACACAGTACCCCAAGGAGCAGGAGGGAACCCTGGCGCAGACATCTCATGGAACACAGAGGAATGGAAAGGTTCCATCTCATGAGTAGGGTCTCATGAGAGGGAACCACTACAATAAAACCCATGAAAAGCAGAAATAAAACAGCCAGTAGCAAGACTGCTACTAGTCACCAGATTACTTGGCACACCAACACCACTTTCATGTACTGGTTCTTTGACTCCTTACTGCAGCTATGAGCAAGTGAACAACCTTAAAGCAACCTAGCAATAATTACTGTGTTCTGCTTCAAATGAAGTGAAAAGTGTACTGCTGCACTGAAAGATGTCTCCTGGAAGAAAATGCAGTTTTAAAGGTGTGGTGAATCTTGGGTTTTAATTAGCTACATGATCCTTTAAGCACAATTTAAGGATAAATGCTGTAAATACTCAGCAGTCAGCGTGCACGAAATCCAGCTTTCACAATTCTCTTGCTGGTGGGTAGTTAAACAAATTGCAGGAGGGCTCACAACTGAGCAGGAGGTAGATCTGACTTACTGACTTTTCTAATCCTATGCAGTTAAAAAGATGGATGTTTGCTAAGGAAAAAAACCCTACCCACTGGCAGTTTTAGTTGCAAGAGCTCAGACCAACATTGGGTTAGAATGGCAGATTAGATGACCTTGTCAACAAAAGCTGTTTTTAAACACAAAGCTGGTGCATCTGCGTCACAGCTAGAGAATAAAATTCTTTCCGCTGCATCATACTTATGTGGGCTTCATTTTACCCTTGACCAGTCAAAATCACTGTCACAATACCAAAAGCTTTAGAAAGGCAGGGAGAAAAGTTAATACCGTGATTACTGGAAGCCCAGTTATATCCCTGGGACTAAAGCATACAAAGGCTGCAGTCTGCAAGCCTCAGCTCCAGAACATGCCAGGAAGCTTTGCAAAGCAGAGTGCTTTAATGTCACCCTGCTCGCTGGAGTGTAGTCCTGCCAAAACCAGCTGGTATCCTCTCTCTGCTGCTCTCCAGGGCAGGAGAAGCAAAGAGCAGTTTCCTCAAAGTCTTCTGCCAGCTCCACTGATTTTCTTAACAGTTATTTGCAGATTATGGGTGTTCCCAGGGACCTTCAGATAAATGGAGTTATACAGTCAGTGCTGCAGTGTTGTGCCAAAGTTCACTGTAGATTTGTCAGAGCTCTGGTTTTCTCTCATGTTTGTTTTGTTACTAGAGGGATAATACTCCCTTTTATTCCTCCCATACATCTAGTGTTGTTGAAACAGTGGAGAAAAAAGGTGCAGCTGGATGCATGTTGCCAACAAGGATAAAAAGGAATTTAAAAGCAGGAGGAAATAAGCAAGATGGAAAGATCCTAAATATTTAATTTTGCCAAAGACCAGAGGCGATGCCGCAGTGGGAACAGAAGCTGCACAGAGCACTCAGACCTCTTCCCTCAGTGGCCTAAGCCAGCATCAGGGCATAATCCCCTCAGTCCTGAGATCACATTCTTGTAATGCATGAGCAGCAGCTGCGCCTCCGTCTCCTTGGGGTCTCGAGCCTCTGTGGCAGCAGCAGGAGAAACAAACATCTTTCATTAAGGTCATTTTCATTAGCGAGTTCTGCCTACTCAGGGAGACCTTGTTAATCAGATGCCACAACTCTCTGCCTGCGCCCATGCTGAGTCTGTAGTTGCTTGTTTGCAGATGTATTGCTAAAGGCACAGGAGGGGGAGAAAAATCCCAACTAAAAATCCCAGCCAAGGCAAGGAGACCTGAGAGCCAGGGGTGCTGTAAATGGGGCAGAGTGTAGCCCACTGCTGGGAGCTGGGGCACAGGTCCGGTGTATGTGGCATGGAGAACACACCTCAGAACAGCATTTGCAGTCTGGGGTGTGATTTATTCCACGTTATCTTACTGAGGCCAGCAGCTCCAACTCCCATGGGGCAGCACAGGGAGAGGGCATTTACCTGCAGCTCTGCCAGCCAGACAGAGACTGCACAGTGGAGACGCTGTGCCCAGCTGAATACACAAAAGGAAATGGTTCCCATTTTTCTCACTCAGGGCACAGGCACTTAATTCTTATCACCTACAGGATGGCCACATTTTATTTTCCATAAATAACTTCCCCTGAATAGCAAGACCATGGGAGCTGCTGGCTCTAGCTTTGGCTAACTTGCTGCTCAGGCCACTTCTCTCATGCAGGCTGAACCAAGCCCTCCACAATCAGTAAAGGGGCATTTCAAGGGAAAAATGCACAGAAAGAGACAAATCTTCAATAAAAATTGTCAAGAAATAACAAAAGTACAAGACATTAAATTAACTCAGATTTTAATAACCACTGCTTAGAAATATATTTTTCTTTCCATTACATTCTACCATAAACCTTTTGGCAAGAATCTTACTAAAACAGCTTTAGCCAAAAAATTTGTATCCATGAAAGATTTAACAATCTCTGAAAAAGCATGAAAAATTGGACACTGATTCCTGCCATGGCTGAATAACAGGAGCTTTGGATCAGGCTCTGAATGTCCACATTGTGGCGGGCACTCTTATTTTCCCCTTGTGTGCTAATTGCTCGCATTCCTGCACTACCATAAACCCATTTCTTTTGCAATGCCCCATCCCATCAATCCACCATGTGAATACAAGAGGGGAAAGGAAGAAAAACAAAAACATCTGCACTACCTTGAGGTTAGAATAGGATCCTATTACATGTGGAAATGGGCATCAGTCCTTGCTTGTCTGGTTTTATGGGCTCAGCCCTCTGAAGTGCTAAATCCCATGGGAATGCGCTCTAGAGTACTAAGCACTTGACAGGACTCAGCTCCTGCACTGCTGGGAAAATACCTCTGTGGGAGAGAAAAGGCTTTCTCCATATTTGGGCCAGGACAGAGAACTGAGGTAGCAGTTAAAAGGAAGTAACAGTGTTAGCAATGCTGCAGGATGGCAAGGAAAGGAAAAACAAGTTGGGAAAGCAGAGCAAAGGCAATGAAGCAATTCAGCCCTGACTGTACCTGTGGTGGCCCACGGCAAAACCTTTTTTCCACAGGACTCAATTCATCCTCCAGGTTTCGGTGCCAGCAGACTTTATGCCTGCTGGCTGTGTGAGTACCTCTGTGGCTTTAAATGCAACATGCAGGCAGTAATGAATACTAGGAAGAGCAATTAATATTAGGAAAAAATTCTTTACTGTGAGGATGGTGAGACACTGGCACAGGTTGCCCAGAGAAGCTGTGGATGACCCATCTGTGGAATGTTCAAGGCCAGGCTGGATGGGGCTCTGAGCATCCTGGTCTACTGGTGGGTGTCCCTGCCCATGGCACAGGGTTAGAACTGGACAATCTTTAATGTCCCTTCCAACCCAAGCCAATCTATGATCCTATTAATAAAGGCTACAGTAAAATAACACAGTTCCCACATGTGGTTCTGCTCAGTCGAGGCTCCGAGCCCACCCTCATTCCCTGCCTACTGCTGCTGGACATGAGCTGGCTGTGGGCACAGCACCCACTGCCAGGCACTGAGGCACTGGCAGCTGAGAACCTGCTGTTCCTGGTCACTGCTCGGGCCCTGCAGCAGCAGAATGAGTTCTTTTCCCTCTGCAGGCTGTGAGCATTGCTCCAGGCCTCTGCATCCTGAGAGCTCTTCCCTGATGGAGGAGCTGTACCTCAGCTTGTGTGTACTCTCACTGTGATTTCAGTTCACCCAAAGTGAACCTCTGCTCTTGGAAACGTGCAGAAAAAAGTCCAGGTCCCTACCAATGTTAAATCTTGATTTTTCCATTTCATACCACCATTTCATGAACTTTACGTGCCCAAAATGGTTGCTTCCACAACCAAATTCTTTCTCTAAAAGGCCTGATGATTGTTGCTTTCAAACTTTCTCTTGTTCTCTTTTGAGCTTAAGATGCAGAGTGGGGGATAAAAAAAGAAGCTATAAATGATCAAAAAATAACCAAAGAATCACATGTGTTTTCTAATCAAGACACAGGTACAGCTCCAATCCAGCTGAGATCAGACACGTTCCCGAGAGCCGCCTCCACTCGCCATGCACACCCTTCCCACCGGGTCTGCACCAGCTGAGATTCCAGCACTAAATATGCTGCTTTGCCACGGCTCTGCTACAAGTTCTACCCCAAATTACACCACCACATTTAAAACCAATTTTCTGTGCCTTTCTCTGAACACAGGGGCTGTGAGAGAGAGAGGGAGCAAGAGAAAGCTGCCTTTGACACGCTTTCCTCTTTTCTACTCCAGCACTTCCTGACTGCAAACCAGCGGACACCAAAATAGTTCAGACATAAATTGGGTGGGGGCCCTTAGCCACAGGCCAACTATGCAGCCTTTGAATCTGCAGCACACTCACACTCTGTGTGTTAGCAGAGACTCCTGCAGCACTGGAGGGGCCTGCCCTGTTTGAAAACAGAAACCACATTCCTAAGCCACAGCAGTGAGGGCTTATCTGCAGGGGAATTATTGAGGAAGGGTTATACCCTGACAGGCCCAGGCCTTTCAGGTTCTGCCTGGGGAGATGAAGGATCAGACAAAACATTCATTTCTGCTGAGCTCAGTTCTGCCATTCCTGTCCTGTCCCAAACGGGTATACTGAAGGAATTCATGGTGAAAGCAGCCAGAAAAGTCACCCTTCCTCTTCCAAAAGCATCTGCACCTTGGACTCTTTGGCAGCTGTGCAGAGCAGCCAATCTGCCACCCACACTACACAAAAGGTGCAGTGCAGACTCCTCTTGACAAAGCATGCAAGCAACAGTGATATAGATATGTGCAATTGAAATGTCACAATTTATTCCTTCCACAATTTATTCCAAGTAACAATTACAGCTTAGACAAACTGCACCAGTGCTGTAACAGCACCAAAGTGCCCTGCTGTTTTTTGTCAGGGCTTGACTGCATGATTTTCTAATAAGAATCTAATAAATCCTGGAAGTTACTGAGGAATTACATAATGGTTTATGTTAGAGACTTATTTTCTCATGCTCTATGCTGCAGGAAAATGATGTCATACTGTATGACCACACAAAAATATTGTAAGGGCAAATACAATTACTTATATGATTATAGCATTGTTAACAGTGTGTATAGTATATTGTGCTGTAAGTAAAGGCTATCTGTAAATAAATATACTAAATAGAGTCTACTGAAGGCAATGCAAGGACTTTTATTAACTTCAGTAGATTTAAAATCAGGATCATCTGCTGCAGTGAGAAAGTTTTCCAGAACACATTAAGTGCTTAGGACCACAAGTTTCAACCAGAGTACGTGCCTCATACTTTCCTATATCCCACTCATATACTCCTGCAAATGTTTAACTTGTAACTCAGAATTTTTTTTAAAACAACTGGGAAAAAAAAAAAGGAAAGATTGTTACCCATCTTTCTCAGTGGCTCATATTTGCTCTACAGGAGACCAACATGCTGCATCTAGCTGCAGCCTTTAAGATGCCATGCACAGCAGTGGCAGTGAAGGACACAGCACTCCATGCAGCATAGCTGTTTTCCAACAGAAGACACCCACAACCCTGTGTTAAAAGCAAGGAAAGGCAACCTAGCACTGGGTTATCAATCCATACCGGCCATGGAAAGCACACTGCCACAGGGGCTCCAGTATGCCAAAAGTGACATTCTGACACAGCAGACCAAACCCACGTTCATGCCAGCATCACCTCAAGAAAGCAAATCACAAAGTACCTTGAGAATCAACCGCCGCCGGTAAACCCTCGTGGTGATTCTCTGCTCTTCACCTGAGCTTGAGTCACTTTCAATCTCACTGTCACTGTCACTACATTCCTAATAAATGCAGGTTTAGTACATTTGAACAGCACGTTTGCAAGACAGAACATGCTGATCAGGACTAGGAGAAGAAAACAGAGGTTATCACGGACAGTGTTTTCCCTGTTATGTACATACTGACTCGCAGTTTCACTGCTGAGGTACATGATGGGAGGAGGCCTTTTTTGCTCCTTGGCATGCTGTAACCTGCTAATTACACCAGCTATGGAATATCCCAGCAGCTCTCAAGTCTCAGAAAATGCTATTTGGAATGCATCTGACCTGTGAAATTTCAAAACCTTACGTAATTCTTTTAAATTTTATGTAAAAAAACCCATAACCTTGTCATAGCTCATTGATTTTTTTTTCTCCTAAAAATTATTCTTTCAAACAAGTTTTATGGATTCACAAGGTATGGGAAGTGAATTTCCTAATACAAAAAAAGAAGACAGTCACACAGAAAGATTCAGTGGAGCACTTCCGCATAGAACATTACAAAAAGGCTTTCTGAAGAATTTCTCCATGTAAATGGCTTTCCTGCTCAGTATTTATCTCCTTTTATAAGTGGCAAAACTGCAGTGCGGAGCAACAACCATCCTGCATTTTTCCAGGAAGGGGCTGTTAGAGCTCAGCTGAAGGGGCACAGCCCTGAGCTGGTCTCAGACAGGTATTGCAGCTACACCTGGATGTTATTCTGTCCTGGCACCCTCTGCCAGCCCTGGTGCTTTCCCCTCCAAAAGGAAGGAGCTCAGCTTTGGGGCTGAGCAGCTCTGTGTGCACATGCTGGACAAAGGGCTTCCCATCCCTGTGTGTGACAGACACAGGGCACAGACCCTCTTCCCATGATATTCAGCTGGACCAAGCCTTTCCTGAACAGAGAAATTTGAAAATTTCCTCTATGTTTTACTCAATGACAGCCCCAAACTGATTTTAGAATCATGGACAGTGGATATTGGGAACTGCATATCTATTTCTCCTTCTGAATCTGGCCCAAGACATCCTAAACAAGAAGCAAATCTCAGAAATTATGTGCAAAATAAGAGTGGGCATAGGTGGGTGGAGGAAAAAAAGAACTATTTAACAAAAAGCATTTAGGGCAGGATGACAGAATTCATCTGCAGTCCTCTGGCACTAGTCAAATATAGATACAAAAAATTGTAAGCCAATCCTCTCCTGAAGAAGTAACAAGAAAGCAGAAGACTTCCAGAGGGCATGAAAGCTTTAGAGGAGGAGTTATTTTTAATAAACAGCTTTAAGTGGTTTATTTGTGATGGAATTCTGACACTGAGAGTCACCTTGACCATGTGCTGGACATCATCCTCTTTGGAACAACAGAGCAACTGTGCTGTGTTCTTCTCATTTAAAAAGATCACTGGAATCTGATGCTTGAGCGTTTGTAGAGAATTATATGACCTACACCATTGCTGCAATGCTTTTGTAAATGTTTATGTGGACTTGGAATGAGGCCAAGGATTTGTTTCATCCACGTCACCAGGCGTCAGACCAGTACCAGTCTGAGTTCCATCTCTTGGTGCAAACTCTGTGCCAAAGCACTGCTGCAGCCCTTCTCCTGCAGATGGGTGACTATTGCTTCCTGCCTCTTTCCAAATGGGTCACAGACAAAAATATCTTACTTTGGCAAGTAGTTTTAGTTTGTTCCCACTTTCTCTCCACAGAAGTAAATCTGTTTCTTCCATACTTTTCTCTTTATGGAGCATTTCTGAAGAATGCCTTGCAGAAAGACTGCAGTAGAAATTTTCTTTCTGTTTTCATGACAGCTCATGAAGCATCTCACCATGACTAGGAGTGCCTTAGTAATTAAACTTACTGAATTTAAATTAGATTAGAATGCATTACTGAAGAAATATCAACAAGATAATAGAAGTAGTTCATGTCATTCTAACAGACTCTAGTTTCTTACCCATCCAGGCTTTGTGAGAGACCCACATTTTGAAATGACATTATTTTCACATACCAGTGTATTCAAAGATCATGTCTATAAAAGGGCTTGTTATTTAGTAAATAGGATTATCAGCCTTCACCAATAAAGCAAAGAGCACGCCTAAGAAAAGCACTTTCTTATTCTTCTCAATCCAGATGGGATATCCAATAGTAAAGAGCACACAAAAGTGGGTGACAACTTCTCTTCCCACTGATGGGAATGCAGAGGGGGAAGTGCAGCATGTCAGCACATTACAGCGTGCATCCACACTCACTCCTGCATTTAATCAGAGCATGGCACCACCAGACTGAGCTCTGCCCCAAAGCCCACAGACACTGAGGAACGCTGCCATCTGCCTCTAGCTGCCTTTGCAGAAGGCAAAGGCTTTTACATTTTTAAAGTATTCCAGTAATTAGCAAACATTAGGAAAGATCTTACTGTGTCACGAACTAATAACAAGATAATAACAATCATATGCTGCATAACTGCTGAAACTGATTATGTTACCATCTAATAAAAGGATTCTTGGTTGTATAATCGAAAGAATAGCTTTAAACGAACTAATTTAGACCTGAGTGATTTACTGCAGCCCACCACAGCCAACATTTTTATTGTGCTACAATAAAAAAAAAAATCTATATCATGTAGAAGTAATTCTACTGAAATATCTTGCTTCCAAAAGTTATAATCTCCTCCTGCCTTATATGCAAGAAAAGACAATCTCAGTAGAAGAAACTCTGCAATTCCCCTTTTCAGCCTGGTTCCCTGCTGGCCCTGAGGTTTGTTCTGTGGCAATCCTCCCACTGCTGGGGTGTGAGGTGCACGCAGCTACTGGACCACAAGCCATTCTTTGAGTCAACTTTCCTTCCAAGCTTCTGGTAAATAAATAGAAGCAAGTGAGAAAGCTATCAAAATCTTTATTTTCAGAAAATAACTTATAACTGGGGTTTTGCTTAAGGGTGTAGAAATTAGGCAAGGTAGAAAGGAAGGGGAGCCCCTCGGCAGCTTTTAAGGAGAAAGAATCACCACCTGGAAAAATGCTTTACACATATAGAAATCTTTTGATCTGTCTTGGCTGGATGGACTCTGAAGTTAGGATGAAAAAGGCCATGAAAAAAGAAATATAAGGAGGAGATTACATATCACCCCAAATAAATTTTTTTGCAAATCAACAGAGTGAAAAAAAATGCAGGTAGTTTTGGGAAAAAGAGCAGGACAGAGCCTGAAGGGTCCCTATATTTCTTTGCTCCTATAATTTGCTTCAATGTCAATGTCACAAGAAGAGTGGGAACCAGTGGCAACACCTCAGTGGGAGCAGATGGGGGACAGCTGAGCAGTTTGGCACTGCTTGCACAGGTGGTGTCATGGCAGGGAAGGGGCTGTTCCCCAGCCACGAGGGACAGTGCTCCCAGAAGCTGCTCCAGCCCCTTCCAGGGCTCAGGGCCAGGCAGGGAGGGGATTATGCAGCCCTTCTTGGCACCCCTGCCTATCCTGACTCCACCCCGTTCTATTCACAACACAAATAAAAATTTCCAGTATTTTTCCCAATTCCATTTTTCTCAATTCAGTAATAAACTGAAAAGGCATAAAGAAGGATAAGGAAAAAATCCCCTAACCCTGTCACGAACAACACTGCAAGTCGCACAAAAAAATTTGTCAACCAATATGTCAAGCAACAGGGACTCCTCACACTGTTAATTATTACAGGACATACTGTACCTTCTGTTCAGACATTACGGCTCCCTCCTCCTCTTGGATGCTTGTTCTTGGCTTGCCATCCTCAGAAGTACTCCAGCCCATCTTCTTCACACTGACAGGCACAGATGTTTTGCTGCCTTCTGTTGTTGGCTTGCTGGTCTCTTCCGAAGATTTCTGATATGCTGCTGATGATAATGTCTGCTCATCAGTACCAGTTGAGATCTGGGACTTTGTTTTCAGGGTTTCTTTGTCACTGTGTTTTCCCACATCATTTAAAGCTTCCTGGATGTAGGATTTAGTTTTTGCCTCTGATGTGGACTCGGATAGGCTTCCATTTGTTTCTGGCTTCCCTGCTTCTCCTTTGACGTATGAGGTAACAGAATCCCGACATTGGTCCGAACTACAAGAAAAAGAGAAAGGAACAGACAGCTGTTCAGGGCTTAAATCACAGGCAGAAGGGCAAAGCACCAAGCCTCTTACTGAGCCTTCAGTCTGGGCCCATACATTTCACGCAGAGAAAAGTAAAATTTTAGATTCCATTTGCAGATATCAATCTATTTAACAACCTTGTCTTCCGCATCATGGCATCGTTTCAGAAGCAATGAAAATACGGTGGACACTGGAAACAAGGCCAAATGTTTTATGTTAATCTCCTTCCATTTGGTGGAGGGGAGTAAAAAGAGAAAAAAAAATACACAAAACCTACCAGTTCTCTTGTATAATCATGAGCTAAAGCCTCAAGGCACTTATTTTTAAACCAGTCTCTAATCAAAGAGGTGATGAAAGTATCTGGTATCAAGCAATTACTAGTTATTTTTCCCCCCAAAGTACAATGTCTGCACTCCAGATAGGTCTTGCCTTTTAAAAAATCTGTAAATAGGTCCTTAGACACTGCAGAGTCTCAATAATATGCAGAGACAAAGGCAAGGAAGGTTACTAAAAGATAGAAAGCTGACCAGAATTTTGTGTCAGATTACCTATGGAGAGGTTTCACCTGCAGTTCTGATAAACAGCTTTATTTTCCTTTGTATTTTTGCTCACTTTATGTTAAAAACTACGACTGTGTAATGCTGACATATGAAAATATGCCAGCTGTTTGCTGGCAAGACTCTTACAAAAGACAGCAAAGGGAATTCACCTAGCTAGAAATTGATATCTTCTTAAGGAAGCCCTTTTACTTCCAGAAGTGATCTATTTCTCTATTTTAACACAATATAAAATGCAGAAAAACAACACTTGCTTAACAACAGGAAGCACATCAGTAGTAGTTCAAGTGCTTGACAGTATTGAAAGACAATGAATTTGCTGAAATCAATGACCAAATTCCCACTAGACTTGATAAAAGATTATCTAATGCTACCTTGAACCTTAAAACATCCTGAGCCAAAGATGCAGAGGATGTAAACTGCTGGCAGAGAAACGATCACTGCGCAGATAATCATTCTGTGCTGATTTATAGCTCCTGCAGACCTGGCTCCTTCAACTGGTGATCACAGGAACCCAGTGGGCACCAGTAGGGCTGGACAGCACAACACATACTGCCAATGCTGAAAGGGCAGGCTGGAAAAGCTCGTGCAAGGGAAGTGCACTGAGGATAATTATACAGAAAGCATCCCTCTCAGCGGGTCATTATGCTAAAGACAAGTGAAGACTGGGAGAGTGCAGCACATACATCCCCTTTCCTTCCTCTGCAGCCACTGCTGGGACACAACACACAGGACTAGGTGGGTTTGGTATCCCCATCCTTACCTTCTTATGCCTTGTAACTCGTCTTTTAAATTAGCATGACACAATATGCTTGAAGCAAGTGTTGTAAAAAGTGACAATTAAAAAAATTAGCTTATGGGAAAAGTAACAATTATCTGAGGGAAGGCAAAGAGATGCAAATGGAAGGATGACTGCTATAAAGGTGCTCAAAAATAACAGTAAGGTAGTATCCTGATTTCAGATGTTCTTGATTCCAGCTACATCTATGCACCACTGAGATGAATTAGAAATAGAAATACGTGAGATAAAGAACGTGAAAAGAAATATTACCTGCCAAAGATAACACAAAGTACTTCTCAAATGCCTATATCGAGAATGAAACCTGACAAATACGCATTTTTAAAGCCAACTACATCTGAGGCCAAATCAAGTTTTTCTGTTAAATGTATATATATACAAGCATACAGAGATGCTGTCAGAGAGCAGCAGCCCGTGCAGCGCTGCTGGTGGCAGGTGGGCAGCTGCTGAAGGCACGCTGCAGCTCGGGGGGCTCACCTCTCGTCCAGGCAATCCAGCAGGCTGCCGCCTATCCTGCGCCCCGACGTCGGCGCCTCGGAGACGCTGGAGGAGTCGGGCTGCCAACCTGTAATTGAAGACATTTCGCGTTCTGCTTGTTGAACACCTTTAAGAATTGACCATACTCTTTCTTCCGTCATCTCCTCAGACTCAGCTCCTTCTTCCAGATGAATGTCCTCAAACAGAGACTTAAACTTTTCTGCCGTCATCTCCTCATCAGTACCAGACTTTTCTCTCTCGGGCTGCTCAGTCCTCACTCCTCTTTCACTAGTCTCTTCACTCTGCCTTTGTTTAGCATCTCTGGATATCCCATAACTACCGAGATACCGTGGAAAATCTTTAAGGTCCACTTCCTCCAACTGGCTCTCGCCTAGGGAAATATCTTTAGGTGTTCCTTCTCTAGGCACTGGGAAATCAACTTTGCTGTCATCCAGTGACGTGTCCTCTTCAGTCACCACTGGCGGGGCTGCTGCTGTACCATCTACGTGTCCCTGGGAGGTCACTACCACGTCACTCAGCCTACTGGGAGTTCTAAGGGGCGACTCTAGGCTAGAGGTGTCGCTAAGGAAATCGTCCTGGTGCAAAGGGGTGGGCGGCACGAAGCGCAACCCAGTGGGAGTTTCCAGTTCCACTTGGATGGAGGGATAACCTAAGGAAGACAGCACATTTGGACTGACTGGGATGAAACGTGGAGCAACAAATAAGCAAATGCCAAATGATTCATGGGTTACATAAAGTATGAAACACACAAGGAGGTGCAGGTGTATAAGAACCAATGCAGTTCTGATAGGTTTTTTTTACTTTGTCCCAAAGAGATGGAACAAAGAATGAGTACTGCCAGAGAATTTTACGGTGAAGCCAGTACTTCTGACTATTTTTTTAATAGTCTGCAAAGTTTTCAGCAATTGCTTGTGCAGCCATTTTAAACATTTTCAAGCTATAGCAGATTGTCTTATGGGCATGCAATAAATCAAATGTGGACAAGGGTGGTTGTCCCTTACACACAAGACAATCTCTTGCAGTCGTATTTTGTAAATCTTTATTTCCAAGATTTTATTTTTTTTTTTAATTTGGAAGTTTAATGAACAGATTTTAAAGACAGCAGTAGATCAAAACATAGGACAGCCACATTTTTGTCAGTAGGTATTCTTTCTAAACAGGTCCACATTTTTAATACGCTTTTATATAAAAATACACAATACCAGAAATACAGTGTTACTAACATATACCTCCAATTTAATCACAGAGTTACAAGAATGGACTAGTTAAGGAATGAAGAACAGAAATGGATCCTAATGAGGATACTAAAAGATAGTAGATCTAAACACACAGCAGGATAAAAAAACTAAAGTAAGGAAGTTAACAAAGGGATAAAAGAATAAACAAGGGAGAGCTATATGAATATTTCAGGTACAGTGAAGTTATTCGGGTGAGAGGACTGTGGTGAGTAAGGAGATCTTGGTGATCTTGAAGATTGAGGTGATCTTGGTGACATTGGTACAATCAGATACACTGATCAAATAAAGAGAAAAGAAAAATTGATGAAAACATAAAAAAAAAAAAACCCACACAAAAGGATTAAACTGAATATACACATAAAAAAATGGCAACAAAACCTTAAGTTCGCATTCTGGCAAATGAGGTTGGGCAACCTAGGAAAGGAAAAAACACATGCTGTGGGGTTAACGGGCCATTGTGCTGCCTGCAAGGGGAGGTGCATCAACAGGGACTGGGGCTTTGTTTCCTGAACCAGCCGAGAGAAAGGCAAAGGAGGTCTGGTCCTGGTGAGGAAAGGAAGCTTGAGGAAGGTTCAGAGAAGAGGAGAGACACAAAGCAGCTGCAGAGAAGCGCTTTTTTCATAAAAACGTTGATGCTACTATTAAAAGGCTCAAGCAACATTTCAAGAGAAACTTTCTTAAAATGTCAACAGAAAACTATTTCTGTAGTGCAATGATTCAATGACCAGCAATGCTGCTCAATAATGGAGGTACACTGAGCTCATATGCTCTGAAGAAAAAAAAAATCTTACTGAAATACAGAGAAAGCCAAAACATAATTGAACAAATTACAAAAACCAAAAAAAATGCTACTTACAAAAAAAAATCTTATTTAAGGAGCTATTTATAATACAAGCAAATAAAATCACAGTAATAATCCAGTGCCTGTTACCTAACATTTGAAACAAGTAAAAGTCAACATTTAGCATCTTCAATATACTGATAAACAAAAAGCACTTCCATGGAAATTTTGTTTTACAAGAAGAATTTCATTTTTGCTTTTAATTTGACACAAATTTAACCTGCACGGTTCTGCTATCATTTGATACAGCTTTCATGAGGAAATTATTACACAACTTTACCCATTAGCAGGCTGAAAAATATATTCAGTCATGCACTAAAAACCCAGTTTGTTATTTTTTTACTGCCATTGGAGAAATGGTCCAAGTGAAAATCATAAAGCAATCGATGTTCACAGGTCTCAAAAGGCTTGGTAGTAAATTGCACATTAATTTGTTCCATGCAAATACTATGCACTTTCCCCCCCTTCTTCTTCCTTTTTTGTTCTCCTTTAAGAACTTTTACTACTATATACCTAGACAAGAAGCCAAAGAATACACATATTTCCAGGTAAATTCTCAGGCATTAAATACCAAGTACGTAAAAAAAATAGACATGGGCAAGCCTCAAAGGCCAAGTGTTGCAGGAGAAAACCTTGGTCTTGTCAAGTGACCCTGAGGCTGGTGGGAACCAGTGTTCCCTCAGGCACACATCTCTGGGACTCTGCACTTAGTGTTTGAGATGTTAATGTGCAAGCTGCATATCCCCAAAAAATCATGACCTGGATGCAGGACTTGAAGGTGTACTATGGAAGTTTGCTGATGATAGGAAACTGGACACAATTTCCCCAGTTTCCACAGCAGCTGTGGACACCTCAGGGAGGCAGGGAGGGCTAGGCAGTCACCAGCCATACAAGTTTAACAAAAACAAGTGCTGGGTTCTGCACCTGGCATGGGCCAACCCTGGCTGTGTGTGCAGGCTGGGCAGTGAGGAGCTGGAGAGCAGCCCCGTGGAAAGGGACCTGGGGGCCCTGGTCAGTGGGAAGTTAACCATGAGCCAGCAGGAATCTGTGTCAGGGGAGGTTTAGGCTGGATGTTGGGAAGAGGATTTTCACCCAGAGGGTGGCCAGGCACTGGAACAGAGGAGTGGTCACAGCACCAAGCCAGCCAGAGTTCAATATGTGTTTGGACAATGCTCTCAGGCACACGATGTGATTCTTGGGGCTGTCCTGTGCAGGGCCAGGAGCTGGACTTGATGGTCGTCAGAGGTCCCTTCCAGATGAGGATATTCTACGATTCTAAACCCCTTTACACATTTTAAATTATTGTTCCTGTAGAACTTACAATCTTTCTTTAAAGTCTAGTTCATACAACATTACTGCATTATTGGACATGTCACTGAATTAAATATGACTTCAGAATTCAATTACCATCAATGGGATCATGAAATACGTTATTTTCATCTGCAAAACTTCTGGTGCCTGAAATATTTCCATAATCAAATATTGGTCCTTCCAACAGGGTCACAATATCTATTCGATTAATTTTTGTCAATACAGAAGTTAAGGCATCAGCTGAAAAAAAAAAAGTAAAACACATCAGAAAAAGGTTCAGCATTGCAGAACTGTGTGATCATTTTTCTCAATTACACTCACACTGCATTACTCACAAATTGCTGTCATGTCCCAATGCCTGTGGTTCTAGCAAAGCCCAGCATTTGTCTGAGCAGTCATTCAGCTGCCTACTTATTCAACATACACATCTATTATGAGTCTACGCTTTCTCCAAGTATAATTACATTTCAACACAAAAGGCACAAAGAATAAGGTCAGATAGTTCTTAAAGAACGTATTTACTTACTACTGACACAAAATATTCTTTTACTGGAGTGTAAAGGGAGAGTAAAAATCCTTTTACCATTCTGTTTTGAGGCAGAATATGCAGCCATATAGGTAATAATGCACATAAGGCTATTCATGCAGTACATCATGAAATCTCATTTACAATAATCCTGTTGTGAGAACACAGTAATACTGGAAATCACTTCTACAGGGAAAGAGATCAAAGGAGACTCAAATGGTGTGTAGGAGTTTGTGGATCAGAGAAGGGTAACGAACACCATTCACATCTCACAAAAATCAACCCCTCTTTCAGTTTGAGCAATTCAAGTGAAATGTACAGATGATAAACTCATAATCATCAGCACAGAATCAGTGTCTCCATCACTCCTCATAGGAAGGAGTTTAGTCTTTTCCTATGACCTGCAAATTACTGAGACTACCTAATTTTTCCAGGCAGTCATTTCCATGTTTCACATTCCTTGCTACTGGAAAGTTTTGCCTATTATTGTCTTTACTGGAGCTCAAGTTCATTACATGTTCTATCAATTATGGATGTAGAGAACAGATCATTTCCTTCTGCATATACAGTGAATAAATATGACATATTTCTGACTCCTGGTAAAAATGTACCTGAAACTTCTTTTTTCATTGATGGTTTGTGAAGGACATTCATAATGTTTTCTTCAACTTGGCAACAAATGAAATGGGCTATAACTTATAAACAACAAAAGTAACTACTTGAACTTACTTGTAGCATTTTTCCCATCTCTGCTAACCCATTTTTTTAATAACATGAAGCTTTGAGCAATAAGAGAATTCGGGTTTTCTACTCGGATTTGATTTATTTCATCCACAGAAAAATTCAGTTCTCTTGCCAGTTCTATAAAGACAAAAAAAGGAAGCGAGAAAAGAAAACAAACCCAAAAACACCAAAGAAAGCACAAATCTCTCAATTGTGTTGTCAAGCTTAAAAAAACTAACTTTCATAAAAACTAACATAGGTCACAGAGACATCAACAAAACTCCCTGACACAAACTTTACAGATAACAATGAACATGGCATTATATCCCCACACTTTAATTTCCTAAGACGTCATTTTGAATTTCAATCATCTCTGGGAGCGATTATCACACTTCTACTCAGTAAGCCACTTACACATGATGAAAAAGCCCTCCCTGGAGATTGCCCCATCACTGCTAATTTATAAACTCTGCTAATTTCCTCTGATTGTCATTCCCCTGGGAGCACCCTGTGCAGCCCAGCACTGGTGCTGGGGTCACCTGAGCCCTGGCAGAGCTGGCTGCTGCAGCTGTGGGCACAGGAAGGGCAGCTCTGCCCACCAACACAGGGGGCCAAGGTGGGCAGAGCCTGCAGCAGAGCCCTGCCTGGTTCTGGGCTCCCTGCAACCAGGGCTTGGGGAAAACTGCAATCCAGGGACAGGAGACAGCCCAGGAGCAGCGCTGAGCCCAGGCAGGTAGGGCCTCTCAGCTCCTTGGGAGAACATCCTGAGAGGAAAGCCATTGAGCTATTTTCTCTTTGATTTACTGAAAGATCAAGGAATAATTTCCTATTAGGCATCTTTGCCCAGCAACACATTGCACATTTTGGGAAGCTGTGAATTTGGCAGAGCCTGATCAGTCTTGCTGCATCTTTTAGTAAAAGAATACCTAAACATGCAATAGGAAAGACAGATTTCAATATCAAAGCAGAAAAGCTTACCTGTCCAGCTAAGTCCCAGGTGATCAGCTACAATTGCCATCCTTATATCTGTCCGTTCACATGGACTCTGTGGACCTGTGATTTACAATTTCTCAATTAAAAAGGTTTTGCACAGAAAACCACAATACCGGATAATAGTTTATTATAAATAATAGCTTTAATTGACTAAGTTGACAGTGCTTATATTGTTTACTAGAATGGTTGTGTGACCTAATAACCTACAAAACAAAATTTTTTCACAGCTTTTAGATTTTCACCTGTGTAAAGCCAAAATGTAAAACTACATGATGTTGTGTAATGAGACCAAACATGCTGACAATCTATCTGTTAGACTGTAGACAAGTTGTTCAATTACTGGTGAAAACCACCAAGGCCAGATTATTGTCTATTTTCTCTACTTTGACAGAACAAATATACTGTCACAAAAGACATCTTTCAATTTCTGAGTTACATCAATTTCTGAGTTACATGAATGTCTTTGGCATGCTTCACTAGCTTTCTACAGTACAGAATTTGTTTGAAGGAAGAAAAAAGAGAATAAGACAGCACATACAGATGACAATGACAGAATGAAAACTACAGTTAAGTCACTCCACAGGCAATCACAACAGTTCATGCACTAGGATCAACAAGTTGAAAGTTTTACAAACTAGGCTTGATCTCCACGAGGTGAGCCATGAGAGCTCCAGAAACCTGACTGCCTTCATTCTCACCAGTCCTCTTACTCCTCCTCCTCTCACTGTCGGCCTTTTCACTCTTTGATTTTATAGATGCTGCCTCTGTTCTCATGTCTCTAGCAGACTTCGGTGTAATGGAAGGCAGGTAAACTTGAGTGGCTTCTGATAAGGATGTGTTCCTTGATGTACTGTCTTCTTCATCATCAGAGACCTCTGACTGCATCTTTTTCTCTTCATCAGAAAGACGATCCACAAGCTTTAATGTCTCACCACTAATTCCCTTAAAATATTCAATAGAATGTTTACATACCTCCCTAAGCTGATTTTTCTTTACTTTAACTGTTGTCATGGTGACGGAGGTAGATCTTACCTTTACTGGTAATTTAGAAGGAAGTTGTTTTGGTTTTTCTTTCTCTACCTGCTCTTGTTTTGGCAGGGCTGGAGTTCTTCTAGCTAGATTACTCCTATGTGTGTTTTTTACAGGAATCCTAGACCTTGCTTCTAGACAGGGAGAAGAATTATTTTGCTTTGTTTTGTCGGGCTTACTAGCTTCTTTCGCTTTACTCCCTGTATTGCTTTGGAGATTATTTTGGGAAAAGACTTGTTTTACTGAGCTGGCCTTTACAGGAAGCTTTGATTTTCCTCTAGCTCCTACCAACTCTGTTGACTTTTGCTGCTCTCCGTGTGGCTTTTGCTTATCTCTTACTCTGTGTCCTTGTGTTGTCCCTGTACCTTTTCCTGAAGTGCTTTTCGCTTGATTAGCTTTCTGGAGGGAACATTTCGGTTCCAAATGTTCTTTTAGCACTACATTACAGGTAATATCATCTGTAGGGACAGCAGATGAATCCAAATTGTTGTTGTTATTAAAATTATCTTTTGGAAAATCAGTGTTTTCTGTTTGCCTACAGCTCGTCTGGCTAGAAGCTGAACTCGCAATCACTTCTACAGTTTCATTTTCTAATCCCTCACCACTTGGCATCACAGCTTCTATCTTATCTGTCACTTCTCCAGGGCCATCTTTCTTCAGAGTCATGGTGGAAGCAGAAATTCCCATTTTAATTGGTGTGCGCAATTTGGGATCAACTTTGGAAGCGTTTACTGCTGCCGATGATTTCTCCAGGGAGTTACTACCAAGTGTTTGTTCCATGCAATCTCCACTGGCCTGGATGCCGGGCATATTTTCAACTGCTGTTGTTTCTACTGGTCTCTCTAGGGTTGTTTCTACAGTGCTGTCCCCTGCCTGTGGCTGTGTGATGGCAGTGACTGTACTTTTATCCCCTTCCCCCTTGTCCCCTGACTTCCCTTCAGAAGTATGCTCACCAATCTGAAAAAATTGGAGTCTTTCTTCAACAAAATCCCTCTTGCTCATGTCAATTGCACCACTGCGAGTCATCTCAAACATCTTCCCCTCATGAAATGGGAAGGGGTTGGGCTCGCTAGTTGGCGTACTCTCATCTGTTGGAGTTCTGGCTGGTGTTGTGTCAGGTGTTGTTGCTTGAGATCTGTCTTCCACTGCCAGACCAAATGGCTTAGCCTCATCCTCCCTCGATTTAGTCTCAAACACTTCATCGTCACCTCGGTTATTCGACCACGGGTCAAAATCTAGACTCTTGGTGGCCACAGTTTTGAAGGGTGTTGCGAATTCTTCGTCTACTTTGTAACTGAAATACGAGTCAGGAAATACAGTCCTGTCAGGGTGTCTGCCTTCCAAAGAGAAAAACTGTGCCCCTGACTTCTTATCGCTCTTATCTCCAGCTTTGTCAGAAGATGGACCTTTGGAAGGTGTCTTGTCTTCTTCAGGGCCTACCTTGCCTTCCTCCTCAATGACTTCAAGCTTACTCTGGCTAAAGCAGCGATCAGTCTGCTTTAGAATGCCTTCTGTAGTCCATACGTCCTTTTTGGTTTCAACTGCCGGACCTGCAAGTTTAGAATCACTCTCAGTTAAACCATCATCTTCATCTTGCAAATCATAACCGTCCAGAGAGTCAATCTCTGTCGCATCGGTATCATGGGAGAATTCTGCAGTGGTTGCTATGGAACACTCTGTGACAGACTGGTCATTGTTACTCCCATTTTGCACTACATCATTCTGGGGTGACTCAACCCCATTGTCAAACTCATTGGGTTTCCCAGAAGTGGGATGTCCTAACTCTTTCTGTTTCTCAATCTTTTCAGGGGCTTTGGGTTTTGAGGTCTCTTTGTGGTCATCTTCCAGCTCTTTCAGTTTGAACGTATACTTTTTAAGCGGAACGGGCTGATAGAGGGATTCATCATCACTGGAGTCACTGACATCTGCTCCCGGTGGCACAGGAGAAGGTGGCTGCACTCTGATGACAGGTTCAGCCAGCTGACACTTGTCGTGTTCATCTTGCAAGTTCACTTCAGTCATCTCCATCTCACTCTCAGTCGAATAATGAGGCTTCTTTTCTGATTCACCTTGATCTGCATCCAGTGGTGGAGGAGGAGGGAATTCAATATAGGCAACTCTGTTACCTTTGGGTCTTTTGTTAGAGTCCTTGTTTATGAGATTAGGCAATGTTTTGTCAATCTGTGGTTCCTCAACCTCTGCCTGTTTCACAGATGTTGTCTTAGCCTCTGCTTCCTCCTCTGACTCCTCAGACACCTCAGGTATAGGGCTGGGCTTGCCTGGGATATAAGCTATTAGTGAGTCAGGTGTTTTAGATGTAAACTCGTAACTCACTTCCTCTGAACTCGGTGTTTCTGGTGTTAAAGGGCTTTTACCAGAGCTGTCTATAAAGGACACTTGTTCTAGCGTGTCATCCTCTGGACTACCTTGTGGAGAAGGAGGCTGTTTCTGCTGCCTAGCTGTGTAAAATGTCCCCCTCGTCTCTTGTACCGTCTTACTTTCCTGACTGACAATTTTTTTAATACTACCTTGTTGCACCTCTTTCTCATATTGCTTTCCTACTTGAACAAAACTGACATAAACAGGTAAAGTCTTAATTTCTTTGACTCCCTCAGTGCTCACTAGCGGTGCAACTTTATTCAAGTAATCACAGGCACCGGGGTCAGCTATGTCACTTGAAGGGAATTCCTTTCCTGGGCTACATTCTAAAGAATCTGGTGATTTGCTAGGGGATAGCTCTGTTTCCTCAGCAGGAGGACTTAGACCTATTGAGCTCTGCTGCTTGGTAACCTTTCTGATTTCTGAATGCTTTATTTTTTCATCTTCCACATAATCAATCTGCCTTTCAACTTTCTCCTGAATCACAGCTGATTGGGATACTTTAGCTGAAAGTTCATAGACACCATCAAGCATAGCTCTCTTCTCCTCAACAATTCTGACTGGGATATGGGACACAGCAATTTCTTCTTTCCTCTTGGATATTTTATCAGCCACTTCACCATTACGTTCCCCCTCCCTGACAACAAATTCTCTGTATAAAACCCTTTTTGAGGGGGATTTTACAGTCAGTTCCTTCACTTCTTCCGAATGGATCCCATTTGAGGCCACTTTGTGCTCTGTCACAGTGATAAATTCACTTTTTTGGTCAGTTTTAGATTCAGCATGATCAACATGGTTTTCTTTTACTGTATCTGGAACCAGCACATGTGAAAGCTTTTCCTTCTGTGTTTTATGGTTAGAAGTTCCAGGACTTTCCCACGTCCTATAGATTTTTTTGTCCCAGTGTCCCTTCGCTGTTGAGTCTGAGCCATACGCCAGGTCTTTTGCCCGTGGTTCTGAAATGCATTCTGCCACGCCTTTCCTCATCTCAGTTCTTTGTGCGTCTGAAACACGAGAGTCTTCCACAGCTTTCCCTTTACCTGGAACAAGGTCTTCCTGTATTTTCACCTCTTTCTGCAAAGCTGTGCTCCCATCAATGACCTCTATTTGCTTTGCGTGCTTCTCTCTTGAATAGGACTGATACACTGGTAACTTACTTTCTTGCAATTTTTTAACTGGAATTTTGGACTGACCATCCAGCTTTTTTTCTTCTTGAGTTACGTCCTTACTTCTGGGACTTATACCTTGCTCAAATTTAAGCCTAATGGAACTGAGCTTTGACTGCTTCAGCTGAAATCCAGTCTCAGGCACTCCAGTCTGCTGAGCGCTTCCTTTGTGTTCCATAGTTCGTTTAGAGTCCTCTGCAGGTTGTACATATATCCTTTTTTCAGGACTGCTGGGCAAACTGGATGCTTTCCTTTCATCCACCTTGGGAAAGCACTTCCCATCGTGTGCGTACTGCTTCACCTTACTCCAATCATCCCCAGATGATGGCAATTCAGAGAGCAGAACCTTCTCGGGGCTGCTGCTGGCAGAGCTCTGGCTAGAATGTATTTCCTTGCCATTTTTTTTATGCTGCTTTTTCTCTGGAGACTGTAGCTCATCATTCAACTTCTCTGTTTTATCCCGAAAAAACTGGGATACTTCAGTCAGTTTTTCTTCTGCCTCTTTAACAGTCCTGTCCACCCTGTCTTCATATATCAACTTTTCTCTACCTCTGTCTAATCTGTCCTCAGTAAAGCGCATCCACATTGCATGTTTGTGACTACTAACATCTCCAGTGTAGTGTAACACTGTCACTTTATCATAATGATCCTCCTTAGACATTTTACCTACACCATTTTCAGATACATCTTTATAGATTTTGGAGATAATCTCTTTTTTGGGGGCAGTAGCTACTTTTTCTCTGCATCGTTTATCAGTCCCCTGTAACTCTACACTAAGGGGTAGAGCATGGTCAGTAACTGACTCCTCAGTATCAGAATGAGACACATCTAGCTTTTCTGAAAGAAGCATTTTCTCAGCAAACCTGTAAGACTCCCCTCTTAGTTCTGACAACTCATCATCATGGTATTCTACTGAGTGCTGACTCAAAAGCTTCAGTGTTTTGTAAGAGTCATCAGACATGAGTTGAGCAGAACTAGGGCGACTGTCTTCTTCCTGGGACACGGGAGTGTTAACTCTAGAGGATTCCAGATAAGAAGGAAGTGACTCTTCGGCCGTGAGCTCCTCTTCTTCTTGCTGACCTTGTTCGTCTGAACAAGGAAAAGCATCATGTTTTTCCAACTCTTTTAAGTTAATATCTCCCCGAGGTAAGTCTTTCTGATATACATACATTTCTTTTTCTGGATGCTTTTTTGTTTCTCTAATAATGACTTCAGTAGGTTCAGCCTGATTACCTTGTTCAATATGGACCTCTATTATTCGCTCCAGTTTGGGTTTCATTTTGCTGTCCTTCTCTGCATGTTGTGGTGAAGTTTCAGCAGACTTGCTAACATCGGACGTTACTGATGATTTATGTTCAAACAGACCTGCCAGTTCTTTGGAAGGGTCACGTCCAGACTGAAAGGCTTTCATTATGTCATGAACAGACATTGTTTCCTCAATTCTTTCAGAGGTGCTTTCTGTGCATGGAGGTTTATGATAAACCATCCTAGTTGTTGTAGTGATATGAGTTTCTTCTTTTACTCGGACACCTTTACCAAGGACGCACTTATGGTCGTCCTCTTCACTGCCACTGGCTTTCATTTGAAAAGCTTTAACCTTCTCTTTAATGGACCCAGAAGGTTTTTGCTCCAGCTCCATAAATGTAGGGGAAGGTTTTGAAGCTGGTAGCTCCTCTGCCTTCTGCTCTGGAATATCTTCCGAAGATGGTTCATAGCTGCGGATGACGTGAACTACTTCAGTTCTTGTTTCTGTAATGACAGGAGGGATGGGCACATCATGGAAAAGTGGTTTTGGCCCTGTGCTTTCAGCACTTTGTGGGGCAGAAGGTGTCTTTTCGCTCCTCGTTTCAAAGCCACTGTCAGACAAGGGACTTTTATCTTGATCATGTTGAGAAAAGTCATCTGGAGACTCTAAAATAGTGTCTGTTCCAAAAAAGGAGTCTGCAATTTTACATAACTCCTTTTCCGATGTTGAAGGCCTCATGGAGGCTGGAGGCATTTTAAGTTTATGTTCCTGCAAAGCGATGGCTGGTTTTAAAATGCGCTTTTGTCTCTCTTCACCTTCTTTTTTCCCCTCTTCAAACTTGTACTTTATGTTTGTTAATGAACTGCTACCGATATCATTCGCTAAGTAATCAATAACTTTTGACAAGCTATAATCCTTTTCCGACATGGTTTTAGTTTTAATTTGGACCTTCTCTGGAACAGATATAGGAGGGCTTGTCAAAGCTTGCTGTCTCGCTTCATCAATCTCCTCTGTACTGAACTCTACCCAGTCATCCTCAGACAGGTGTCCTTGATCACTTTTGGGTACTTTAGCCGACCCTTTACTTTCTAAACACACATCCTTTTTCAGAATCTCACTAACTTTTACTAAGTCCTCTTTTACTTTCTCAACAATTTTAAAGGGCTCTTCATCATCAATTCTACCCTCTTTTGGTATGTCAGGTTGGAACGGCTTGTCCTCTGCGACATCTGTCTGCAATATCGCAGTCATTCTTATCAGATCCTCTTTCATTTCAGCAACATCTTTCAGTATCTCCTGACTGGAGGATAAGGAAGATGGTGTGGACAGTTTGAGAGCAGAGGGTGCTAAAAACAAGGATGATTTTATTGGAGATGAAGTTCGAGTAAAGGTAGGCTGCGTGCGTGCCTCTGTAGTCAATGTTTTAATAGGTGACAGTAACGCAGCGGCTGATTTTGTAAGCGAAGACGACTCTGGGAGCTTCTTTAATGCTGGTTCAGACAAAACATTGACTACAGAATATACCGGCACTGTTATTGTTGATGAAGTTACTGATGAGGTAGTTGCAGATATTGACCCAAGGGCTGTGTACAAAGCACCTGCAGGAGGAGTTCTCATTGACTGGAAAGCTGATGGTGCTGAAGACACAAATGACCTGAGTGGAGAAAATGACATTGTTGTAGCTGTTGAAAATACTCTCTCAGCCGTGTCAGCAACTGCGTTAGCAGCACAAGTTGCAGAATGTGCAGCTGCAGAGATCTTGTCTTGAAAAACACCTGCAGCTTTGGATCCGTTTATTAAGTTGGCAGAGGATGGGTATTTCAGAGGTGACACAGACCCATTGAGCAATGGTACATCTGTGTGCCCAGCTACATGTTTTGCTGGCGACGAGAGAGACGAGGCCATCATGACTTTAGTGGATGAAACAGCATCAACTGCTGACTTAGCAGGTGACACCACTGACTTTAGAGGGGACGATAAAAGTGAGGATGCTGATGTGATGACCGATTTAAGTGGCAAGCTCGAAGAGTACATGTTAATGTTGGATTTGGGGGATGCTGGAGGCGTCATGGTTATGGATGATCTCTCCAAGAGAGATCCTGCTGTAGTTACTGGAGATGTCCGAGAGGGGAATGTGGTAGTGGAGGCCAGCCCTTTGAGACTGGCAGCTTCTGTGACTGCGGGAGCTCTGATCAAAGAGCCTGAAGTGACCTGCATGTTGTAGGGAGGCTGCGAGACCACAGTTTTTATTGGCGAAGAGATTGTCCGAAACGATCTAATCGGAGATGCTACATCACTAACAGATTTAACTGAAGACGTGGTAGAAGCTCCTAACGTGGATTTGATTGGAGAAGTAGAAGAAACAGACCATATTGATTTTAATGGGGAAGCTGTAGGAGTGTTAGAGGAAGAGCTTGATAAGGAAGTGAAGCCTGATTTGGTTTGCCCAGGCACTGTAATTGGAGCTGTTGTCCATGACTGATATGGCCGTGTTGAAAAGAATGGCTTGTATGAGTAAGTAGCAGGTAGGGATCTTGTTGCTCCTGCACTCCGTTCAACTGTTTCTTAAATTGTTAAATTAAAATCAAACATAAAAATCAACAAAAATGGTTGAAAAACAGAGAGACCAGAGAAGAAAATTGGTCAGTAAACGTTGTAATATTACAAAAAGCAAGTACAATTGTTTGCGTGAGTTGGGATGGAAGAGGCAAAAGAAGATTTAAAAAAGGAAAGAAAAAAATTAGGAACGAGCCATATACTGATAACTGGTCTGAACCAAAAAGCAACATGAAATGGAAGACGGAAAGCACATAGCAACCAAATCTGCAAACAATGGAGAACAGAAAACACACAAAAGGAATAAGGTAAAAATAAAGCCACATCAAAATTTCTTCTCTTACTTCCTATTGACTTTCTGATGTGCTACTTCTGAAATACTCATATCAGCTTTATTTTGCCTGTTTAGGTATGTCTCTGCTTTGTGCAACTATTAGAATTATCCATTTAATAATTTCTATTGTTGTTCTGTTCAGATTTGATCCTATACAAAAATATAAACTTGCAAAAAATGACATTATGTAGCTAAAATATTTTTTTAAACCGCTTCAGAACTATTTCATGCAGAAACCAAAATTCCTTTAAGTGACAGGCAATTGATGTGCAAACTGTGAAGCAACTGGAATAAATTCAAATCTATATCTTCCATGCACAATTCGGATATGCTTCACACTCACAAAGCCAATAAGAGCAAGAGCTTTTCTGAGTCAATATTTAAAAAAAAAAAAAAAGAAAAAAGAAAGAAAGGAACATATGCATTTGTTTCTCATGCAATATTCCTTTTGTCTGGTAAAAATGAAAGTAAAACTTTTCATGAAATGATTTTAAGAAGCATATGTTGTAAATGAAATGTGGCAAGTATGATGTATGATAGTTGTGAGCAGGCAAAGCAACTGAATCAGTTTTTATTCATGCACAAATGTCATGTCAGAACGAGCACACAGATTAATCCATTTCGTATGGTGTATTAAGCACAAATACATAAACCTTACAAAATTTCACAAGAGGTCATTAAAGAAGAGTACACTTTTTCTACAAGATGTAGTGTCTTGGTACCTTTTGAGGAGATTTCTTGTATCAGCTCAAAGACAGACCTGTTCAACTTTACAGTTCTCAAAAGGTAACATTAGAAAAGCAGTCAAAAGAAAATAGATTATGAAATAAATTCCTAGCAAGGACAAACCTGTTAAATGTTATCATCCCCCAGAACTCTCAGCTTATTCATAGGCATTTAAACAGAATTATCATCAACCATATTTTGCATCACAGGAGGCACTCATGTCAGAAAGTATTTCTGGGAATTGCATCACACAAACATATCCTCTGATACAGCAATAACATTCAGAGAGTTGACACTGAAAGCAACTTTGAGGAATTTTTGTTTTCCTTTAAAGTTGGAATTAGAAATGGAGCTAAAATATGCAAAGAACTTATTCAACATACCTTTCTCTGAAGTTACACTAATAATTTGTCAAATCTGCTTGATCTGTCTTATAGACAGGCAGTAATTCACAGTGAAAGAAACTCAACAAGGCTAAACTGAACTGTTTCAGCACACACTCCTACAGAATAGTGAATATTCAGTGCACCACAGGTCCACATCCTGCAAGGAGAAATGTGCTGGTCCTATAGAAGCCAATCAAAGCCCAGAGGTCAGTGTGGATGGCTGGTGATACTTGATAAAAACATTTATGTTGAAGAGAGCTTGAGTACTAGCCCTGACTGGCACAGACTGAATCAAGAAATGCCCACTTTTTGTACTACAATATTTTAAAGTGGAAATACACTTCTCTCTCCCCACCCGAACAAAAACCCCAAAATGTACTTAATCAAATCAACTATTATGAAGCTATTATAAATACTATTATTTATTATGAAGATTTAATTAGCAGTACCTGCTAACATTCACCAGAAGTTCATAGAGTCTTGAGTTCAAGAAACAAACCCCAAAATGATTCTGAAAAGAACTAATAACTTGTTCAGCAGTTAGTGTTAGGACGTGTCTTCACTGGAACCCCACGGCACCATCACGAGCTGGTCTGTCACAACTGACTAGAGAGGCAAGCAAACCCACAGGCTGCCCCCTCCTCACTCCTCTTTGCCTGTCAAATCACAGATTCAGAGACATTTAAGATGCTGCTTCTGTGCTCCTTTTTGCAGTTGAAGAGCTAAAACAATCTGCCAATTTTTTTGCGAATGAGACTTAATGGACCTTTGGTGAATAAATAAGACCTTTTTTTCCCTCCCAGTGAGGGGGGAAAAATTTATTGTGAATGATATATACAGTCATCAAGCTTCTTTCCAGCAATTTTATTTTCCCCCTCTCTCAGTTCCAATCAAGCCTGTGACAATACCTTAACAGTCCATCAAGATGTCTCAGCAGATCTGAGAGCTTCTTCAGATGTTATATGCTTGGAGTCTTCTTCCCGGCCTGAGAAGTGCAACATATTCTGGAGCACATCTGATCCAAAGAAGCCACAGATCTTATAGGATAATTAAGCAGCAGCCATCCAGTGGGAACTCCCAAGACCCGATGAAGTTTGTCTACAGATTTTATGGAATTATATCAAAGGGTCTGTTGCAGGGTAGCAACTGAGATGTCAAAAGTGGGGGGAAAAAAAGGCAAGAAAAAGCCTGGAAATGGGAAACAATAGCAGTTGACCTTATAGAGGAGAAGTGAGGAAGAAAAGCTAAGCCAAATACATTACTGTATTTAACTGGGGAGGAAAAGAATGCCACAGGTCTGGTCAAGGGGAACACATGTTTAGGAAGAGGCAATGTGTGGTGCCAGGGAATAAAAAGCATCTGCAGGGAACAGAGGAAAAAGGGAAGGAGAGGAGAAAGAAGAGGGAAAATATAAAATATGAGAGACTCTATTTTGGCTAAACATTTAAACATTTAAGCGCTTATCTGAGTGGCTTTCTGCATATTTGTGTAACATCCTGTTCTACAGCATCTTTCTTTAATGCTTCAAAGGGGAGATGAAAAGACTCTTTTTGAAAGCAATTTGCAATCCTCCTACTCTGGAACTACATTGAACTTTTTTAAAACTATTATATTTTTACTTAACTAACACACATAATTTGCCAGTCAGGATTCTTCAAGCTCTCACAACACAAGAGTTCACAGACCATCCAAGAGTTTTGTTTTAGACAGCTTTTTTTTTCCTTTTCTCCTTTTTTTAAATTTTTTTTTCCCCAGAATGACACCAAATACAACGTTTATAGAAAAAATGTCTCTTCTTATGAACAATCACATCTACATGGTTTAGTACTTTGGTAAGAGCAACTCACTCATTCCAGGCTCAGTCAGATAGCTGTAGCGCTTACGTAAAGCAAGGGAGACGAAGTTCTGGCGCCGGTCAGCCTTCTCCGTCTGCAACAAAACACAGCAGCATTTAGGGCTGGGGAACCACTGCCTCCATCTGAACAGAGCAGTCCTCACACCTCAGCAGGATGGGCCGCTTTTCGTGGCACACAACCCCACAGGGGAGAATGGGTGCTTCCATTCAGCTTCAGGATGGCATGCTGAAGCCGAAGTTGGGCGAGCAGGCAGGGAGGGGGCAGAGGCAGCCTCTGCTCCCGGGTGCCGTGAGATGAGTGCCAGGCAGGGAGCACAGAAACCTGCTGTGAGTGACCACCCTTCTGCAGCAAGCAGGGAGGGACTGCAACCCTACTGTGAGCCCTCAGGTTCATTCCTCTGCTCGTCAGGTAGAAGAGCTGAGACAGCAGAAGCAGCTCATTACCCTGCCTTAAAGCATCTCCGTACTGTCTTATTGCATTATCACTTAATAAACTGCTTCACACTACTAGAAATGGTGTGGTTTTGTTCATTCTCTGTAAAATAAACCACTTTTGGCTAGAAACAGGAGGTGAACACAAAAGACTACAGGTAGAGACAAAACATTCATAAGAGTGAGTGACCGATTGAGTATTGCCCCCAGATTAGCTTGTCCCGAAAGCACACACACCACGACGTACAACTGGCTTTAAAGTGAATACATTAAGGACAAAAAAAGGCATGGGAGGGGATTTTTTAATATGCACAAAATGCAAAGATGTGGATTAGAAAGCAGACTCCTCTTGTTAACTAATAAATTGCCTCATAAGTTGCTGAGTTCAGCAGGATAGCTGCTAGTGTGGTGTCTTTAATATTAATAGTCCTTCAGAGATAAACTCAAATATGTGACTAAAAATACAGTTTGTTTAGAAAGAGAACTATCATTATAGCCATATAATAGCTCATTGGGAACAAATTCTGTGGCGGTAAAGTGATGTTTTTGCTATTATTATTTTTTAGCATGTAAGGAATGCTTTGGGTTGCATTGTTTGGGGTTTTTTTTAGCTACTCTAATCAGCAGGTGACAACTGCTATTTATGTGCCACCAGGAACAGAAAAAAACATTGCTGCTAGGTAAATTGGAAACACCTATGTAGTTTCCTTTACAAGATGATCTCATCTCTACCTACCTCTAATGAGTAAAACCCACTCAGTTTTCAGACAATCTAATGTTGGTCTTTCCATGAAACAGTGGGTTTTTAAGCTGCAAATATCTGAGGTTGATTTGAAAATAGATTTGAACACAATATTTAGAAATTGCTCTTGGCTTGTTTGCTTTTTTTTGGAAGAATCCAGTTTATTTACAGAGGTGAGATATTAAAGGCCACTATTGTGGCCTCAGCAGTACCTTTTCTCTTCTCAGAAAAACAAGTTACCATAGCAGTGTCAGTATTACTCCAAGAGGTAAAATATTATCCACTAAACTCCTCTTGATTTTACCAAAATTTGACTACTTCTGATAGTCATAATTATATCCTTTTTCAAAAGAAAATTAGCTAAATTTTAGACTGCTTTTATTCAGTGCTTGGTTTAATTTCATCATTTATAATCATGGAGTTTCCCATATTTGTGCAGCTCTACTGTTTTACAGCAGCCTATCAGAAGCTGAGGATGTGGTTATTTTTCTGTAGGTATCATCTCAACACCACCATTAAAAAATAGTTGTTTGTTTTTTTCTATAACATACTACTTTTCTTCACTAAATCTGAAGGAAATAAAAACAGAAGACAGTGTGTATATTACCTCATCATCTTGATCTGACTCTGTTTCCTTTTGGTCCCAAGATGCATTGCAGAGACAAGGAATATTATAATGGACAGCAGGGAAAAGAATATCAGGATATGAAAAGGACCAAATTGGGAGCACAAAATGCAAGCTGATTTATAAGGCAAAGCAAATCCAAAATGTCAACACAAAAGAAAAGAAAAGAAAAAAATCTTACATCCAATGCAAATAAACACGTGACATTACTGAAAGCATAAACCTATGACTTGCAGGCTGAAGCATGAGCTGTAAACAGAACTGTAAAAATTATAGGAACTTGACACCACAGTAACAAGAGACTTTAAAAGCGTTCTACATACAAGAAACCAATAAAACATACATTTTCAAAGCCTTTGTCATATTCCAAAGCATTCTCATTACTGACAGTTCACAAGGTTTCTTTATGACTAGCAGGAAATTAAAAAAAAAAAAAAAAGAGAGACAAAACTCAAAGGAACAAAAACAAATCCAACCCAACCCTAAGAAAAATGTTTACTTTTCCAAACAAATACCTTTTTATGTGCTGGCAGAGTGATATTCAAGTTGCAAACAGCTGTTTGTGGCAGTCCTTTTGTAGTCTTTGGTTCTTTCAAAAATGATAATCGACCACAGGGCTCCTGGCTGGTGTCTCTTACCTAGAAAAGAAATTTTGCTTCAGCACAGTAATATGTAGTTATTAAGGCATTAATAAGATGTAGTAATAGTAATATAGCAGTAATAGTAATATATAGTAATTCAGAGACCTAGAGGAGGTTTCTGGAACAGTTCTCAGAATTTCTTTCTACAAGGAGCTCTCTAGTGTGTAAAAACTAATAATACCAAGCTGGAGCTCAGCCCGAGGTGCTGAAGGAGAAAATGTGTTACTGTGAAAGAGTTTTAGGTCAGCCTGAAGCTCCCTGATGGCAAATCCACACAAGACAAGGTGCTGAGTGAGTCCAACCTGAGAGTTTCATACCGGGATGTTACCGACAGGCACTGTCTGCCCACTTCATTTCATTCTGCCATGTTTTGCCCTTGCGTTTACCAAAATGCTTAACAACCTCTCCAGCAGGGCAGCTGTGACAAGGCCAAGGAAAGTGAGCACCATTCCTGGCCTTTTAGGGATGAACAGTCTGCACACACCTTCTGCAGGCTGCTCTGAAGTACAGGATGTTACTGGATGCATCTCCTTTGCTTAAACCCTCAGAAATTGTCACCTACTGGGACTCCAATTTGAGATATGGTTTTAGTAAAAGGCTGTCAATCCATATCATGGGTATTCTGCTCCCAGATGTGCCAGTAGTTCTGCTGTGGCTTCAAGCAAAGCACCCTCTCCATGTTATGCACATATTAAAGAACTACAATTACAAATCCCAGATCCCAGGGGCAGGTTAGTCCTGTAGGGCTGAAAAGGGGAAGTGGGACTGTGGGAAGGGAGGAAAGCAACAGGATCGTTTATTTAGTTTGTTTTTCTTTTACCTTGATAGAGAATGGGAGTCTATTTTCTTTGAAAGCATAAAAATTAAAAACAAGCTGCTGTCCTCCTTTAGTCAAAGGGGCCAGATTTCCATAGCAATCAACATAAATAGGTTTTCCTTCAAGAACCTACCAAAGCAAGAACAAAATGTCAATAAAACCTCTTTTAATAGTAGATTAATGCATATAAACATCATGATTTTCCCCAACATAATTCCTGAGTTTAACACAAGTCCCCACCTGGTTATATTCAACAACAAATTAGAATATCACTGTGCACTATGGCAAGGTATTATGAGTACAGGCAGTTTGGAAAACCACGAGCCACCTGATGGCTTTTCTGAAGTACGAGTGCGTAATTTTCTTTGAGAAATAATAAGTTAGTGACTGTGATTTGACCACAAGCCGGTCCTACTCCTGCCTGTGTGCCTGCAGGGCCAATGAGAAGGAATTCCCTCTGTCTGCAGAGCCCAGCCAGGGCTACTTGACAGCAGTGAGGGCAAACCCCACTGCAGACTACACTGGGACACCCACAAGTCCTCATTCTCCTCCAGTCTCATCCTGTTCTGTTCTTCCTTTGAGAATTCTCATGCCACAGCCTTGCTGTGAACCTTTGTTTAACAGGGCTTGTGTGGCTTTTGCAGGAGCTGCTGCTATTTGGAAAACACACTGCCCACCAAGAAGGAGGAAGCCAGCTGCAAGGAATGTACCTCAATGTCTTTGCTCCTGGCAACTTCCTCAAAGTTCTCTTGTTGCTCCAGGGTTTTGTCCACTTTGTCGTCAGTCATGCAGAAGCAGCGCAAATTGGATTCCACAGGGTCATTCATTTTGGCAAATATCACAAACTTTGCCATGTAAGGAACGCATATTAATTCTCTGTAAAGCTGTGTTGCCAGCCCAACAGTCTCTAGTACTTGGTGGCAGTCTGCGAGCCAAAATCTGAGTGGGGAAAAGCAAACCATTCAATCAATCAACTTTTCATTATGCTCCAACAATTCATTAAGGCTTAAAGAGAAACTGTGTCCTGTATCCTTGGTCATTTTGCATGTGTACTGTCCTTGCAAAATTGCCACAGCTGTAATTCTTCTTCTACTCTCAGCACAGCTTTAACCATCCAGAAATGGGAATACCTGGCAATGAAATGCTGACATACCTAGCTAACCCTTTTCAGACTGGTATCTCATAAAACTATCAATCTGCAGGCTCATTTGAAGCCAAAGTGAGGAAATTGAATTTCATGTGACCTTTAATTTCCTGTAATGTGCTGATGCTTCACTATACATCTGAGTTGCTAAAACAAACACATTTATAACATACACATCAAATCACATCTCCATCTCTATTCAGGCTGAACCAAATATGCCCATGGTGAAGTCTCCACAGACAGGTGCTACACTGTTATTTTCTCATTTTATGATTAAGAGTTTGAAGACAAGTATGATAAAAATAATTTATACCTTGTATCAGTCTTTCCTACAATATTTCAGCCCTGATCTATTTAGTTTTCCAGCAATTCTCTCTCTTTTCATAAAAGTTTTTATAGTTGCAATGTCATTTACTGATTGATAAACTCTCTACATTCTATGCCATGAATTTTCTTCACTAGGATTTGTACAAATCCTGGTAAATGCCTCCATTTAGCATGCAAGTCCATCAAGTCCATCAAGATTCATTTGAACTCACCATTTTTTACAAAAGCTATTTTTGTGAGAGCAATTTAATATAATTTTCAACTAAAAAGCCCAAAGCCAGAAGTTAATAACCTTTAAATTTTTAAACAAATGCATTGTTATGATTCCCCCTCCCTTTTTTTTTAACGGGAGGAACATTTTGAGCTTTCTCTCTCTGTTGCCATTTACAGCAAAACCAAAGCCCTGTGTGGCATGGCAGCTTTCAGAGGAACAGGCTGTGTGCCAGCCAGGAGCCGCTGTCCCAGCCAGGGCAGAGCTCTGTGTGTGTGCAGCCCTGGGTGTGTGGGACGCTGATGGGCAGGGACACAGCAGCATCTGGGCCATCACCACTTCATCAGCCTCGTGAGAGGCTTCCAGAAAGCCAGAACACGATCTCCCAACCAGGCAGGGTGCTGGCCAAGGGAAGGCACTCCTGAGGGGCAGCTGGCAGGGTCTGCTCCCATACCTGGCAGAAACATTGGTGGTGAAGGAGACGCAGTCGTTGGAGAACGTCAGCGGCGTGGTGCCCGTGATGTCCTCCCACTGCGCGGGCGACGTGCCTCCTGTGCAAACACACACCAGGCAGGTTTCCTCTCAAACACTAGCCACACACAGACTGCATAAAGAACACCTCTATCTACACACACTGAAAGAGAGCCTAGACATTAATGTTGTCCAGCAGCTGAGCTCCACGTTATCGTGGAGCATCAACAACGCTACATGGCATCACACGTCACACAACAAAAAACAAAGATGTAAGCAAAGAACATACCTACAAGTCAACAGCAACCCCCCCTCTTGATATCAGCTAGGACAGAATTACTTCTGCAAGCTACTTTTACTGACAAGCACATTTAAAAACCAAGACTGAAATTTAACAGGTGTTGGGAGAGTTCTTTTAAAATGGGACCAGATACAAAGCTCATGGAACCAGTGGGAGCCTTGGAAAAAACCTCAGCTGGTTTTGCTCAGGAGAGCTGATCATGCAGGTGTTGTGAGAGTGGGCACAGAGCTGCTGCTGCCACAGAAACCTTGGCAAACAACAGGGTTTTTTCTAACCTGTAATGCTACATAAGAGTCGAAGACTGGGAGTCGTGTCTCCTTTGTACCCGTTGGTCACTCCTTCTCCTGATGGAGGTGGCACAGGAATTGTCATGGTTATTGGCTTATGGAATTTCCTTCTTCTCGGCTCCACAGTGACAATGGGACTGAATGTTGCTTTGTTTCCAAGGATTTTTTTGACAATCTCTTCTGGAACTGGTTGAGCCTGTCAACATGGGGAACATACTTAAACTAGAGCTACAAACTGTTTATAGACATGCAGAATTATTTTCTAAATGATAATTCTATTTTCTTTTTATTTTCTGTAGATTTTTTTTTCCCTCCAGGAAACCTTCTCAAGGTGATTACTAGTGAAATTCATGTTTAGTTTTTATTCAAAAACTCACTCCTGAATTCCTAAATGCTAAATGGTAGAGCTACACTATAAACCTCAGAAGGTTCCCTGCAGTATTTGCTGAGAGTTTTTCAGAGTATGTTTGGTTTTGCTCTTAGTGACATTACATACAATTTCAAAATGCAAAACTAGGCCTATTTTGCACTTGAGAAGTGAGGACTAGACACTGTCTCCTGGAGGTGACAGACAATTCTTACATCTCTGCCAAACACATATTCATGCTCTCGAGGAACACTGCACCCCAACTGACCTCTGTATTCAGTGCTTCCTGTGATTATTAGAAAGAAATACTTGTTTGGGTCAAAATCACAAAGAATGCATGAAGTTACAAAAGACTTACAGGTAAATTTCACATTTTCTACAGTCAAAAATGACAGACATGGTAATGGGAGCTTGCATCCATTTGCCTTTTTAATTTTTTTAAACTTTCAAGGCTGTTTCAATCAGGCTGACCCATGACTTGCTATAATTCAAATTGCAGAGTGCACTGATATGCAGAGACCATGCAGTTACACTGCAGTCCCAGCAGTCACAGCACTGCATACAGAGCTGTCATACTCCCCTCACACTGGAGAGCTCTGGCAAGGCAACTGCATAACCAGAACAGCACAGCTTCCATTTTCTCAAGATTAACCATCTGGAGATGTGAAATATCTTTAACAGAAAAGTTTCAGTGTGAATTTCAAGCACTGAAATTCAAACCAGCATCTCTTTTTCATGACTTGTCATACTATTAAGGGAATTTTAAGTGATAACTAACTGAACTCAAAGATGCCTCCTATTCCTATGGAATATTTCTCCACTTTCTTCTGTGCAGTTAAAGTAGAATTTAAAGCTATATGCTCTTCCCAGATTTCACCCCTAAGAAATGCCAGTGGTGAATGTCCTAAGACACAGCAGATGTACATGGGAGGTTTTTAACTCAAACTATCATCTCTTTTTCATGAGCCCATCAGACCTGTCATACTAAGGGGATTTTTAAGTGATAACTAACTGAACTCAAAGATGCCTCCTATTCCTATGGAACATTTCTCCACTTTCTGTGCAGTTAGCTTAAGTAGAATTTAAGCTATGTGCTCTTCCCAGATTTCACCCCTAAGAAATGCCAGTGGTGAATGTCCTAAGACACAGCAGATGTACATGGGGGGTTTTTGACCCAGTAGCAGCTGGCAAACAGCTGCATGTAATCCCTCCCAAACCCATTCCCATGACAGAGGGCAGCCCAATGACCCTGCTCACAAGCTGTTGCTTCGCCACAGCAGACAGGGACTGCACAGGGGCTGTAGTGTTGATAGCTCCAGGTCTTTGCTTCCCTCTCTCCATTCCTGGGATGCTAAGCAATGATCATGGGGGCGATCCAAGGGCAGCTGGGCTTGTGCCACAGGGAGGAGGACTGTGCACCCGCCGTGCCTGAGGGACACTGAGCGTGCCCTGCAGGCTTGTGCCAACTCAGAGCTCAGGTGTGAAGAAGCCCCACTGGCAGTGAGCAGTGTAAGCTCCTGGAAGCTCTGTGGTTTCCAGTCCCATGCACCCACACAGGTACACTGAGAGAAGCTGAAGCTTTACCTGGAGCCCCACGCGGATCCTCTTGGTGAGAGCCCCCTCGGGGAAGGCGGCCTGCACCCGAGGCACCGTGGTGCTGCTCAGCACGCCGCCCTCGGGCCCGATCTGGTTGCTCTCCTGCTTGATGCGGGAAACCACGGCAAAGTACTGGGGGAAGTCCTTGGTGACGATCCGGCAGATCCGCTTCTTCTCCAGCTCCTCCGCGCTGTCCAGCTCTGCGGGCACAGACAGGTCAAACAATCAGGCTCCCCCAGCTTCATCCCACACACATCTGGGCCTTTGAATAAGCCTTAAAATGCCCAAGAAGGTTGGGAGGTTTATAATTATTTATTTACTACAGCAGTAAAAAATAAGCCATTCAATGCTATCAGTTATCAAGCTTTGGTTTTTTTTCTGTGAACTTTTGTACAAATCTTGATGATCAGGGCCAACAGCAATAGGCAAAAAGACTTGCTAAGATACCTAAATAGTGAGGTATAGAATCCTTTGAACCCCTCAAGGAAATCCCTAGGTGTGACAGTCTCAGTAGCTGCCACAGAACGACAGGTTTGTCACACGGCACAGAAGTCCAAGGAGGGCTGAAGGAGATAGTCAAGCTTCTTCCCTCTCTTGTTTCTATTTGGTCTTTCAGAGCATAGCTCCACATTATTCCCAGCCTCTTTCCCCGTATGGCTCTGACATAAAGCAAACCACAGGAGATCACAGTCAGTCCATGGCCTATCTCCCTTCATGCCCGGTGTGCAATCCAGAGCTTGGTCACCTGAGCCACTTGAGACAGTGGATGCCCAGACTGGCATCCAAAAACCCCAACCAGGCACCAAGCTCCCCATGAAACTGAGGAAGCAAAAGAGCTGTCTCCCAGCACCACCAGTGAACCAAGAGCAAGCTTCCCTTCCCCATCAGCATTCCAGCCATTTGGTTATCTGTCTCAAAATAACTGCAGTGTGCTCCTCAGTTCCTAGAGAACCTTAGATATCCTCAGACACAACTGAAACAGTCAGGTTACCAACCATTAGTGCCCTCAGCCACAATACCAGTTTGTAGGGTCACCAGGGCTCAGAAGGGTGCATAGAGTACCTATTCCTATCAATTAGTTCAGTGTTATTGCAGTTGTTCAGCACATGACATAGTTTTTCCCATATATGCACTGGGGAAAACTCTGATACAACAAAAATGTAATGACTTTTGCAACTATGTGTGTGTGTGTGTGCGTGTATATATATATATATATCTATATTTGCATTGGTGTCCCAAATGCTGTGGTGAAATCCCTGTGATATAAACACCATAAACAAATGCAGATAATTATATAACTGTCATGCATTTCTCCTTGTAACTTGTAGCACTTGGCCTTTTTATCTATTGTAATTGGATTTCACTGCAGCACTCCACAAATTTCAGCACTTATTTTCCTCCTTAAAAAGGAACTTTCTAAGCCAAAATTTGTTCCTCGAAAGATGACCTTTTTATCAGATTCAGCAAGAGAAAGCAGGAAGACCAGAAATAATACTAAGACAAAAGACACTTGTAAAATACTTTTCGTGATTGAGACATTTTCCTCCTCTAAACATGTAAGCTCAATTACAATTCCAAAAGAATTAGAATGCAAATTTGGTAAAATGTCAGTTTTCCATTTTAAAACATTCAGCAGATAGTTTGGATTAATCTCACAGTGTTGCTGTGGATCATATGTATCTACCAGAAGTGGATAATTTCTTATCATAATGTCAGCTTCCATTTACTTTGACTCACAGATTGATATCTGAAGCCCTCCAATGAATTAGTCACTCTGCCTGCAGCCTCTGGAAACAACGGCTTGTGCAGGAGACAAACTGGATTCCTAAATTCCCAGGCAGGTATCATCTTGACTGCTAAATCCTCATCATCTCCTGTTTGTTGCTAGAGAAAAAACCCACTGCAAAATGCTCACAGAGGTGAAGGATAATTAAAATTCTCCTGAAGTGGAAAAATAGTGATTTGTACAAGAACATTTCAAAGTCCTTTGAACCTGGCAGGCACTCTCCTTCAGAGGAGGAGGATGGGAAGATAAGAGTGGCAGAGTAACAGTCAGGCATGGAGAGGAGTTGGACTACATATAGGGAGGTAACGTTTGGATAATACATATGTAAGCTACTGTATGAAGTTGCCCTCTAACAGGGAAAAAAACCCCAAGATGATGAGCAATCAAACCATGTCTCTCACTGCCCTGAGAAATGCAGTGCTAACATGACAGAATTAATGAAACAGGGAAAACTAGTCCTGGGAGAGGTGACATTTCCTAAACACACCTCATGCCTTTTACAGAGGGAGATATCATCATTACTACTTCCCTCAGCTGCTGACACTTCATCCCTGGGCAGAGTGTCTCAATGATAAACCTTGAAGCATTTTTTGGTTAGGTGGTTGGGTTTTGCACGGAAGAGGGTTTTAGCCACAGAGCAGTATGCTGTGCACCCATCATGGAGATAGGGATAGCAGAGCATGGAGAGGCAAAGCAGAAAGGTCAGTGGCAGAACTGGGAAGAATCTCCCACTGCCACTGTCTCCCAGGCTTGTGCTAACAGCCCAAGAACTCCTAGAGCGCCACTCAGCTTTAGTGAGTCAAGAGAAAGGTGCTGTGAATATCATGGGTGCAGAAGTCTTCTCCTGCCACCCATGTGTGGGGTACACTTATCCTGCAATGGTTTGGTGCCTGATTTTCCACAGGAGTGATGGAGGAGACAGGAGATGGACAGAGGGGAAGGAGGCAGGAAAAGAACATCAGCGTGTGGTGCATGCTGCCACATGAACATTAAGGCTCTAGGACTGGAGAAGAGAAACCCAGCCATGTCCTCCAAGGTCAAGAGGAACCTCACACAGGCTGTCTTGGGTCAAGGAAAGCAATCACACCAGTTCTCTCTGGTGAGAGGCAGCTGTGGATCAAGTTCATCCACATCTAATACCTTTCTTTTTTTACTGTCAGATAAGGTAACACAGCGCAAGAATCTTCTGACTCAAAATAGAACAAGACAAGTCACAGAACACCTGGCAGCTTCATGAGCTTCAAGGTGTCTTTGTGTGGATCTGGTTTCCCTTGCCAGGGCCTCAGGAGAATTTTGCTAGCACTGAAAAAGCAAATCTCACCTGACTGAACAGCTCTCTGAGCTGTGCAACCCTGCCCCAGTCCCGGCTGGAGCAGAGCTGACCCTGCCACAGTGCCCAGACTGCAGGCTGGGGTGAGCACAGGGTCCCACCAGATCCCCCCACACAGAGCTGTGCCCACTCAGGAATTGCTGCACTCAAAGCACAGCACGCAGGAGGCAGCTTCCACATGGACAAAAATGCAGGAGGGGGATGGAGGCAGGGAGAGCACATGGAAGGAGAAACTGAGGGCAGGAAGGTGCTGGTAACCAGACCCACCCTCCCAGCCTCAGTGTTTCACACACACAGCCAGACACTCCCAGCGCCACAAGGATGCTTTGCTCTCAAACAAGGCAATGTCCTTTATGGCTGTTTTTGTGTGGTCTTTTACCTCGCCATTCACAGTTTAACAGCAATATGTTTAAAAACTTTTCTTGGAAAGGTGGCAAAAATCACTGCAGTGATTTATGGTGGTATTTTAAACTTGAAGCATAAACAAGGTCACACTCTGGTTTGATCTGTCGATTCAGTTATGTAAAAACTCCTGCTTCCCATCTGAAACCACACTGTGCAGCTGCAAGCTTACTGCAGCCACAAGCATTTGCATTTCTTGGCTCACTCCCTAGTTTGTAAATAACTTTTAAAAGATTAGCTACCTCAGTGTGTGCATTTGTGCCCACAATTTGTCTCCAGGTACCTCTAAAGGGTGAAGGAATGTTAAAAGCAAACAGAAGTTATCTATAAAAGGAGCTTGTCTGAAAACATGATGTATTTACCAATTACAGGGCAGAGAGCTGCTTCCTAAAAAAATAATAAATTCCAAAAATACATATATTTTATTTGATTAGAGTATAAATATATGCAATATGGCCAAGAGCTGTGAATTGCTACCCTTGTGTTTGGAGCCACACTCCTCCTACTCCTAAAAATGCCAAGTTCCCTGTATTTGCCTAAGTACAGCACCCTCCTTAAAATAAAACCTATTTAAGCAGAAACCCGACTGCACCAAAACCATCCAGGCTCTTTACATCACGGTTCGCTGTTCTCTCATGACAATAACCCAAAAGTCCTGCTGTTATTTGATGGTGCACCAGCCCTGGAGCAGTGCCTCCTGCCCGGGATTCTCTGGGGTCTAGGACGAGGTTTCCCAGCAGATGGTGCTGCTCCCAGCACAGAGCAGGCTTTTTGTGACTGAGGCATGTCCTTGCTCTCATCTCTGCATGCAGAATTATTTCCTAAATGATAATTCTATTTTCTTTATATTTTCTGTAGGATTTCCCCCCCCCCCCCCCCCCCCCCCGCCCCAGGGAACCTTCTCAAGGGTGATTATTAGTGAAATTCATGTTTAGTTTTTATTCCACAACTTACTCCCGATTACCTAAATGCTAAATGGTAGAGCCACACTACAAACCTCAGAAAGTTCCCTGCAATATTTGCTGAGAGTTTTTCAGAGCATGTTTGGTTTTGTTCTTAAGGGGGAGAGCAAAGCAGGAACAACCGCACAGAGCAGCAAACTGCACCACTAAAACCTGGCCTGTTAAGAAGCTGCAATAAAGATCTGATTGCCCTCCTGCACTACAGGCTAGGAAAGGACTTGGGATCACAGCAACTTTGACAGAAATGCTGCTTTTAACAGAAAATGGGCACTCCTGCAGCACCTCCTGGCTCCCAGAGATGATTATGCAGATGAGTTTTCTTGCAAAGACACACTAAATTTCTCTAAATGACTATGTGGCTGCTTTTTATTTAAATTAAAGCTTGCTTCTGCCTCCAGAGTTCATACCTGGAATAAAACTTCTTCCAAAGTTATGTCTTCTGAGATGCAAGATACTCCCCCTGAGCCAAGCCTGATTGTAGTATTTTGTAACACAACACCAAAACTCACTCAAGTCTACAAATTTGTAATTTTTTGGTCATTGCTTGGAAGACATTTTACATTGCAAAGGTGTCATTTAACTAGAGTGGAATTTTGTCAAAACCCTTGCACTATTTTAACGCATGGTGGGGTTTTCTTTTTTTTATATTTTGCTTTCCTAGCTAGAGAAGGATTGAGCTAAAACAAACTGAACAAATAATCACTACAGTGAATGTGTCTACAGTGTTTTTCTCCTTTTCCTCTCACAAATGACTGCCTGGATTTGCAGAAGCCATTCCTGAGGTTTGGCTTTTAAGGTGTCAAATATTTTCACTCTAACAGAATAACGTCCATCATACTTTGTGTGATTATTTGGCTGCACTTACACCCACCAACCTCCAACAGCCTTTCCTTTTCCCAGAAGGAAAGAGCCACCTGAAACCCTCAGTAGATCAGGAAAGTTGTCCTGTGGCTCCATGTTGTGAAGTTTATTATTTTAGGCTCTAAGTACTGAGGGCTTCATGCTCACCTCTCTCAAAGTGTTTTTATTTGTTGAGCTCATCTCTGTAAATTGTCAATTTATCCATATGTGAGCTCCTCCGTAAGTCCTGCAAGCTGCAGCACTTCAGAACAACATTTCTGTGCCCAGATTCCCCATTTCCAAATCAAACTAAGCTCAGTTTGAGAAGCACATAAAGCAAATAAGCAAGCTGCTGATCAGTGCTGACCACCCCACCCCTGTCAAGGCACCACTGCTTCATCCAAACAGCAAATCATCACTTCTGATCCCATGCCAGTGTGCAGAGAAGGAGGGGCAGTGGTGAGATCTTTCTTTTTCAAGGGCTGCAACTACTGCATTCAATCCTGCAGCAATCACAATTCCCCAAGCCATACCATCCTGGACCATGTCCACCTCTTGCCTGTTCCATGGCTTTCAGGTACCCTTCAGTGATGAGGTTTAATTTATTTTTCTAAACCCACTGGCAAAACATTTGCACTTTTTCTGCCTTCCTGACTGGTTAGTTCTATTACATTTATTTTGAAATAAATAGCTACAATAGATCATCACAAAGCAAGCAGATCTTTGCTGTTGCTTTTTGTTTGTACAAGCTCAGGTGCAGTTCAAATACTTCATAGTGAAGCCTTTACTGTTGCCCCCATGCTCAGAAGACCTGGAAATTGATAAAAAATGCTGTATTTCAGATGCCCAGGGAGACCCTCACAGCAGCATAACTCCCACATTCCCAAGGCATGCCTTTTGCTGAGGCTCATCAAACAGGGAGAGGCCAAAATCAAAGGCAGAGCTGCCCCACAGATACTCCCAGAGCTGCCATCCACAGCCTCTTCATTTCCTTCACCTGCTTGTGCTGACAATGAAAGGACTTTCCTGCAGCTTGTACCCACACTATGACTTCCTGTAGGTTATCCAGGATAAACCCTTCCAGAAAACCAAAGTTCACACCACAAACTGTTTCATCCACACTCAGATGCCAAGAGCTCAAGTGATGGTTTATCAGCATGAGTACTGAAAAATGCTTGCTAGGAAAATAAAGCAGTGGTGCCAAAGGATCACTGCAGCCCCACAGCCTGGCTTTGCCCATGACTTGTCTTCAGGGACCATCTGTGACAGCATCTTCTGATGGATTTGTACAGCTGGGTGCCCTCATCTTGAGGGACTCACACCAACAGCAATGCTCAAGCAAAACACGGGAGCCAGACTCCCCAGATGGGCACCAGGAAGGCAGGCTGTGCACTTGTGGGAGGCAATCTCCAACACCACCGTCTGAAATCAGAATGCTCTAGGGGCCAAGCTCTGTGTCCATGGGAAGGCCCCACAGAGCTGCTATTTACACTTCATTGCTGGTTTGCAGTGACCTTCCCGTGGCCCTGCCTGAGCAGCACAGACACGTGTGCCTCCAGCTGGGTGCTATTCCCAAATTCATGCGGGAAGGAACTGTGCAAACTCTGCTTAAGCTTGGCAGGACTTCAGACCAAAATTCACCACTCATTTCAGGATGTCTCCAGGCCACTGCAGAACAGCTTCTCCTTACACTCTTTCCACCAGTTTAATAGGGAACACACACTGTATTCCCTGAAGTCAGACATCCCCTGCACTGTTTTATTTTAGTTTGATTTAGTCAGCCCATGTTAGCAAGCCTTCACAAAGGCAAGGCCAAAGCTTTGAGAACATATTTACCTTCATCCATGCCATTAAGTATTTCAGTTAAGTCTTCATGTTTGCTGTCATACTGGTGCTCCTTCCACGTTTCACCGTTCTCGCTCCGGAGGACGATCAGCTCTCGCTCCTTGCCTCGCATTGATCCAAAATGTGGGATTTCCACTATCACAGGGCTAGGGAAAAAGGAACCATGTTATTTTTAACCCTACATTTCCTCACTGCCCTCAATTTCCTATGGGTCCTTAAGAAAACTACAGTCATTTTTAATAGTAAACACTGTCACGATAAAAATGCTTTTAAAATTGCCAAAGCTGCACAATCCTTTATGATTTAAACTATATTAATGGATAAATCAAAAATACTAATATATAGCTTGTTTTTAGTGCAAATCTTTTGAAATATCTGCCTCCATGAGAAAAATAGTGACAACTTTTAGTAAGGAGGGTCCTCCTTGCTCATTTATCCGAGGGTGTAGGTGATGCAGCCTGCCTCCAGCACACACAGCACTGCTGAATTTTAACTGGCATTAGGTTAGTCAAAGTTTGGATTTGGCTCAGAGAGTTTGAAGGGACAAAGTCAGTTCAGAAGCAGTCTGTCTATCCAAGTGCATGCAACAGCCACTGACTGTAACAGGAACCATGCATTTATGCAGATTTTGAACTTCAAACTAAGTCCCATAGTTTTCAAAGCTCTCCCTGGCTCTCTGTGGATGCAGCTCCTGTGAAATAAAAGAGACTGTTTTTCTTTAGCTCCACTTTCTGGCTCTCATGCCCAGCATCACAGCTGCAACCTCTGCACAGCAAACATCACAGGGGAATCGTTAGATCCTTTCAGAATGGACTTCTTTGGGTTGAACAACATCACAACCACGTTTATATTAGCTACTGTCAAACATTTTGGGGGGAAGGAAAGGGAATGAGAAGGTGGTTAATAATACACCTATGTCACCAGACAATGTACCTTCAACAGAGGACTGCAAGTGCATTACTGAACAGTTTGTATGAACAACCAACAGAAACCACCATTCACTTCATGTGCCATTCCCCAACAAAACAGACACTGTTGCCAAACACTTCACAGGCAGGATATGCATTTTAAAGTATGCTAAGACAAACCGACTGAAATCACACAGTAAGTGAACATTTATGGATTATGCAGCTTTAAGACATTTAAATAGACAGTATCATCATTTTCCTACAGAGGTTGTAAAGGGTTTAACTGCTTTGTAACAACTTGGTTAAAAGCAGTGTCACATGATGGGAGAAGGGTGCAGCATTTCTGTGGTACTGTTCATCTGCCAGGTGTTGGGGCATTAACCAATCCATCACTTGAGCATGAAATCACAACAGCCATCATGGGGAAAAAACAAACTAGCTTGAGGCCCAGTTTGCACATTAAATTTCCAGGGAGAAGAGTTAGTCTTTTTTTCCCCATGAAAATAATAAAAATAGTTTAATTAATATATATTTTAGATGCTTTTAGGAACGCCCAGTCTATTTTTCAAGTCTCAAGTCCTTTAATAAATAACCAGGAATGTAGCTGCTCTCTCCCATTGTGCACAGTAAGAAAACACCAAAAATTCAAATACATTGCTTAAAATATTTACTCTCTAGTTCAAAAAGAGCACAAGCTGAAAACTAAGGCTGTAGTACAATCTTTGCAGGCTAATATTTCAGATACTGTCTCTGTAAATATTTAGAAACTTCACAATTTTGTGCATGACATTTAACAAGAATACTCAGTGAGAAGGTATTGAACAGGTTTGGAACACCAAACACTCACCAATATTTTGAAAACCTAATGCAATAAATTTCACAATGTGGTTTGAAAACAACAGTCAAAAACATACGGAAACATCCTTACATGTTTAGACTATACACAGCAGTCCCTTTGGGTAGCATACTTGGCTTTGTAAATTTATTTTAAAAAGATGCCTCTTGCAGGTTGCAAAGATTAGTATTTCTCCAATCTTGCTGAATCAATTCATTCACTTGATAACATTTTTTTCTGAATAATCTTTCATAAGTAATGGACTTTATGTGATCACATTTTACAAATGCTCTTCCCAAAACAGTCTCACTCGAGGCCTGTAAATACCTTCTCTACCACAGGGTTGAACTTAAAGGACTGCCACTGTGTATTAAAATGTATTTAATGCAGTAGAAACACTTCAAATTTAAAAAATTACAAAAGCACAGAAGTTATGAAAGCAGAATGCTGGCAGTGAATTTTACATGCCTATAAGCACAAGGTAATAGCAGAGCTATATTAAATCAAGCCACTATGATTTTCTTTCAGTGACAGAAATCAACTGAAAGTTTTAGGAAACTTAAAGAAAATAATGGGATTAACAAAAAATTGGAAACAAAAGAAAAACTGTAGACATTCTGTATCTTTTCCGTACATATCCTACCCAATAAATTTTGTTCCTTGTGGACCAAGCTGCAGGATTCGGCTAACCATGCTCTCACCCTCATTTAGAGGGGGAGGACTTTTAGGAAGATGCAGTTTACTGAATAACATCCATGCAGCAGGAAGAGAAACGAGAAGGGGAAATTAGGAACAAGCTGTCATTCCCGGCAGAACCAGCAGTTTATACCAGGGTGCCACTCACGGTAATGAACAAAATTTATAATTAGGAAAAAAAAAGGCCACATCATAGTGGATTGTTTCCCCTGTTTTAAGCTTTAAAAACAGTCAGTTCCTAGCACTGGTACTACTTGTACCACCACTCCACAGCAGGTCACTCCAAGTGGTTTTGCTCCACAGGATGGAGACAGGCAGCTCCCAGCAACTCCAGAGGGAGCCGTGCACATGTTGGGAACAGAGCTCAGTATCTGGGTCCCTGTGGGTCTCTCCAGACAATTCTTTGTGATATTGCTGTTTCTCTAAATACTCTACAAGCAAGAGGGTCAAAACCTGCTCTGGGTTTTCAGTGTGTGACTCCTCCTGACCTCCAATGCAGGGCGGCATGTGTAGATGGGGGTGGGACCTGGCCTTCCCATGGCTTTCCTTACCTTCACCTCCATCCTGCAGTCATCCAAGAGGCAAAACTCGCCTTAAAGTGCAAGGGTTCTTTACAGAAGGAATGGCAGGTTGGCATTTTTTAATGTTTTAAGTTAAGCAGCCTATGCTAGGTGCTCAGATGAGAGTCAATGTTTAAGTACGTAGATCCACAGGATAAAGGGAACGAAAGGTGTGACATGAGCACAAACAAACTCACAGAAGAACTCACCCTAAGAACTGTGCCCCTGCTGGCCCCATCTCTACAAGCCGACTTGCCAATCCTTCTCCTTCGACCATGGGCGGCGGGCTGGCCAGCTTGTGCCTCTTGACCAGGCGGCAGGTGATGCGCGTGGGCGCCGTGCACTTGCGTGGCGGGATGATGATCCGCATGCCATGGTGCCGGCTGCCCCTCATGGAGCCCCCGCGGGCATCCACCATGAAACTCACCAGGAAACTGCACCAAAATAAAGCAAACACTTCAGTGAAAGGCCTCTCGAAACAAGCAGAAGATCAGCAAAAAGTCACAGACTTCAAAACATTAGGAAAGTCATCCCGATCCCAGCTAAACTAAAAAGAACACGAAGATCCTTTTAGAACTTGTACTTGCATGTTAACTACTGGTTATCAAAAGCAGGAATTGCTAAAGCTCTAGCAACATCATGGTGAAATGACCATGTTCTACCGGGCAATTTGGATTAAAAGTGTACACAAGAAGTGTATTAGTAGTGGTTTGTTAGAATTTTAAAACATCCCTTTGTTGCTGTTAGCTCTATTTTCCACAAATGAGAGCAATTAGCCTCACATGCATAAAGCAACCAGACAGTGTAGAAAAAGGAGAATCAAAAATGCTTATTATTTTAGGAACCTCAGTCTTTAAAACCTTCCCACTGTCTCAGTATTTGCAAATACTCTTGATGGCTGCCAGAGCAAGTGCCAGCACCATGGGTGAGAGTCCAGGCTACCAAGGGCTTCCACTGATGGGGAAGATAAGTGATGACTACCAAGTACATAACTTCTTTCAGGCTGTTGGCTCCCTGGAGGAAATCATGCCATCACTTCTCTTTGAAGATTAGATTCATTAGCAAAAAAAAAGGGACATTAAAGAAAAATCGCACTTGCTAGTGTCATTCCAATGCATAATTTTCCATTTTTTCATAAGGTGGTAAGAAATTATATTTGTAAATGATGAGTGGTATATTTTTAAATAAAATTCTTTCTATTAGCATGGGAATAATTGAAATTAACAATTCATATTAGAATAGCTTCAGGTAGAAGATGCAATAACAGGCTGGTAACAAGAGGAATACAAGTTACCAGCTCAGTCTTGAAGCCAGCACAGATTTTGTTTGTTTCTTCTGTATGACAGACACTGACATAGCTGACACATCTGTCATGTGGCTTCACTATTTTCAAGGCTGTTGCCAAAACTTCCAGCTTTTAAGAACTGAACCTTCACATGACTAACAGGTGAATCCACTCAATTTCCTGGCTCCTGACAGCAAAGTGAACTAAGGGTGTCAGCCAGTAATCCAGGGGATTGTGATGGCTCTTGGAAAAAAGCCCCCAAGTGCTCTGAATTATGACTGGGAATTTGTGCAACACAGTTCCATTTGCTCTGACACCAGCAGGATATCAACAGCAGCAGCTGACAGGCACTGCAAATAAACTGCATTCAGAAGTCTGGCCAACAGGGGTGAGAAAAACCTGCACAAAAGCAGGAGAGAAATCAGCATTTGGTATTTAGCGGTCTGCAGGAGAGAAGTGAGCAGGGACACAAGCTAGAAATATTGGAAGTATGGTGGAAATGTTGTGCAGCTGAATTCCAGATCAAGAAGTTGCTACATTGTCTTTCTTCAAATCAAAACCCATCAGTAAAGATGGGGAGGTAAAACTGCTCTCTGAGATTACCCTAGCCCAAATTTACAATTTCTCATGCACCAGACACTTTACAAAACTGAGGCATGATATTTCACAGTAGCTCTTATACAGAAAAACTGTATCCACATTCCACGTTTCTCTCCTAGATTAATGCACTGTGCACTCCAACAAATCCAAATGTTGCCACTAGGGTATCCCAGCTCCTCACAAGAGGAATTGTTTCAGCAGGACAGGATCTTGGCTAACCAAACACTTTCCCTAAACATTGGGCCTGTGTCAGAACCAGTGTGCTCGATCTTTAAATTACAGAGTATATAAGTGATTATAATCTTATTATTTATGGATGCTTAGCTGGCCTTTTGGAAAGGTGCATGGTTTCTGTGTGCAGAGGAGCTGGGGCCCTTTCAGCCTGGCAGTTTGCAGGGTGCAGGGACGGATGCCCGGCTGGAGCATCCCCTGGGCTGAAGCTGCAGCAGCTCCAGGGAGGCACAGCTGGCCAGAGCACCATGGAGGAGCCTCCTGGGGAGCCTGGCAAGGCTGGCTCGGCCTGATGGCCCAGCACAAGGCAATGTTTTGGAGAGCTGCCTATCATGTACATGGTTACTGGCTTGTTAAGCCACCTCAGAATTAATAGTGAAAAGGAGGCTTTCATCTAGTGCAAAAATGCCAAAACTTGCACTTAAGATGCTATCTTCTGTACCCAAACTATTTAAATGATGGAAAGAGTGAATTGCTAAAAATCTCTAGGCACCCAAATCAACTGTCTTAAATTCATAATTAAAAATTAAAAAAAAAAAAATCAATAGAAGTTAAAACTAAGTACCTACAAAAATCAGTCCCTGAGTTACCAGGGATGCTTAGGCTGTAGATTTTAAGGTCCAGCCTCAGCAACCAGGAGCTCTGCACTGTGAATAACCCTGGGCAGGAGGCTGTGCCCCAGGGCAGGAACCAGCCCCTTCCAGCCTGGTGTCTGCACCAGCTGCAGCCTCCAGCAGACAAAACCTGCAGCAGACCAGCCCTTGTGCACATTGCTCCAAGAAAAGGGCAATCACTGTCAGTAGCTTATTAATTAATTATTTCCTTCATTAATTTTCTGGTTAGTAACTTACCGTGTAAAACAATAACAACTCCAAACAGTATTTCATGCACTTTCTAGCTAAAAACATTAGTAGCTGATGCTTACCTAAATTAATGTTGCACTAATAATGGAAACTACAGTATGACCTCTAAAACACAATGCTAAAGGCTAATGAGCATTTCTACTTGGACACATGGAAGGGATGAGGATGTGGTTGGATGCACTACAAACATCTACACACACTCTGTGGGAAAAAAAGTTTAAAAACAAAATAAAATGAGGATTCACAGAAAGCACTGAGTTATCACCTTGAATCATACTGGGGGAGTGGAGAGGAATAGCTGCAAAATAATTTAGAAAGCAAATGGGAAAATTAATGTAAGATAATTAGAGGCAAGCAACAGAAAATATCAATAATAAGTGCAAAGAAAAAGTAACAATCAGAAAAATAACAAAAGCAACATATTTGAAGGCCAGCTTTAGAAATTATTTGGCTTTTGCTTCACATATTGTGACATATGTCATATAAACTATGATACACATGGGAAAAAAGTCTGAAAGGGAGTGTTCATTTAATTAGTCAGCACAACTCTGTAAGTTCTCTGGAAAATGCAGAAGCACAAGGAGAAAAGCATTTGCTGTTTACTCAGTCGGCAGAGAATTTATTGCAACACAATTTCTTCATTAAATTCCAAAAACATGCTCCTGTGTGCCATGGAAAACCAGTTCTTGCACTTTCCTAAAGCAGTCTGTTTTCCAGAGCATAATGTGCAAACATATGTGTGGCAGGATGCTTGAAAGGATTATCAGTCCATGCCATCCATTGCACTGCTGTCAAAAACGAGTTCTGTGTGTACAGCAGGCTGCAGTAAACTATATACAGTTAATTTAATTTAAACTACATATAGTTAATATAATTTAAAATACAGTATGCTATAAAGAATCTGATTTACTCCACTTTGCAAGACTGGATCCAATATTTCTGAGTTTTTCAACATTGGAAGGCAATGTGGCACACTCCTTTCTTTCAGCTAAGGAAATGAAGGAGTTAAAGAGACAACAGAGAGACAACACCCACATTTGACTTTGGGAAAGCTGCAGGAGTAAGCTCACATCTGACAGCTGAAGGTCATTTTGGTGAGGGTCTCTACCCTTCCAGAGGCCTCAAGATTCATGATGCATTTCAATGTACTGCTTACAATGGACCCTGTTCAAAACATATGCTGGCAAAACAACTTATCTGAACTCAAGAAGAAAAACATAAAACATTCTCTTGGCTTGAAAAAAGGAAAAACCAGAAGAGTTGAAATCACTGCCAACAATTTCTCCTCTCTCTGTATCCTTTCACTGATACATTGCTGGATCTCCACATCCTGCTCCCAGCACTCCCCTTCTGCCTGGGTGAGGAAATGAGAGCAAACATTGATGCCTCCTCCTGACTGGGGGCAAACGGGGAAAGAGCGACCTGAGGCAGCAGTGCTGCTCCTGGCACGGCACAAGGGGGGCCCTGGGACGATGCAGATGGCCAAGAGCAGTGGGGTCAGAGCCTGGCCAAAGGCCACCACAGCCCCTGCCCCCAGCCACAGACAGAACTGGGGACAAGGACAGGGATGGAGACCCCAGACAAGCAGAAAAGGATTGGCTGTTTAGGAACAGACTGGCAGAAGAGATGTGAAAAGTCATGGTCCTCTGCATATCAGATGTGTGCACTAGAAGATTAGAAGGGAACATCTGTTGATTGCCTCTAGGTGAAGATAACCAGGAAAATCAAGCAGGATATTATAATATGGGGCCACAACTGAAAAGCAAATAAGCAACGAGTGAGATTTGGGTTTTTTTTTTTTCCTTGACAAAGGAACTTAATCCTCAGAGTGTCATTTCTGATAGATTTTCTATGTCAAATAAAGAAAAGTAACGGGCCAGAAAAGCCTGACATGTTTGGAGAATGTTTTGGTTTGTGCCCATTTGGAGAGCTATACATGTTTGGAAGATATCTGTCCCTCTCCCTGCCACAGTTTGCTCCCCTCTGGGCAGCAGCTTTGCCACCTCTGCATTTGAGAGGGCCCATGTACCAAGGGAGCAGATCTCATGTGGAAGCCCCCATGTCCACAGAACATGTCTGGGGGGCTGGAAGCACTGGTGAACATGCTGAAGACCTAAGGGCAGGCAAGTACTGTTCCAGAGGACTGGCAGGATGAAAACATCAGACCTATCTTCTATCAGGATGAAAAGAAACCAGAAAATTTTTAGACCAATCAGTCTAACCCAAATCACCAGGAAATATTCAGGAATAAATTATTTAATAATCACTCTATAACGGCCTAAATGATCAAGGTAATTAATCAAGCTATTACACCTTTCCTACCACCAGGCTCAAAATAAAAACAAACCAAAAATATAAGTGGCGAGAGCAATTAATGCCAAATGAATTTTAACTCCTTCTTTGATGTGTGGAAGTAGTGCCTAGGTACCTCAGCAAGCAATGGAGGCACAGAACAGATAAGGTAAGTGCAGGATCACCTGAGAAGTTACCTCAAAAGAGATACCATCAGTGCTTTCCTGCTACACTGAAAGGCAACTTCAAGGGCATATCTCACTCTGCTGTCCTGGCACAGGTACCTGGCTAAACATCTTCACAATTTCAGCACAGAAAAAAGGTCTGAAAAGTCTTTGGAAAATAGGATCAGAATTAACAGCTCTCTTGCTAAAAAATGGAAAAAGGGGCTGGAACCAGCAAACTGAAATAACCATAGAGACAAATGCAAACAGAGGGGAGAAACCAAACGCTGAACACAACAACACCAGTAAAAATTAACCAAACTCCAGGATTTCAAGAGAGAGCCAAGAAATTCTAGCAGATCACAAACATTCACCAACAGAAACTGGAATTACCAAAGGGATAACTCTCATTGTGGGACTGCTTAAGTGTGCTATGTGTCAGACCAAGGAGGTGGAGATCATGGCTTACAAACAGGCTCCCATCAGAGAGGGGAGAGCAGGGCAGAGCCATAGGGAAAGCACCACCAAGGAGGGTCTGGGACATTTTGGTCTAAAAGACAGGATTACATGTCTTCAGTCATAGAAAACAATCACTGAGAGACCAGTAAGATCTTGTTCTCCATGCCCACTATGGACACGACAATGGATATCCACCATGGGTAAGAAATAGGCTGAGTCTGCAGCAATGAAACGTTAAGCTGAGCATTAGGGGAAGTAATAGTAAAACAAAAGATAGTGGGCTCCTGAAGCTGGGGGCCTATAGAATCTCTTATTTTTAGCAATTACTAGGACATTAGGCATCTTTCAGAAGTAGCTTGGCTACTTTTTATCCTACAGCAAAGGAAAGGGTTGGGCTACCAGCTCTCTGAGGTCCTTTGCCAAAGCACCATTCCATGATAACCAACAGTCTTCAGCTTCCCATACTGCAATTCTTGACATTTTAAAGCTAGCACTGACCACGTGCAGCATTTTATCAGCTTGGGACCTAAAAATCCACTGCTGTATAGATCTGTTCTGCAGATGCAGGTGCAGATGTGCAATGTGGGACTGTAGCTTTAGGTTTGTGGGGCTTGCTGTATTGGAAATGAAATATTTTGGTATGTGCCACACTCATTTTTATGATAAGAATGTAATTAGTCACAAAATGGGGAAGTAAATTAAAGCGGATATGAGATTTTATGCCCTGATCTCAAAAACTAAACAACAAATATTTACACTAGACAATCTAATAATATGCAAAGATTACTTACACATTCATTTGCAAATTTTTACAATATGCATTCAGACATCACTACTACTGCATTTAAATCAAGTCTGTGTGGCACTGTCAAGAAGCACCTAAATTACAGTGATGACTCATAAGTAAACAAATAGCACCACCAAAATCAAACTACAGATATTGGAGACTAGGCAGGAGCTTGAAGTATAAATAAGAGACCAAATTAAAGCCCCCCATTTTTTCCTCTATGAAAGAACAGAAAACATAACATACTGTCTCTGATTTCACAGTCCAAATAATTTAACACAATGCAAACAAAATCATTTATGACATTGAAAGCAAAGCATAAGCAACAGAAAAAGCAAAACAGGACTCTTAAAGAGAAGCCTGCAGGATCACAATGTTTAGGCATTTGGAAAAATTAAGTTCAGAAGCAAGTTTTTGGTTTGATATTCAGGAATTTAGACTGACTCCTGTTATTAAGCACCCTCCTTGAAGTCAGTGTGAATTTTGCCACTGGCTTCAAGTGGAGCAGGAACAGACATGTTATCAGCCATTACAGCAGGCTCTATTCTGCAGCTAACAATACAGTTCCACATCTACAGATAAAGGAAAACTGCTAAGTGACCTACCCAGAGTGGATGGGACTGGAAACAAGGTTAACATTGTCCAAGGTGTCTGCAGCCCAGCTGTAGTGCCTGAGAGAATCAGAATCAAACTCCCTTTGAAACGTCAGGTGCTTCAAAACAAAACAGATACATCGAAGATTAAAATTAACATTAGAAACACTTGCCTTAAATACAAGCTTGTTAACATAATTATGATAAATTTAGATCTGGTCCTTTCCATTTAACAGTGCTGATAATTACTGGAAATCCTGCAACAGAAACATGAAATACACACACAAACCCTTGTCTCTTCAAACATTCTTTTTGCCCACTTTTTGCACTTCCTCCAGTTTCAAGAATGTCTCTCCCCAGTCTTTACTTACTTTAGTGTGCCAGGCTAAAAAGATTGGAAAAAAAGGAATTACCATTTGTACTGCAGTCACACACCATACAGACAGGCAGTGTAACACCACCCCTCAGAGGGTGCCATTGGATAGATCCTTATTCAAGGAGAACCTGGGAATAACTTCCCTGGGAGTTTCAGCGAGGCTGTGAAGGCAGGAGGAGGTTGGTTTCACACAACCAACATGGGCACTGTTTCGTGGAGTGCCACTGCCCCTACTCATGTGGCCAGAAATAGCTTTAACCCTGTGGGGCTATAATTAACTCCCTGAGGTGTGACTTGTTCCTCCTGCTGCCCACGCACACGGGCACTCACACATCCTGTGCCCCACAACACCCCCCACTGCAAACCCTCCCACTGGGCACCAAAGCTATTCCAGCAAAACACCTGCTTTCCTTTGTCTCTCTTGTCTCAGGAAACTAAACCAACTAAACTTCAAATACTGCTTCCCCCTATTTCCAGGGTGATATGAAAGCATCTCCCCAGTTTAAGAAGAACCATCATAGATTACATCAATACAAGTAAGTGAAGAAGCAACACACAATGTTCCCCCAAGATGGTGTTAAAAATGTCAAGGTTTCTTGTAAGTAGGCTGTTTGCTGCTTAGGGGCAAATGCAGCTAGAGAGAGCAGCCTGTTTGCACTGAAACCTCATGGGCTGTTTTCAAATCAATTTCAATGGGTTCAAGTCAAACCAGAGCCAAGCACACGCAATAATAAAATCTTATTATTCCCACCTGGGTTTTTTTTATATGTTGACACATGCTGGTAGTGGAAATTAATGATTTTGAACAGAAATATCAGCATTAGAAGTAAATCTGGCAAATTCAGTCATAAACACACAAAAGTTCTTCTCTTGAGAAGCTTCCACAAGATAAGCAGGCAGATAGCTGCTGTGCTGCTGGCCAGAACGTGCAACACTCCCATCACTCTGGGGTTTCCAAAAATCTGCGCTCTTTAGGCATTTCTTTCATTAGAAATGAGGTTTTCTTCCTAGGTTTCCTTCCAAAAACTATTGGCACTGTAATTTAGTGCTCTTTGACAGAAACCCCTGCAGAGTGCAGCTTTGCTCTGTCACTCCTGGCTCGGTGCCTCCTCCCTTCCCTAGCTCAATGCTTCTCTGAAGGATCTTTTGTTAAACTCTGGGCTCTAACAGATGTACTTGAGGCCTCACAGTTCAAGCACAGGCAACAACAATAGAGGGCAAACTTGCATATGCTAAACAGCAAAATACACCATCAGACATAAAAGGTAAAATGAATGCTGTCAAAACAATGACAATTAAACATCCAAAGTGGACTTAATTGGTGCCATTTGAAATATCTGTTGTAATTAAGTTTAATGAAGACAGTTTTTCTCAGTCTTTCCAATAAGACACTAGGGATTCTGCAACATTTCCTGGAGAGCCTGTGGTTCAGGCAGGAAAGCCAACACTGTGGGTTTCTGCTGTTCCAAGTGATTTGTGTGAGCTCACACTGAGCACGTTATTACTTTTGATACCAAACAGTGCAAGATTCAGACAGGTTGTCTCAGGCACTGTAAAAATTCAGATAAACAAAAATAAATTTGCTGTTTTGCTCAGTGATAAACTTTATCATCAAAAATAGGTCAAACCAAAGAGACACAAGAGATAGGCCAAAAGGAACAACACAATTTGGTGTTGGTCCCTGAAAGGCCTGCTAAGCTGTACAGCATCACTGCACCAGGGTACAGGACACACATCAACAAATAAATGTGGGGTCAGGTGTTCTGTAAAAAGGATGATTTTTCACACAGATAAAAAATGCTTATGTTCCCTTAGCAGTGGGATATGGAAAACTAAACACAGAGCCATATAAATTCCAAGGAAATACCATCACTCCAAAATAATCTGTGTTAGACAGAGGTGCTCCTGCACCTGGAGTGCTCTAGGTTTGCCTATACACCTGGGTGGGTTCCTCAGTCCAGGTCCATGTCCTCAGACATGGTCTGTACACCAGGTGACTGGGTTTTTATAAAACATTCCTTTCTGACCAAGTGCAATCAAACAGATCTTTTGGGCATGTGCAGAGCAAGCAAAAGCCCAAAGTCTGCAGCTAATAATTTTGGTGGAGAAAGAGGGTAGGAAAAGCTGATAGCTGGACCCACTCATCTTACACACATCACACATCTGTGAATCTCATTTTTTCAGCCTGCTGAGGTGCTGGATTTTCCATGCAGGCAAAAAAAAAAAAATTTAAAAAAAATCTTCCTGTGTAAGTTGCAATATAAGCAGTCCAGAAAGTCCAGAAGACAGTACAGTGTCAGTGACATTAAATCACAGGATCCATTCTGTGTTTGGTCAGGTCCCAGTGTTCCCTCCTTGGACTGAGGGAGATTAAAAATGCATTGCTAAAGGGTGTGGCAGCCTTAGATGCAAATGTGTGCATAAAAATACTGAGGGTTCTGCTGGCAGGGATCCTGCTGCTTGCATAACTGAATATCCAGGCTGTGTAATATCAAAGTTCAGCAAACAGAAAAATTTATGCTTCCTCCCAGATGAATTTATCCAGACTGAAGTGATTCAGCAAGCTGCTATTTAATGGACAGCCCGAGTCATCCTGCCTTTGGCTGATTAAATTCAGAGGTTGATGTAAATTATTCCATGGAGAAGTCATTTGGATTTAGTCTGAGTTGCTGCATCCAAGGGAACACGCCAGAACACAGAAATTTTAACTTTGCTCCAGGTTATGAGGTACAGTGTGGCCTGGATTCAGAGCTCCCTGTGAACAGGGTCAGCAGTAAACCACCAAATGCAAACAATGGAGAATATCATGACTTCTAAAGAATTATTAGAAACTCCTCTCTAACACTCCATGTGCTATGCTGGCAGTGAGGTTAAGTAAAAAATGGCTTCAAATCTTCTTCATTTGACTCTTTCCAGTCTCCCAAGTCTACCAGGGATCCTGGGGAAAGGTGATGGGATCTGCTCTCTTAACCAGACCAAGAGGCTGGCAAACGCTCCTTACTCTTTTACATACTGATGTTTGTGATAAAATTAATTCCTAATAATTGAGTTTGCTGCTGCCATGAACTCCAGACAGGTCTGAGCCATACAAAAGGAGAGGAAATGGCATACACAGACAGGCAATGGATCACTCTGTTTCAGAACAGTGTGATTCCCAAAATAGCCTTAACTCGTCTCAGTTCCCAGACAGACTTTCAGAATATTGATTTCAAACCACAAAGATCTTTGCTCCTGTGAATCCCATTGGTGGAACACAAATTGGTGCTTTTTTTCCCCTGCTTTCTACTGCCATAGCAGAGGTTATCTAGGAGCCCATCAATGTACAGAGGGATGAGAAAGAGGGGCAGGGATATTCTCCATCTCCCAAACACACGTCTCCTGTTTCAGCCAAAAGCTAGGGCAGGGCTGGGCAGGAAGCCACAGGAATTCCACAGGATGGATGTATTTTTGTCAGGACATGGAGGTTTGGAGCCGTCATGGCAGAAAGTTTTACCTGGTCTCCCTTTCTCATGAAGATAGTTTGCTGCTTTCACATTTGTTTTGCACAGAATCATGGCCTCACTAATCTCTCAAGACAGGACTGATATTTTTTCCCAGTACCACATCCTTTGAGAGTTGTTAAGCACAGAGCTGGTTTTAAGCCTTGTTATGTGCACACTAACTGCTCAATCCATGCCATCTGCTTTAATGGGAATCACAGCCATGGCCAGAATCATAAAATGATGCAATATATTCTCAGACTGAAGAGTCTTCCTCTCCTCTGAAATTTCCATCGTATCAAGAATGCCTAATGAAGTCTTACTATTAAAAGGCATCAAAGCAGCTTTAGGTGCTCAGCCCTGACATAGAATTGCCAGTGCCAGTAGCTGCAGATTTTGTTTTATGACTTCAAACCAAACAAAACCACAAAATCACTGCTATGCAAGCTTTGGAAACTCTCCTTAGAAGGGTGTTGCAAATTAAGGTTATTGGAGGTTTACATCATTTCACTTAAAAGTAACAATCAAATAGTAAACATTCTGTTGCTAAAGAGAATCCAATTTCTGCCATTCTCATAATACTACCAGAACTGTGTAAAAGCTGTAGTAAAACTGGGTGGCTTATCCCACAATAGAATTTACAGACTAATACAATCAAGGTTTAAAATGTACAAGTCCTGTTTTGTGAACCCTTTTCCCCATGAAAATATCCTCTGAGATCAATAACCCCCCAGTGCAGGAACGCTCTGCGAAAACAGCAGCAGAAAAGCTCTGTTTCATTGCTATCCACCTTACGCTCTTCCAGGGCATAAACAACAGTTCCACTCTACTTCAGTCCTTTCCAAATAAGGATTTTAATGTGAATTTATATCCAGCTTCCTAGCAGGTCTCTGACTTCTGTGTATCAAGAAACTCTTGAGTAATTCAGTTAGATTTGGAAATCTGAAGCAAGTCCACCAAGGAAAATGCTGGGGAACTCACAAACAAAGCATACTGTACTCAATCATCCCCAGCTTTTGGGAAGACTTTCCCACGCTATCATCAGGTCAAAAGATGCTGCTTTTGTTGCATTAGTCATTGCACAAGTGTTTGGAAGATATATAAACTGAAGAGTCTATACTAGCTTAATCTTTACAAGGCCAAATTCTTCCCAGGAGTGAAAAAACAAGGACAGCAGTTGGAGTCCCCTCCATGTGGACAGGGCAGGCAAAGTAATTCCCAGTGTGTGCAGTACAAAGGTTGCTCAGTGTAAAACTCATTGCTCCCAGCTTATCAAATCACTCTGAAGACACACAGGAGCCTCACAGGAGCACCCACTGACCTCAGCCAGTAACACTCAGAGACATAACTGGTCCCTTAAAGACTCTTTTGGTTTGGGCCCCCCACCACCTGCCCCTTGCAGGATCAAACCCAGCGAATGGCAACCCCACCATCGCCTGTCCGCAGCTCCTTCCCTGCCCCTCTTCCCAGCTGAGAGAGCAGCCAGAGCCGCTGGAAGCCCAGCTGAGGCCTGCACACTGCACAAACGAAGCACAGCTGCCCTGTGGCAGGGACACAGCACGTACCTGGTCCTTGGCTGGCACCAGCAGCTCCTCAATCATCATGCTGTCCCGGGCATAGGAGCTCCTGTTGAGCGTGTAGGACCTATCCGAACTGAAGGAGCGGAGGCTGTTGTATTTACCAGTTATCAGAGAAAGTGCGGGTGACAATGAGGTGAACAGAAAATAAAAACAAAAAAATTAATACATGCAACTTCCAGGGATAGCATCAAATGGCAAAATATAAACAATCTGTGAAATAAATACAAGGAGGAAAATGGAATAAGAAGTATTTGACTATAGGTAAATATTCCCTACAATATGCATAAGCAAAATCTCAGCAGATGCTGACTGCTTTGGCAGTAATGTTGTGGCTTTAAATAAATCTAGAGACGTGTATTCAAGTATTTAGATGAGCTTTGATAAGTATCTCCGTGCCCTAATCCTGAAGGGGACCCACGAGGGCAGGTCCCAGGGGAGCTGGGGGAGGTCACAGTGCCTGCCCACAGAGCTCAGGTTGCTGAGGCAGGTTTAACTCAGAGCAAGGTTTATGTGATGTCACTCTCTTTGTGGCTGAACCACTTCTGACATTGTTACAAACACTGTAGTTACCCCTGTAGTTAGGAAGGAAAGGGTAATAAGTTTGAAATGAAAGGAGAAATAAATTTGCTTAATGACAACTAAGTACTGATTCTGATGTTTGGGAATTATTTTGTGCATGTTAAACTATTCAGAAATAACTATGATCACTCTCAACGTGTTGCAATTAACCCAACGTAGGAGTGGTTTACATTTAGCCCTGGAAGGTACATTATGGTATGTGCTAAAAACATGCTGCAGGCCTAGACATGCTTGCTACGTGACAAAAAATAAAGTAGTAAAAAACGTGAATTAATACAAAGCAACATCCACCAACATACTACACTTTTGAACTAGCAACACTTTTCACACTCAGAACTCTACAAGGTGTTTCATGCATTTAGTAGTTGCTAATTGAATTTCTCTAATTCCTTAGCACACGTTCCCTTCTTGTGCTGGAAGCAGAACTGGGATCTTAATTACACACTGTAGGCATATGTTAAGCAGAGTTTTACATGATAAAGGGCATAAAGAATTTAAGTTATATTTGTTATAACAGAGGGATATTCTCTAGGGCTGAACCCCCTGCTCCCCAAAATAAAAGCATGTCACTTTCCAATGCTAAATAAAATGAAGATGAGCAATGGCAGCAGCAGAAAGATGAGAGAGATGTAACACGATGCCATGCCTTCTTACCTGACTTTTGGACTAAAGCAATTTACATTGGAAAAGAAACAGGAGAAATAGAAAGCAAAGAATCAGACAAGAAAAGCAAGATGTTATGGCTGGATGGCTTATATATTTAATGTGTTCATTTCTTAATGTTACACTCAGAATCAGCAGTAAGATACATCCACAGAATACTTTTTTTTTTTGCTAAATTAAATACTTCACAGAAAAAAACCACTGTATTTGTCTCCTCTGAGCATAACATGGGCAACGCAAAAAATGAGCTAGGCAGCAACAAATAGTAATGGCACTGCTAAAACCAGAAGCATGGGAATATCAGATTCCTCTCAAAGAAAAGGTAACGTGGGGCTGAACCTCAGATCTCCCTAACAGATGGTGACTGTGCAATCTGCTCTCCCACCTGCACACCCTGTGCAAGGAGAGAGCTGCGAGGGGTGAAAGGGCTCAGGTAAATCAGTGTGGGGCTCTGCACACAGAGATGCTCCCTCTGCATCTCCAGTGCCCTGCTCCAGCCCTGGGCACAGTGGCAGGGCTCTGTGATCACCCTGCTCACACCAGACTGGAAAGCAGCGTGTCAACTTTGTTAATTCACTTTACTATGACACGAGATTCTCCCTTCAGATCTGATTTGCTGATTTTCTGGCTAATGGACTGCTTAAAGCATCTTGGCATTTCTCATGAATGTACTATCTCATAAATACTTATTAACTTCCCTAAAAATTGTAAATCAAGCATAACACGGCTGGGGACTACTAAAGAGCAAATTCCCACTGCATGCTTGCATTTCTAACGTGGCCATAAGAAACAAGACTGAAGGGTAGACATCTAAGCTTTACCTTATGGGAGTTGCCAATTGCTGTTAGACAATGAACTCACTTTTTAAAACAGATCTTTAAACTACAGCATAGGAAAAAGCCCTCAGGGCTCCAGCTTATGAGGTTTAATTATTAGCTTCAGTACAATTCAACTGTCAGTAACTACACTGCAAATCCACAACTATGGAAGCAATCTCTGCTCACACAGTTTAACTGTTTTGAGCAACACACACTGAAGGCTCTAGCAACATTCAAAAATAAAACCTAAAATGTTGATCTGGAAGTACCTGCATTGAAATTAACATGAGTCAGACAACACATTAAGTTACAATGTTTTTATCAGGTTCACAGGAACTTTGGCCTGTTTTTAGCAACACGTAATCCATTCCCTGTCAAAATAAATCCTCCAACAAATTAAGGGGAAACTTGCCTTTTTTTTTTCTTTTTTTTAGGAGGGAGGAGCATTTTTTAAAAATGTTGTCTTTCTCAGTTGGATTACTCACTAGCACCTTTAAAGAAATAAAAGCACCAAGTAGCAAAATGATTTGTCATTCAGTTTTTCTGGCATTTACATTCTTCAGCAAAACACACCCATTAAGGAGCCCTCTACTGTGAGCATCAGTCTGACCAGCAGTAGCCAAAAGAAACCAGGCTGGATCAATTTCTAGAGCAGCTGCAGACTGCTAGCAAAGAGGTACCTTGGAGAGATGTTCAGAGCAAGGAACAGAGACCAGAAAAAGTGAATAGCTCAGTTTTGTGTATCATTGCCATAAGAAGCCAACATGAATAAAGAATATGAAATAAAACTGCCATGAGCATATGCTTCAAAGGATGCGCACCCCCTCTAGTTCACTTCAAAACAGACTGCAGAGCTGTGTGGAAGAGTAAAGACTTGTTCCTGCGGCGCACACGAACACGAGAAGCAGCAAACACAGTACCTGGCGGAGCGCGCTCCCAGGCTGAAGCCCATGTATCCTTCAGCAGGCAGGGAATCATCTCCCAGCTCTTTCAGATCCTGGGGTCCGAGGTACTTGTCTGTGTCGCCTGTCATTGCATCCTCACCTGCCGGGACAAAAGCCAGGCTGGAATCAGAGTTACACGTAGGGCAGATGTTTGTGCGCTTACTAAGTCATAACGCCCTTCCCTGCTCGCCAATAAGGAATCAATCCAGTCACCCCCCCTTTCCCTAAGGCTCTTTCCACGTTGGATGTTAATTATCCACCCTCTGAGTCTGCCTGAGAAAATAATTTTATTGGGGGACAAACGAAAGAAGCAAGATTCCACCTTGACGTAAGGCCAATAAAGTTATACGAGCGATGACTTTTGCCCAGTCGTCTCAGCAAGCTAAAGAGCTCCTCTGTACTTTGCATCGTTGCGCTCACTTTTGCTTTCCTTATGGAAAAAAAGAAAAAAGCCCGAGCCGACGAAGTTGGATCACTCCGTGTGAAAGAAAAAAATCCCAACAAAACAACAAACCAATCGACAAAACCAAACCAACCCCCGGCTGTGAGACACAGCGTGTTTGCCACCGGTCCTGAAAAGTGCAGCAAGCTTGAATGGAGGCCGAGGAGGGGAGGAAGAGGCCCGCCTTCCACCTTGAGTATTTCTCAATGCCTTTTGGACGTTTGAATATGACAGGACTTTTTAAATTAATGAATTTATTTTTAAATGAAGCGCTCCTCGCTGCCAGGCCGGTGTGCGAAGGTGAGCGCTGCCCGCACCCCGCTCTGCCCCATTCCCAGCCCCATCCCCGCGGTGGGGACACAGCCGGACCCCGGGCACGGCCGGCACACGCGGGACACGGCCATCCGCACGGAAGGAGATGCTGAGCTGGTTGATCCAAAACAACCCCAAGAGGAAGCAAAGTTCGATGTGGGGAGCGGCGGGCAAAGGGTTAACGGAGCAGCTGCCCGGCGGGGAGCATTTGCATGCCATTACATCATGCGAACCTACATTCCTGCACTGACAGAGCACGTCCAAAATATGCCTTTTGCCGTGTTGGGTCCCCCCGCCCCGCTCCCACAACAGCACGGAGCAGAGAGAGATCCCCGCAAACTCACGGCTTGCCGATATCCACTCTGCCCCTTTGCTGTGAACGCCTTTTAGGTGTGTTAGGTTTAAACTACAACAGAGAAGTTTACAACAGAGAAGTTTAACAACAGCGCGATCCCGAAGGTAAGCGACTCCCGAGCCCAGCCTCACGTTTCCCGCTTTCATTCAAGGAGTTTAGACTGGTTTCCATTCACTAAACTCAGGAAACCACAGGCGAGCTCCGGTTTTAAACTAACAAGCAAGTCTAAAAATACCCCTTCAGCTACTGCTTCGCAAACGGCAAACAAACAGACCAACTTTCTCCTCCAGCCCAGCAACAACCAGCATTTTAAGCAGCCGATAAAAAGCGAAAATGTCCACAATACACCGTAAAGCATTCAAAAAACCCGAAACAGAAACATCATACATCAAGCGAAACTTTAAAAAGTCTTACTGTTTTGGAAAGCCATTTTCACCAGCCTGGTCTATAAGATTTTTTCCCCTGGTGTTTCCAAGAATTCCTATTAGTCCTATTAGTCCTTAAGCAGTGATTTAGACTTAATCTCCAAACCAGCACAAGCAAACTAATCCCTGTGGGTCATATTCGCTTTCCACACAACAACTGAGATCTTCTTAACATCTTGATATCTTCGTATGTATTTTAGGACATGTGCATCTTTGTCCTCTCAACTCAGATTAAAGTTCTTTGCGAATACGAAACAAAACGAAAAGTACTAAGTTTAAAAAAAAAAATAAAAATCCCTTTTTAATCACTCTGCAGACATCCCTTTAAAGCTTCTGCTGATTGGATTACAGCCTCCCTTGGCAAGCCTCTTGAATGGTGACATAAATGCAGGCACTCCAGTTATTTGTATGTAAATAGGGGTGCTGCGAGGGTGTAGTTTTTCTGTAACCCGATGCCGGGGCTGCGGGGAAGGCGCTGCCTCCGCCCGCCCTCCATGGCCGGGCCGGGGGAGGGAGCCCGGCCTGGGCACACCCCGGGGCTGGGGGATGGAGCCCACCCTGGGCACATCCCCTCCCTCGGTCTGGGGCTGCTGGACAGGGAGGGAACCGCACCGAAGACTGGGAGGCGAAGAAGCGAGAGATCCAGGCAACTTTCAGCAACTACCAACTGAGCCACTAAATCTGGAAACTTCTGCCCCTGCAATACCTGGAGAAAAGCGCTACGCTACCGAGGAGGCATTTTCTTTAAGGGCATCGTTTGTCAAAGGCAGTGAGAACGAACCCCCATTCAGTCGAGCCGTAAAACACATCAGATGTTATCCTGCGCCGCAGCTAATCCAGCCGGGGCAGGATTACTCTGATGAAATGCGCTCATCAAAGGAAAAACTGCGCCTAGGAGTGGTGATTTCAAAGAATTCCACACATTGTTTGGTGATCGTGGGAGGCACACAGAATGGGTGGTGCACGTTTCAGCAATCCCACTCTGTTTAATTAGGTGCTGCAGCCTAATCCTCCGCGCTCCAGGTAACGCTGAGCGCCGTGTTTGCTCTCGGCACACGGAATTCCTGCGGAGAAGGTCCCAGGGAAGAGTGAACACAAAACTCCGAACGCAAACATAGAGAAATGGCCAACAATGAGGCACCGATGAAAAGACACCAACAATGGATGCGAAGACACCGCCAAGGATGGCAAACCGCACTGCTTTGCTGCCATCCTTCCCTCCCTAACAGGCTACACCTTGACGAAAGGTGATGTCCCTGCTAATGGTTAAACACAGCTATCACAAGCAGAGGAAACAGCTCAAAGTCCAGGGAAAAACAGCAGCAGTGGGTCAAAGCAAGGGCCATCAGTTCTAGCGCACCCTGTCTCAGACAGCAGCCACGTTTCACAGCAGAGTATGGGAACACGGACCAGCAGAAGTACTCCAGGACATTTTTCTAGCTGGCACTGACTTGAGCACAGGTTTTCAAAACCTGAGTTTTGTATAGTCATGAACACATTTTTGGGTGGTTTTCCCCCTTTTTAAATTTTTCCAGTTGCACTTTGAACTCGTGTAGACTTTTTTATGCTCCCCACACCAAGGACCCTTGCAAGAAGTCATAAAAGTCAACTACCTCCTGGAGGAGGAGCAGCCCTTTCAAGCTGGATCTGCCTCTTGTGGTTTCACTGATGCCCCATATTTTTTAGACTTCTGGAGAGCAGCAAGCACTGCTGCTCACTTTGCCACCCATTTTATGTTCCAGCCTATCCCTCACTCAATTTGTTTGGTTTTATTTTCTGGGATAGAAGGTTTAGAGGTGTTTTTAGTCTTTTCTCCCCAAGAATATATTTCTTACCTCTTATCATATTTCTCATCCCAAGTTTTTCCTGTTTTCCTGGTCCCCCAGCATGCCTCCTACAGCTGGGAACTGCAGGAGCACAGGGTTAGGTGTTCTTTTTAGAGGCCAGTGAGAAACACAGGCTCTCTGGCAGCAGGAGAGAAGGCATCATGTGGCTTGGGAAAAGTCCCAGACAAAATTTAATCATAGGCTGGGATCCAGATGAGCATTTGTCGCTTGGCTCTGCTAAAGATACCTGAGGATTTCGCCACTCCTTCATCACAGCCTGTCCAGAGCTGTCCTGATGGCAGCAGAGGCAGAGCCACAGGGAAAAGGAGGATGTTTCAAGTTGTAGCCAAGGTTTTGGTTTCACAAAGTATGGAGAAAAGCCAGTACCAAACCACTGAAGCTTTTATGAACCTGTGAAATTTTATGGAGCCAAAGAAACTCTGAAAACTGAGCTTAAAAATGTAATAAATCAACCACACCCAAAATGACCAGTAACAGATTTTTCATGCATGATGATGTTCTGACCTGTCTTACATGCACTCAAACTGCTGTATCCTAGCACCTACTCAGGGATCAGGCAGTGTGCATTCATGTTCTGCTAGGACATCTGTCTAATCTTCCAGGGATTGATTAGCATGATACTTATTATCACTGAGGCAGGCATCTCCATTAAATGGGTTTAAAACTGTGTCCTGGTTTACACCCAAAAAGTTTATCTCCTGAAGGCCAAATAAAAAATAAATTCAAAGCTCAAGAATAACTGGGTTTTGATAATGTCTAAACTCTCTACGCCTGATTGGGTTTATGGATTGAAATTTTTTTTTTTTTTTTTTTTTTTTGCAGTGTAGCAGTTTCCCAACACTTAACCTCACTTGGGCAGACTTGCCAGAACAGTCTAGGAAAAAGAATAAAAGAAAAAAATCTCTTCTCAACCAGTTTGACTCCAAACCAAACTGTCCTCAGCAGGGAAGAGAAATTACACAATTCCCATGTAAATACTTATTTAGTGGGCACAGCAAGACATAAAACACAAGGAAATGGTTTCCTGACATTTGTCCCTGAGCTCTGAGTCTCTACTTTCCAAATTTCTCTTATGAGAGAAACCTTGAGGGTTGTGGCTCATTGAGAAGCCATTCAACAAGTCTGTCTCACTGAAGAGTTTTGGCTGATGATATGAACACCAGCCAAGCCAGGGAGAGCTTGGATTTGTTTGCTAAATTTGTGCATTTCTCCCACTTGGAAATCAGCTCCCTGGATCAGAGATTTGTCAGAGTGCCTCAGCATCTTGAACAGATTTGTTTCGACTGGTGTGAGTGGATGCTCTGTACATAAATACCCCACTAACACTCAGTGATGGGCGTCACTGAGTTGTCTTTACAGATCCGCAAATCAGGGAAGAGACACAGGCCAGTGGTTATCACCTCAAAGCCTGCAATTCATCACAAGCCTTGCAAAACACCTGTTATCTGATTTGTGAGCTCCCTTTCAGCCTGGGTTTGAAAAAGACCCTGTCATCTCAGCATCACAGAATGGCCTGGGTTGTGAGGAACCTTAAAGATCATCTTGTTCCAACTCTGCTGCCATGGGCAGGGACACCTTCCACCAGACCAGGTTGCTCAAAGCCACGTCCAGCCTGGCCTTGGACACTTTCAGGGATGGAGCACCCAAATCTTTGCTGGGAAACCTGCTTTAGCTCCTCACCACCCTCAAAGTAAAGAATTTCTTCCTAATTTTGAATATAAACCTACCCTCTTTCAGCTTAAATCCAGGGAACCAATTGTATTCCCCTTAAGGTACCAAGTACAATTGCACCAATTGTACTTGGTACCTTAAATCCAAGAAATCAACTGTACTCCCCTTGTCCTGTCAGAACATGCCCTTGTAAAAAGTCCCTCTCAAACTTCCCTACAGGTCCCATTTAGGTACTGGAAGGTGCTCTAAGGCCTCCCTGGAACCTTCTCCAGGATGAACAAGCCCAAGTCCCTCAGCCTGGCTTCACAGGAGAGGTGCTCCAGCCCTCTGATCATCTTTGTGGCCTCTTCTGGACTTGCTCCAACAGCTCCATGTCCTTCTCACGTTGGGAACCCAGAGCTGGATGCAGCACTCCAGGTGGGACCTGCTGAGAGCTGCCCATGGTGCTCTGGATGCTGCCCAGGGCACAGTTGGACATTTCTGGGCTGCAAGTGCACATTGCCAGGTCAGGTTGAGCTTCTCTTTCACCAACAGCCTCAAGTCCTTCTCCTCAGGGCTGTTCCCAATCCATTCTCCACCCAGCCTGCATTTGTGCTTGGGATTGCCCCAGTCTGGATGCACTTGGCCTTGCTGAGCATCATGAGTTTCACACAGTCCCACCTCTCCAGCCTGTCCAGGTCCCTCTGGGTGGCATCCCTTCCCTCCAGCATGTCACCCACACCACAGAGCAAACCTGCAGAGGGTGCACTGATCCCACTGTCCACACTGCCAACAAAACTGTGAAATGGCACCAGCTCCAACACCAGTCCCTGAGGAATGGCACAGATCACTGGTCTCCCCTTGGACACTGAGCCTTTGAACACAACTCTGAGTGCCCCATGCAGCCAATTCCCCAGCCCCAGAGCTGTCCATCCATCAGATTTCCCTCTCCAGTTTAGACACAAGGATGCAGAGCAGGACTGTTTTGTATAAATGACTCTCTCAGCTCCCCTGGCAACAACATGGGTGCAGAACACAGTCTGCAACATGCAAAGAACCAATTGTACTACCTGCATTAGTTAGTGATGAGAATAAACCTCCCCAGATTTGGCTTTCAAAAGGATCCCATAGGTTACAATTGACATTTTTAGCTCCAGCACCCAGGCTCCCCAGCGGGTGTTTCTGGTCTGCGCCTCTCTGTGCAGAGGGACACAGCAATTCCTGCCCTGCTCACCCACACTGCTATGCATCAGTGTTCCTGTCAGATGGAACAATGCAGTGTTTGGAGCAGGACAATGGCCCAGGAGAGCTATTTGGGAAACATGTATGTATGGGAAGAACACGATCCTTTTGGAACTGCACAATGACAGATGGGGAACAAACCAAAAGCCTCAATGCATGAATTAAACAAGAGCTGCACACAATGGACTGAAATATCTTTTACACCTTGCTGCTTGAATGCTATGAAAATTAGAAGTAAATACATCAATAGGGACGAGGAAAGAGAGGTTGACTAAAGGAAAACAAGAAAATTGAGCACAGTCATTTGTTTTTAAAAAAACCCAAGAACATTGTTGTTTTCACCATTAACTTCAACTATCAGCCATTTCTTCCAAAGTGTTTTGATATCTTACCCTCTTGTCCAGTATTTCATTTTTCAGTTCAAACAATAAAACATTTATTCACTTTAAAGAAGCATCAGCAAAATGATTATTCCAGGAAAGTGAAGGTAATTTGATCAAACAATCATAAGAAATTCAGAAAAAACGTTAGAGGATTATCAGCAATAGCTCCAAGAATTTTTGAAAGCACTCTTATTTGTAAAGCAGAAGTTATTGTTAGTGGGATAATAAGAAAATCGTCTGAAAGGATTAGTTTTCAGATAGATGAAATAAAGGGAAGAGGATTAAGTTAAATATCAGTGCAATACAAAAATGCACAAATACCTTCTTCAACATCTGACAAATATTCAGCATCACTGAGTATTTCAGGGGCATTGGCTTTACGCACTGCATGATTTAAATAAACAAAACAATTAAAGAAAAGCACATACTATTGATGTGTCAACAAAAATCAATGTACAACAGTAACAGATGTGCAATGACCATATCCAACTGATAATGTGTGTTAGTCTTGGGTTTTTTAAACAGACATTTCTTACAAGCACAAAGAGTGAAAAAAAATTAAAATTTTTAATACCTTCATCATCAGACATATCAAGAACTTCATTCATGGTTTCTGGTACATTCATTTTGTGCTTTTCTGTAACAGTCTGTAATAGAAAAAAGTAATTTTAGAGTGCAACCATATTTTTTCTTAAAATTCTAGTTATTTTTAAAATTAAATGCAAGATAAGATTTTTATCTGCAGTTAGAAAAACAACACATTTTTTAGCTTCCTATTCACTTTCTATTTTAAAGGCACATTGAACTATAAATTAAAAAGACTACAGAAATAGGCAATATTACATTTGTTTTTAAAATGATGTTCATATTGTGGTAGCAAAAAAAGCACAAGCAGAAAGCTTAGATGATGATATCAAAAGAAGAATCTAATATACTGAAATGAACTTCATTTTAGGAGGCTTAATAAGGACTCTAGGCAGTAATCTAAATTTTAAGAGAGTAGTATGTCATCTCTAATAAAACCAAACCTTCCGAGGAAAGTATTTCTCCTTGGACATCAGAAGAATTCTGCAATTTGAGAGCAGCTGAAAACCTATGTGAATTTTTTTCAGAGGTGCCTCAGCATGAATTGTGTGTTTTTCCCACAAATAAGAACAATTGTAACCACATGCAGGCTAAATGATACTCCTGAAGGGCTTCGTGCATGAAAGACACTCAGAAGTGGTTGCATGGCTTTTATCCCTATGTTTATATTGATTCAGATTCAAGGACCAATAGAAAGAAAAACAGAAGCAGAAAAGAAAGTTCTGAATGCCCCTGAAATCTGTTCCTAGAATACCTGTATCCTAAGAATGACATACACATGTACTTTTTACTTTTCCAGCACAACAACCATGGGTAGAGGTCTGGGTCAGACCAGAACTTCTGCAGAGATATCATTTAAGGTGTGCAGTGGAATTAAAAACAAAACCAACCAAAACAAAACCACAAAAACCCAAAACAAACAAACAAACAAACAAAACCAAAAAACCCAAACCAAAACAAAAAACCCCAAACAAACAAAAAAAAAAAACCCACCGACAAAAACAAAGGGCAAAAAACAACCAAAAAACCCACCAAACCTAACCTCAAACAAAAACCCACTCCCATCTTTATGGGGATTTCAGATTGTATTTTTTTTAACCACTGTTACTTCTCATGCTTCATATGCAAATAAGAAATCATTAAGAAGTTCAGGAGGGCAAAACAGCCCTTCCATTTTCACTTATTTTAAAAGATTTCAGTTTTTCTCTGGCCTTATGAGTACTCACTTCGCATTTCATGTTTCTTAGGCTACTGCCATCACTTGATATATGCAGAAGAGCTCCTCCATGCTCAAACATACAAAACCTATAGAAAATCCTCATGCAATTCATTTTGTGGGAATTACAAAGCTTTTTAAAACATTGTTAAACCAGAAAAATAACTGGACTTTTTTCCAGGTCTGACTGGATTTTTTTTTTTATATTGGTGCTTGAGTATAATTTGTAGTAAAATTAGCTACATTAATCTCTGATGCCTTTAAATTTAGCTTTGGGAGTTGTTTAGCCACAAGCCTCAAAATATAAGTCTCAGCAGACAAACTGAATTTTTAAAACCCTCAATTGTAAATCAGATTTCACATCTACACTTCCAAGGTCTCAAAATTAAACACTGATATGTAGCATATTCTGACTTTAATGAAAATTATTTCTGGGCTTCTCTTGAGAGCAGATATTTGAGGTTGTATAGATCTTTCAGCATCTAACATTTTCTCCAGCACAATTCAGAGCCTGACCCACCATCTCTCTACTCTTCATCTACAGAAGATAAATAATCAGTCACTTTATGAGGACAAACATTCCCAGCTTCTTAGTTTTGAAAGCCAAGAACAGCCTTGTGATATTGAGAGTTTTTAGCATAAATATGTGGTTTTCCTGCAGCTACCTAATTAAACAATAGGTGGTCATTCAAGTTTTGCTATCCTGTATAATATTCTCCATCAAATTTTTCTGTGTGGAAAAATGTTTTGTAATCTTTCTAAAGAGAAATTTATTCCTGAGAAAACAGAGAGAAAATGTGTAAGGAAAAAAAAAAATCAGCATTACTTTCTAGCATATTCCTTTATATTATCTTTTGTGTGGATTTTCTGTAAACTACTGAAACCACAGCCAGGAAAGTCACAGGAAGAAAAGGTGCATGCAAAAACAGAACTAAAATCTGCCTGTCATCCCAAAAGCTCATCATATTGCAACCACCTGCTTGCACAGAGACCACACAAAGGGGTGATGACAAAACATGGAACACACACAGTACCTCTTTTCCACCCCTGGTATGTCTAAAAACACAAACATGTGCATTTTATCTTTTTAATGAGAAATAGGAAAATAGTTGCTGAAAGCCAATACTCTGAATTTATGTTCTTCAGACCCAATTTGGGCTTTATTACTGTGGTAATGCATGGAGGTACCTTGCCTCAGAAAACTTCTTCAGAGAGCAATCTGGCAAAACATTAGTGAACAAAAGATCCTTCTGAGACATATTCTGGATTCTGTGAGTGTTTCTGACAGCAGGTAATGTTTGACCACTGCTAGTCCCCTCAGTGTCTCCTGGCTAATGCTTCCTGAGAGGCAGGACACACAAGCTGGAGTTCTCATCCACATCAGGGAATGGGGATTTGAAGTTTCAGGGGCTGGCTGTGGCTGCTTGCAGAATACAGCCTCTCACCATCCCATGGAAGGGGCCAGAAACCACACAACGAGGAGCTTTCAAGCAAATTCCAACCATTTTTTAAATATTGGAATGGGTTCTCTTAGGTCAAATTCAAGCCATTAAGCATCAGATGGTTGGGAAATGCTCTCAAGCAGCTTCTGTTTACACAAGCCTGCAGGAGCATCGTTTCAGCAGCAAAATTGTTCCCTAAACAACAAGATGTGTGGACAAACATTGTGGGGAGAAACAGTGCAGTTGTGACCAGTCCTTTTTCTGCTCAGTTGGTGCTCTTTCTCTGCACATCCTCACAGTGTCTACTACCTTAAAAACAGACAGCTCATGTTTCACTTAATATCGACTTTATACTGCTAAAAGGAAATAGGTGACTGGAATCTTGGTAGTCATGTAACTACACAAAGTTTAGTCATAGTCATACTCTGGCTTTGGGAAAAGTCTTCCATTCCCTACTGAAGTGAGCTGTACTTACAATTGTAGTCATGGTCTCCTCTGTCACCACCTTCAGCGTGTCAACAACTGAAATGTAGCCAAGTCTCTTAGCAATGGCCAGGGCAGTGTTTCCATTCTAGCAATTGAAACATTCGTAACACAAGTTGAACATTAGCAAGGGGAAGTGAAGGAACTGCTGGTTAATTACAGAAGAACGTAAAGTAAAATAAAAATTGTTTACGTTTTGTGATGGAAATAAATATTTGGGTAGTAGGATATATAAGTGGGATGAAATGGGATGAAAATGAGGAGGTTTTCAGATGTTTGTTGTTCTCTCTCTCTCTCATCAAACCTCTGGGAGAGATGATGGAGCAGAGGATGTGGTGGTGATGGAAACAGGCTTCCCCTGCTCTTTTCCTGTCCCACCAGCCCCTTTTGCAGGCCAGCACTTACCACAGTGAGCTCGTTGGGCGCGGCGCCGTGCTGGAGCAGGACGTTGATGATGTGCGTGTGCCCCTGCTGCGCCGCCTGGTGCAGCGGCGTGTACCCATTCTGCAGGCACCAGGAGAGAAAAAAAGCAACCCTGAGGTGGGCACAGCACACACACACAGCAGGGCAGCACCCCCAGGGACAGCTGGGACACTCACCTTCGTTTTGGCGTTGACTTTTGCAGAATGCTGCAGGAGGAAGTTGACGATTTTTATGTTTCCGTAGTGGCAGCCAACGTGCAAAGGAGTGTATCCCATCTAGAATGAACAGCAGCAGTTAGTAGAGGGGGATATCACACACGTGCCCTGATTTAAAAAAAAAAAAGTTAAAAAAAGCAAACAGGCATGAAACAGGAAAAATCCCATTAAGCTTTAGTTCTTTGGACTATGTGAAAAATCCTCCAGCCTTGAAAAAAACCACATTTCTCAGGAAAGTCAATTAAAGTGCTCAGTGAGTACTTCCACCAGCTCCCTCAGTGCCTTCAAGTGGATCCCATCTGAACCCATAGACATGTGTGTGTCTCTCTAGGTGGTGTTGCAGGTTGCTGACCACTTCCCTTGGACTATGGAGTGGTTCACACAAGGTTACCTAATTTCAGTTGTATTAACACAGGCTAGGAGATGGTAGCTGTGAAAGTTACTTTAAATTTGTGTGTGCCATTCATTTCCAGTTAATGATATACCCTTTGCCATCTAAAGAAACCACTAACTTTGACAACCAGGATGAGTTAATCAGTGCCAGAAACAGCACTGAACTGAAATTCCATTGGCATCAGCAGAATGAAACTTTCTGCTGACTTATGTGGACATTGGATCAGATGCCAAATGACTAAAAGGAGCTTTTCCTGCACAGAATAATGGCCCACAGTGGTAAGAACTGGAGCAGTAGCCTTAACGTCATCATGATCTGAACACATGGAGCTCATCTTACAGACATTGTTAGTCTAGGGTTGGCCAAATGACTTCCTGTTCCTAGGAGTGCCTGGAGTCTGACTCTGACAGGGCTCCCTGGGCTGCCCAGAGCCTTGATTCCTCGGCAGAGTGATGACTCACAGTCATAGACCTCAAACACAGCTTCTACAGCCCCTGCCTCTACATGGGCCAAAGATAAACTCAGATTAAAGGATGGCCGTGCTATCAAAACAGCTCAAAAAACAGTAAAAAAAAAAAAAAAAAAGGCTGTTGAGACCTTGTCCTACAAAATCTTAATTCCCTTCTCCCTCTTCAAAATACAGGCCTCTTAACATGACCAGCAAGGTCAAGAAAAAAAAAAGAATAAGAGAGCATAAAACCAACTGGAGAGATGAAATCCAAAGTGAAGGACCACCTGCCAAGAACCCCCTGTGAATAACCCCAAAACATTAAAATCTGGAGCATATCAGAGAGCCAAGACCAGCTGATCTCAGCTTTCCCTTTGAAGTGACCTGTAAAGGCTCCTCTCCAGCCTGTAACAATGAATACTGAAAAAGGAGCTCTCAAACCCCCCATATTTACTGCAGTGCAATGACAGTTTCCTTCTAGAAGTGGTACACACAGAGACTCAGACATGGTGCCTACAGAAATGGCTGGAGGAGCAATAACTGATGCTCTCTGACACTCCTGACCAATCTGCTGTTTGAATCAGAGACTAAGTGAAAGCTTTTCCACAGTTAATTGGGAGGAGAAGGAGGAAATCATGGCATTTCCAGGGTCACAGTCCAGCTGGATCTGAAGGAGGCTCCTCTGAAGCTCTGATGTTGTGTGTGGCAGCTGGAGGGGTGTGCACTGAAAGGCAGCTCCTGCCACGGGCACCGTACACGTCCCCAGCAGCCTTGTGGGCACCTGCTGAGCCTGCTGGCAAAGCACCAGTCCCCTGCCTGAGGTCCTTGGAGGGTCCTGGGAGCTCCTTTTTTAAGTTTGCTGTAGCCCATGGCCACCTTGTGTCAGGTCCTGTTTGGGCCTGCAGCCGCTGACAGCAGAGGGACAGAGATGTGACACTGTGTCACGGCTGGCTGGCCCTCAGCACAGGACATCTTCCTGCTCCCGGGCAGTGAGGGCATGGCCAAAGTGAAACTGGTCAGCAAAATGCCCTCTCAGTGCCTGAAACCTGGGTGGATATATCCCTGACTGCTCAGGTGCCTGCACTCAGCTCCTGCCAGCTCAGGAAGGCACAGCGATTGTACCCCAAGATCCCCAGTGAACCAAGGTATTCTATTGACTGCTCTGAAACACTCCAGCTGGCAGATTCTGCAATTACACAATTAAATTAACAATAAAAGCAGCAATTCTCAAGGCTACTTGAGCTTGCTACTTTCATTGTCTACAGAAAGGTGCCCGGGAGGCTAAAATATTTTGCTTCAAAAGATATTAATAATTAACCCACCCACAAACAGACAAAACCCCAAAACAACAAAAACCCCATTAAAATAATCCCAAAACCAAAAGCAGAAACAGAACAACAAAACCCTGCTCACAATTATATAAATTTCTGCACAGCCATTCAGGCTTAGTTTTAATTACTGGCAAAGCACTGAGGGATTTAGGAGGCACAATAATATTGAAAAAGTTACTTCCAAGAAAACCAGGGCTTTTGTTTAACACAGCTCTAACAGACATCACCTTCTGGCTGTCTTACAGAATGAGCAGCACCAGGGGAGTTAGCAGCTGGGAAGGGTTTATCAAAAGCTACAAGAATAGGTGCCAAGAAAAAAGAAAATCAGAAATACTGAACTTTTCACTTCTAATGGAACACATAAAGAATCCCTTATTCTCTTGCCCTTCAAATTTTACTTTTGAGGGGAACCATCACAAGTCTTGTATATCATGTCAGTGAATTACTTTAATATCCTCCACTGGCAATAACCATAAATCTTAACAGCTTGAATTACTGCATCTTTCTAGTCATGCTGACTCTCAAGCTGCTCAGTTTTTGTTTTTCTGCTGTAAATGTCAGACAATGAAGCTACAGCATTGTTGTTTACAGGGCTAGAAATTGCTTTAGATCCAAAGATCACAAAGGCCTTACTGAATGAAAGAGGCCAACCTAGGTGCACACACACAGACACTTCCCTGCCTCGCTGAATCAGGACCTAACATGCTGCAGTACCTTGCAAAGGTTCATTATTGCACATTATCAGGCTGGAAATTTCCATAGAAACTTCTTGATAACAACTAAGCACGTACAAAGAGCCAAGGAGAGACAGATAATGCACCATGAAGATGTACTGAAGACACCTGTATTTGAGAGTTTGTGCTGTAGGAAAGTGATTTTCTCTCAACAGAACTTCCCTTCCTCCCTGCCTCCTTCTTATCTCTTCCTGCATCTGAGAGTTAGATATTCCACTGGAAAAGCTGGATCAATGTTATGATCTCAGGAGCTATGGGGCTCCTGTCAGAACAAAGCAGGCAGACCTGAATAAATCTGAAATAAAAATCCCAGCTCAACCCGCAAAAGAACACCGTGACCTCTCAGCCACCACTGTCTTCCACCAAAACTACAGTTTTAGAAACAAAAGGCACTTTAATACTGGCTTTGTTTCCCAGACAGTCATCAGCCAGGGACTGGGAGACCATCAGTTCCCCCAGGGGAGCCCCAACACCAAGAGCAGTGTAGAGACTGACTAAAATAAAAACTCCAAACCCTGCTTTTCATCCTGGACTGAAGCTGCACTTTGCTCTCAGTCTGCCTTTGCCAGTCCATCACAGTAATGCTGTATCCCACAGCCACACTCTCCAATGGGATAAACACTGGAAAAATAACATGTGGGGACCTGCTGAGCCATGAAACAATATTTACTCGTGCCAACTAGCAGCACAAAAGCCCTGAAACAAAAGCAACATCACATGTATCAGGAGGGCAGCTTTTGACACTCAGCATGACCCCCAGAAAAGGGATATCTGCTCACAGCCATGGCTCCAGACTGATTTTCAACTCCCAATATTACTGTGAATGGATGAGCATGCCTTGTGTTAAGCATGATACTGCACAGCACATTTTCAGCACCAAAAACTCTTTAGCATACCTAAATTCAGGCAAACAAATGAAATGTCAGAATAGACAAGAGCTGCTGCCTTTGCTGCAGGACATAACATGCCTTCTGTGAACACCAAGTTCAAATATTAAATCTTTCTAAATTGAAACATGTCAATTTAGAAACATGTCAAACTTTACCACCTGAAGTGTGTTTTCTACCGTGGCTGAGTTTAAACCACCTGACAAAATTTCATTTTCAAGTTGCAGAAGCAGCCTTACGGCCTCTCAGGCACTGGTTCTGCCCCGCTGCACCAGTGTTGTTTACACTTCAGCATTGATTTAGACTCCTGCAGCTCTGGGATTAGAGGCTATTTAGTTAATTGATGCAGCAAAACCAGAAGGATCTCACAACACTATTAATAAATACATTTCATGACCAGAAGCTATTCTTCCTTTCATGCTTTTTTCTACTACAAAGGTCAGGAAAAAAATTTCTTGGGAGGGAAACCACCCCAAGAGAGACCCACATATGCAATTGTTCACTTCTGAGAGAAATTCTGAAAATGCTCATAACAGCCAGAACTGATCCTAATCATACAGACTAATCCCCTATACAAGTGATTTTCTGCAATACTGGATTTTTTTTTTCTTCCCTGATAGAGCTTCAAGATGCAAAATGTGTTTCTGCCCCATCTTCTCCTTTAACCACCTGAAGGCTCCCCAGAGTGTGAGCAGGGTGAGAACCCCCATGTGTCAGAACTGCAGACTCTAGATGTTTCCCCAGGGGAGGGTAAGTTATATATAAATGGTGACTAAAGACGAGGAAGATGATAGTTCATTGGTCCCTACTCAAGAGTTCAATGACCTGGTGATATTAAGTTAAATGACATGGAGTGTTCTCCTCCTATTGACAGGTACTGGGCTGGAGTGACACAGTCGGTGCTTGAAAATGAGAAATTGGATAAGGAGGGATAATAAATAAATAAAACCAACAAAAAAAAAAGGCACTGCTGAACAGTCATCCACACCCTGAAATCTGAGGTAAGAGAAGCACAAGGATGTGAAATGGAGGGAAGAAAACAGAAGGTTAGTGGTGACACTGCTGGTAGCAGAGATCCCCAATGTAATGTCACTCTGAGCTGTGCTGCTTCACTGACTCTAAGGCATGGATGGCCACATCTCTGCTGCTGTGTGTCCAAAGGAATGAATCCCAACTGGACATGCTGGACAGGATTGTGCAAACATGCAAGCATAGCAACAGTGCCTCCAAAGCCAACTCAGCTGTTGCTTATCTTGTCCTCCAATGCCTCTGGTTTTAGAGGCAGGACGTACAGTTAATCCATCTAAATGGGAGAGCTTGTAACTGCAGGGCTGCTATTTTACAGGGCAATCATCTAACCTTCACTGTATAGAACATGAGGTCAAAGTATGGCCTTTCTTACAGCATAACATTTTTCCTCCACTGTAGAAATTCAGGGGTTTTCAGGAAGGAACTCAGGGTGTTCATTAGTTTATCCAGAAACGATTCCCTGCTAAAACACCCAGTACTGCGTTGGCCCTTTCCTTATATCCCAGGATATATCCCTATATCAGGCAGACAGCTCCATGTGGCTGGCTCTGTGGAGCCTGCAGGGCTCACTGCTGCACAAACCCAGCAGATGGGACCCTGCAGAAGCCCATGCAAAGGCACCAAGCCCATGGCAGTGCATGAGCATCGAGCTCATTCCACTCTAACAGAGTCCTGTCAGGCATGTGGGCACCCTCTTCCCACGGAGCAGACAGTGCCCTACAGCAAGGAGGGCTAACTAGAAGGACTAACTAGTAGGGGGACCAGGAGGAGAAGATGTTGTGGATGCTCTTCCCCACAGAAACCTACAGGATGGAGAATTTCCCCAGACAGGTGACTTCTTACAGCCCAAAGCAGTCTTGCTTAAATACAACCTGACTTCACCTGACTTATGAGTTCCTGAGCCACTTCCTGACAATTATGGGGCAGCAAACAAGAGTGTACTGGGAACCTATTCTTTATTCACACTAGCTACACATATAACTGAGGAATGAGGGTCACTTCTGTCTTCTTTAAAACTATATGGCTATTACTGACCATGTTGCACACAAACATGACTGCATTTTCTGAATCTGCGGGCAGAGCTCCTGCAGCTGCACCAGGCTGTCCCTGGGACATGCCCTGCCAGCCTCTCAGCTGTGACAGTAGCTCACATGTTTCCACCACCCTAATGTGACTCAAAGGCCACTGCAGCCCAGATTGGGATCCTGTTTGGACACTGGAGAGCCAGCAGAGCAAACACGTGTGTCTGCCTGCACCTGTCAGTATAAATGTCTCCTCAGACTGCTTGCTATTTGTGGGACAGCCAAGAGCACTGCACAGAGGGGCACAGGCAAACACTCAGATGAGTTGTATGGCTTGGGAGGTGATTCAGCTCTGGCCAAGTCAAAAGAACAAGTTCTGCAATGTCCTGCTACTGAAACCAACACCAGGTAGAAACTACCTCTAGGAAGGCAACCACATTTACCTGAAGAAACTGTGCAAAGAATGAACCAGGGCAGATCTCATCTACTACTGGGTGATCTGACAGATAAGGACCCTGACTGATTCTTCTTTAAAATACAGACTGAGGATATGTTACAAAAGTATAAACCTGGAGAAGCTCCTGGGATTTTAACAAAATTCTTTCAGGTTTACATCAGGCTAATGTTACCGAAATCAGCAGTCAGTACAGTTGGAATTACACTGTAGAGAAATCAGATAAGAATGACTTTTCCCTCTGCAACAGATTATAATCAGCTGAGCTGCAGCCAGACATGATGATGGACTCAGCCCTTTCTGAGCTGTCAGTGCAATGTGATAATATTGCTGGGCAGTCTGACACACCTGGACATTCCTGGGATGCAAGCACAGCACCCAACTTGTGGCATACACCTGGCACAGAGCTGTGAAAGCTACTCCTCTGCAACAGAGTGCAGCTCAGACTGGGAACCTGCTTCATTTAGCTCATTTGATCCACTACAGCCCAAGTATTTGATCTCAAGTGATTTATTGCCCAGCTAAAGGAATGCCTCCAAGATCTAGACAATGCATGAGGAATGTAAGTGCAATCAACGCTGAGAACATTATCTTTAAATTCTGAGCACTGTACACTGTTAGGGAGCATAAAACCTCTTCTGCAAAGGGTCTTTGCTTCAGGACATGGATCTTAAAAAGCAATACTGTGAAGTGGGAGATGTCATTGCTGGGGGTCTCAAAAGCCATCCCCAGGCACCTTGAAAATCCAGGTCTCTTACTTAGGAGTCCAAATATTTAAGCAAAACTATTGTTAGCCAAGTAAATTTGAAATGGACCACCACTGCACATACATATTTCACATTAGATAACAGTTTCCTTACTCAATAACTAGATCAATCCCACTTACCTTCAGTGAAGCACAATAACAGGATACAATCTAAACCTATATTGATCTAAATATTTGGCAAGAAATAAGCTCACTGCTCAAAGGCTGAGCTTGACATTAAACACCCAGGTTTATCTATCTTCCATTTCCAGGATATATTCTGCAATAATTTATTACAAGGAATATTTCCCTGCTGCGATTTCAGTTTCACCCTGAAATAAATTCCTAATCCTGTCTGGAGGGTTATATGGCTCCCTGGAAGGAAATATTTCATGTGACAGTGGTGCTCATACCTTTGTCTGTGCATCAACAGCAGCTCCCTGGTTAACCAGAACCTCTGCTACATTGACCCTGTCCTCTTGGGCAGCCAGGTGGAGGGGCGTCAGTCCGCTCTGGAAACCAGAAACAACAAGTAACAATCTCCAGAGGAGGCACACAGACTACTAAAATGCAAATTTAGGTATCAATAAAACTCTAAACATCCTTAAAGTCAGACATTCCTCTTTCACAGTGTAAGGTGCTTTGTTATCACACTGTTGATCAGCAGGAAAGTACAATTCAGAAGCCAGGAAGATGATGTTTCTTTAAGACAAGGAACATTTCTCCAAGTAGTGTTACATGTGGGATGGCAAATTAGAGCACTTTAAGGAAAAGTCACACATTATTTTTCCCTCCTAATTTACTTCCCTACAATGAGTCAGACTTTAAAAGCAATATTGAATCATTATTTACACTTCTGCAAGTTTTTTACAATCACTCAGTTTTATCCTTACCTTTTACTCCTCTACTTGCTCATTTTCAGACACAAACACAAAAGAATAAAACTGCATTTCTCTGAGATCGGGCCCATTTCTCTCTGCTCAGGGAGTATACAGACTTGATAGAAAACACATATTGATAGCAATTTTTCTTAGTTAAAACTCAAGATCTAAATATCCTTAAAACCTCAGAAAATGATGAAACTTTCTGCCACATAAAAGGGGTAGAAGATAAAAGGGGAAGGAGAGAGTATCTGCTGAGGAGATGATATTAGGAATGAGAAAGAATATCCTTTCCTTGCAAATTATGGTTAATTTTCTCTCCTGTTCCTACAGGAACAGCACCAAGGACAGAAGAGCAAGTGGAAGCAGTTGTTCACATCAGGCAGGAACACTCACTAGGTTTCCTACCCTTGAACCCAAACCCATATCCATGGTGCACTCCCTACCAAGGCCAGTTATTGTGATGATAACAAAGCTTAGGTGTGTCACTGACACAAATATATAACATTAACCAACTATAAACTACCTAATGGAGCCTGGATATTAATGGCCAAGCCTTCTAAAAAGATCAAGTGCTCAGTATGGGGGCTCAGAGTGTGCAGCTCCAAACCATCCTGCGGGTCCTGAAGAAATAAATGCTCTTTTTACTCCCACTGCAAAGCTGCAGAACTCAGAAGTCAGTGGGCTTTAAACATCTGGCTTTGAATGCAGAGGTGCTGTGCTCTGAGGAAATGTGCATCCCTGAGAGAGCACGGGGGGTGGAATTACTCCCCAAAGGTGGTGTTATCAGCACAATGAGGAACTGGAGATTACAACTGAACAGATTGCTGGATGCTGCAGGTAATTAACCTCTGGTGGCACTGAATCAATGTGCCAAGCACTTCAATCAGGCTGCCTGTATCAGCCTCTGCAGCAAAATGGGATAGCCAATGGATGCAGAACGTGTACATGGCAAATTTCCCTGTGGGGATACTGCATAAGCCCCCTCACAACTGAGACTTGTGGGGAAAAAAAAATCAAATCTGCAAGAGAAGCTTTCTGAAGGAGGACCCACAGATAATCAAATTGGAAAGTCAGAAGCAGGAAAACACAGCAGCCCTGTGCAGAACACCCACTGCCTCAGAGGACACTGACTCTTCCTACCTGCTGAGAATAAGAAATATTTTCCATTAATAAAAATTTCTATAGCCTAATCTAGCCAAACAAATCCATTCTGAAACTGCACTTGACAATGCCAAATAACAATGTCTAGTGGGGCATTTAAAGAATTAGGGCTGCACATTTGCTAGAAACATTAGAGCAGACTTAATTGCCTATGAATTCATACATAAACTAAAATACATCAACTTTCCTTTCCTACCACCAGGAGAAATGACACCAAAAGTCACTGTGGGCTATGGAACATACCCTGGGGAGGAAGAATCACTTATATTAAGGAACAAAACCCCAGAAAAAGTCGCTGTTATTATCCCATTTAAAAAGTCACCATCCTGAACAAATCAGCTGTTACCAGATGGTAATATTTGTTACCATTCGCTGGTACATTACATTTTTTGTTATAAAATATTATAGTGCTAAAAAAGTTACAAATAAAAAAATACAAAAAAAAAGGGGAAATTACAATTACAATAAATTACAAATACAAAAAGAAAAAAGGAAATTACAATTACATATGCAACACTTGAAAAATGGGCAGGCATATTCCTAGAGGCTGATAAATGACGGGTGCCAGCCCCACAGCTCCCCTGTGGGGAAGATATTTTCTCTCTGGCCACGCTTTGGCAGACCAGCATAAATTAACGCTGGATTGATAAATTCCACTGCAGCATGAGTTATCACCAAACCCTGGGCACTACAAAGGCTCCTTCAGTGTGACATGGCACGCTGCTCTTTGCTAGCACAGACTGTCGCAGACAACTTTTATGAAAAATCCTTTCGTTAGGATTTTTCCTCCTGAGAAGCTGAGAGGCCTCAGGAACAAAATGTAAACAATGGTTATCTGCTGCTGTGGAATGCAACAGGTGCATCTGTGATTGGTCTATGTTAGCTGTTTGTAATTAATGGCCAATCACAGTGAGCTGGCTCGGACATAGAGCCCGAGCCACAAACCTTTGTTATCATTCTTTGCTATTCAATTCTTAGCCAGCCTTCTGATGAAACCTCTTCTTCTATTCTTTTAGTATAGTTTTAATGTAATATATATCAGAAAATAATAAATCAAGCCTTCTGAAACATGGAGTCAGATCCTCGTCTCTTCCCTCATTCAAGAACCCCCGTGAACGCCGTCACAAGAGATGTGATGTTCAGACACCTGCAGCGGCTTTCGGGGGCAAAACGTCACTGCGGGGCCCTCTCCTCCTCATCCCATTTTTCACAGCCTCAGCCCCGGGCAGGGGGACACCCACCTTGTTGCTGAGGCTGACGTTGGCGCTCCTGGCGAGCAGCAGGGACACCATGTCCACGTGCCCGTCCTGCGAGGCGAGGTGCAGCGGGGCGATGCCCTGCCGCGTGACGGCGTTGGCGTCGGCGCCGTACTCCAGCAGCGTGGTGGCTATGTCCATCTGGTTCTTCTTGGCAGCTATGTGCAGGGGCGTGTAACCGTTCTGCCAACAGAGAGCAATCGCTGAGAGCTGCTCATTCAACAGGGTGATACATCACTTTTCTCTACCTCCCCAACTCTGTGAGTAATTATGCCATTAGTCCGAAAAATTCTGTCAAACTCAGTCAAATGCAATGTTAACAAGCTGCATGAACCAATGTATCTGACCTTTAGGCAATCTTTTTTTTTTTAAGTACTGCTAAAAAGAAGAGGATTCTGAAGTAAATTTTCAAATTTGGGAAAAAAATGTCTTTTCAGGAAAAGACAATCTACAGAAATAGAAGTTTGAGTTTTGTTTCATGGACATTTGCTCCTTTTCCTTAAATGTGCATAAAATCTTCAACAAACAGAAGAGCAGGATGTGTGATCATAACTCAGAACAGCTGTTATTGTTTGAGTTTTTTCCCATTTCCCAGTGTGAACGAAAGCATCATGCACATGAAATATGGCCTTTCTTGCAGCATTTACCCTAAACCTTACTGACAAGTTGGTTTTTTTCAGATCAAGGGAAAACTGAAGCATATAACTTCAGAGTCATGCATTCCTTATCTTTTTATTCCTTCCAATATGGGTACCCAGGGAGTCCACTACTAAAAATAAAAATGCAGTATTTATTGCCTGATACAATTTTGTAACTCTAAAAAGAGACAGATAGGCAGAAAATAGATAAATGGATATAAAGAATAACTGATCAGCACACAAATACCAAAACTCTGATGGAGGTAGGACCAGTTTGTGGTACAGATTGCAATGACTGTTTAGTCAAGAACTTCCTGTCTTTCAGAAATTTATTAGCCCTCATTTTTAAGTAAATTACAAATGTGCACACATTTGCACTTGAATAAGAGACAAGGCCAGAGGGGATGAGACCCAAGCTGCATAAACCATTTTGTATTTCTGTATGGCATCATAAGGACTATTTGCCTCTCAAATTATCCAGCCCAATAAAATCCACCTAAAGGCACAAAGCATTCACCTGGCTGGGCTCCTCCCTGCACCCACAGGGCAGCAGGGCTGGTCTGAAAAGGAAGAGATGCAGAGCAATGCAGGTATGAGCAGGGAATAAATACATGGGGGCTCTGCAATGATTACTACAGAGCTTCAACAGGAACCTGGCAGCAAGAGATGCACAGCACTAGTTTCATGTGGAAAAGGTTCTGAACCTCCAAAATTCAATTCAAATTCAGCTCAGATGTTGGATGTTAAGGTATTTGAAAATAACATTCAGGAGACACAGTGCCACAATCAATAAAGGAAGCACATGGCCACTGAATTTTCACTTTGAAGATAAAGTGCTTCAGGAAAAACAAGCATAATCCTCTCCCTTAGACTTCCTGCATGATACTGCCATGGAAAACAACCACTGCCACACGAGCACCTAATAAATCCTAAATACTGCATGCTAAATCCTGCATATCTGCTACAACAACTCCTTGAAATGGAGCTCATATTACATTATATAAAATAACAAATGCAGTTTCCAAATTTCTTTTCCTCAGAAATGGGCATATATTGCTTTCAGTGGAATGGACAGCAGCAGGTTGCCACGAGAAGGCAAAAAGAGAGCTGAAAAATAAAAGCTGAAATTCAGCTCAGTCCCAGGCTGCATCTTCTCCTCATAAGGGCAGCACTCTGTCACGATGCATAGATGGAGAAGGAAACAGAGAAGTTCAGAAGGAAGGGTATTGAGTTATTCTGCTTGCCAGGGAAAAGAGCAGAAAAGGGGAAAATGGTTAAAGATGAAAGGACAGAGGAAAACTAAGGCTTTGGGGATGGCATGATGATAAGTGGATGCTAAATTCAAATTAGGGATAAGCTGCATGTGAAATTAGGCACAATTTTTGCCTATGAAAGAGAAGAATGGTTCATCAGGAAAACTGTACCACAGCACTAGACTCTGACATGCTCATTTCCCATACCCTGTCACTTACCACTCTTCAAGGCAAATTTTGCTGGGCTTGGCTAATGAGCCACTCTTAAATTAAGATCAGTGTTAAAGACAGTAGTGCCACAGGAAAGGCAACCACTGATGGAACTAACTGTGGATCCAGTGATGAGATATGACATAACATTTATTTACTGGACCACATTTACAAAAAGTACAGGAAATCATCTGCTGTTACCAACATCATCTTTTGGATGAGTGCACAGCGGGTGCCCGAAGCAACAAACATGTTATGGTTAATTTTATTTAGTACTGATGCTCTGCTGGCTGCTGCTGGCTCACTTGCTGCAGAGCACTAACAAATGCTTTCTTTTAGGCACACTTACAGCTGGCACTTGGAGGCCTGAAGGGGCAGCTGCAGACAGAACTGCTCTGTTACAGATGGGGAGGCTGAGGTGACCTGACACGAGGGTTTGTGCCGTGCTGTACCACAGTCTGCAGGGCTTCCACCTGGTTTGGACTTCCCAAGCCCTCGGCAGGGGCTGCTGCAATCCCTGTCCCTACAGGATGCTCAGCTCCCACTGGCAGCTTCTTTCAGTGAAAACTGGGTCAGTGCCTTCTCATCCTCCCCAGAAGGCCCTTCCTTCCCCCCAGTGGCATTTGAGAGTGCTGTGCTGCAGCAGTGAAAGATCAGAGATGGCTCTGGCTGCCCCCGGCCCCGGGGCACTGCTCTGGCAGATCGCTGCTATCGACAGCATTGATTTGAAGCTGTGCTGCTGGCAGCCCGTGTTTATTTAACTTCCCCCTCCTTGCACCACCAACTCTGGGACCCCCACTCCATCCTCTCCTGCAGCCATGCAGAAGGGCTCCAGTGTATGGCTGCACTCAGCCATGTGTGAGAGGAAGGCACTGCCCATCTAACTACAATATTGGCTTTTCCATTAGCTCTCCCTTCTCCACAGGGCTTTTCTTTTGCAGATTTAAGGAAATTGTCTGGGTTCTTTCAGATGAGGTATTTACACTGCACTTAATCTGCTTTAACCTACATATGTTTCCATCCTGCTTTACCTTATGTTCCTGCTCAAATATCGATTATACTCTGATTGATTATAGTATTTATCCATCCCACACTTAAAACTGGGATCCACAAAAGAAATAGTTTAAGCTCCTCTAAAGTCTCTTTGTTTTATGCACTACCAGAATAAATTTACATATTTATTCCTTCATATCCTCTGAAACCTTACACTAGGCATTGTCTTGCCTACAGTAAATTACAATCAAAGCGGGGCTGTGACTACTTTTATTTCTTGCCAGTCCATTTATGCTGGGCTAGAAATACTTTTGTTAAGCACATGAATAATTACACATATTGTGCTGAGAAACTTATCTGGCCTCAAATGTCATCCTGTGGCACAAACAGAAGTACCCATTCATAGCTGGGCTTCAACCCCAAGCTTGCCCTGCAAAACTGCCTAGCTTGGAGAAGTTACTGAAGAGACTGGACAAATGAAAGGAAGGCTCAGCATTTGCTGAGACTGAAACTGGTGATTTAAAGTGTTTCTGCATCCTTATTGCTTTTTTTTTTATTGCTGTTTTATTCACCTGCAGGACTATTCTTAGCAGCTTTATGTGGACGTGAGACATTAATAAACAAGGTCACCGAGCCTCCTGTAACTGCAAGTATACACAGCCTAGAAAGAACAGGGGTAGACAGGGAATAAAGTGGCATAAAAAGCCTGGGTATTGCTCCCCAGAGTGGCCAGTACTTGTACCTTGGCAGAGGCGTGAGGTGAAGCTCCCTGGTCCAACAGGAGGAGTGCCACCTTTTGATTATCGTAGTGTGCAGCTACATGCAGTGGTGTTAAACCGCTCTAGAAACACATGCAGAACAAACAAGTGCTGTTACAGACCCTCCCCAGGGGAGACTCAGGGGTTTGGAAAATTTCAGTAGATAAGGTGAATAAACCACATTTGTTACTCATTCGTGTATCCAGCGTCTTTGGGAACTTTTACAATCAAAAAATAAAACAAATTTGGAAACCCTTCCCAAGCTGTGAAAGCCCCATTTGCTTTTCCCAGGGAAGATGAACAGAGAAGGACAAATCTGTGTTGTCCCCAGGGTAAGGAGGTCACGCCCTTGGCAATGTTTTCCTTTTACTGCAGTGGATAAGTAAACTGCCCCTTGGATCTGTAAAAATCCAAGCTGGGCTGGTTTAGAAAGCTTGAGGTCCTATTGGCCTTTGCCCTCTGCCCCATCATGAGAGCTGGGGAAGCAGAGACAGCTACCCAAATACTCTCAGATAAGGACTGTAAATAGTCTGGGTAGGAACACAGGGGAATGGTTTGTCTCCATTCCCCTGGATGTGAACGCAGAGCACATCACTTTGTTGTCAATTAATGACAATAAAAGTCACTTTGTCGAGAGTTTGCTGACTCTTGGAAACCCCAGCAGGGACTGGAATGCCACATTAAACAAATTCCAGCTAAACTCAGGCTGTGGATACTAGTGTGATGGTAAGTAAGTAGGAGGACATTAATAAATTATTATCTGGTTTGAGATATTTGCTGTGCAAGTGGCAGTGGTTGCTTCTGTCCTACCTTTCCAGAAGCATCAGGAGATGCATTCTTCTGAAGCAGGAGGTTGGCTACCTCAATTTTCCCGTACTTTGCAGCCACATGCAGTGGAGTGAACCCTTTCTGTAAAAGAAAGCAGGAATATAGCAGCCCTGGGCACTCCTTCTCAGGGCAAACCAGGTTTGTCTCTGATCTGCAAGGATGCAGCTGCTTCCATCCACCCCCTTACATAGTCCTGAGTACAGGCAGCAAGTCTGCAGATTCCCAGCTGCCCTGTGGGGTCTGGAGGCCCTTCCCTTGCAAGGCAAAGCACTATCTACTTTAAACAAGGGATGAGTCTGTTCCTTTCTTCACACTACCAAAGACCCAAGGGCAAGCCTATCAACACCCGCCTGGAATTTCTGCCCTGCATTCCTTCCATTCCAAGGAAATGTATGTCTGCTCACTGGGATGTGTTAAACATCAGGTCCTGAGGTCAAAGCTTTGCACCCTCTTAATAAAATATAGCTCACACTTACATAGTACATCTAAATGACTCTTGCAGCATTTAGTTCACAAGCAACCCTTGCTGCAGGTGTGCTCTGTGATTCTGCCGCTCCTGCAGCTCGCTCACCTTGGTGATGATAGACAGAGATGCCCCATGGTCCAGAAGAACAGAAGCCACATCTTCGTGCCCTTCCCTTGCAGAGAGGTGCAGGGGGGTGTAGCCTGACGTGGTGGCTGCGTTGGGGGATGCTCCCTGCTGCAGCAGCTGCTGCACAATGTCTGCCTTGCCCAGGCGGGCAGAGATGTGCAGCGGGGTTTGGTCATCCTAAACACACAGGGAACAACACAGGCATGCTTGAGAAAACTGCCCCTCACACTGGGACAGCAGATATTTGCCCACATTCTGTCACTTTTCAAAATTGCACACAAGATTAATTCTGCTGAGGTCTCAGCTAGGGAATGTTGCACATTGGCTTTCTCTGTGTCATATCACAAAGATACCTTGCTCTCTGTTAGTGAACCACAAAATATTCCAGACAGTGACATAATCCATAAAAGTTCATAAATTGATCAATTTTCTTCCTTATCTGGATTTGCCTCACTTTGCTTTGCAGGCCTTTCTGAAAACAAAGCTAGTGCATAATTCTGCACTCTACTACCCTCACGTCTTGATCTCTTTTATACTTCACAGCAACATTTAATAGCTTAATCAATTATTGCCTGCAAACTTCCATAAAGTATAATAATTTTGGTGCTTCTTTAACTGGTGAATGATTGTTTGGAATTTTTGCAGTTAAATTTTCCATAAGTGTAACTGATGACAGAGTATGGTGTAGAAATTAACTGTCACTTTCTACTTCTCATTCAGAAGACACTCTGAATAGTTTAAGTATGGTGTTGCCCTGTCATGAATTTCATGGTTTATTTCTTTTCCTTAATTGAAAATATGAGGGTGTTGTGACCTTGTTCTGAGAGTTTAAGAGGTAATTTCTCACCTCTTCATTATTTGGTTTTGTATTTTTGTCCTCCCCCTTTTCTGTTGTACAATCTTTAGATCAGGCACACTATCACAACAGTGTGGCCAAGCATCTTTTGATCCCCATTTTCCTCTGCTGAATTTCCTACCTTTTGAGAACTGTCCTGCAGTTCTGGGCTGTTCTCTGCAAGGGAGACTTCTGCCCATGCCCATCCTACAGGAGTGATTTACACCTCTGGATTTAGGATGGGAGCATGTCAGGATATAAATGCTGCTACTCTGCAGGGCAATTCTCCCCTGAGACTGGGGGAGCATCTTTGTGGTTCTTAAATGATTCCAGTTTGTGCCTCTTTCCCACAAATTTCCCACAGCTGATGTTAGCACTGGTGTGTAATCTACTGCGTGCATTTAGTTGTTATTTATGATAACAAACCGATCGCAGGCAATGGCAGTTTGCACAAATTAAATCATTCTGTGAATTTACTCAGAAAATATTTGCATGACTGCTTCTGAGCACGAGCTGTTCACTTCAAGATTGTCTTTGGAGATTTACAAACCACATGAATCAGTTCTATTGTCAGGCTCCTTGCAGATATAAAGTGTATCAGCTAGAAATATTTAGTCAGAGTTCCTTATAAGTAGATAATCTCAACAGCAAACTTACTTCTGACCCAATTCACAGATACATTCACAATGAAAAATAGTTTGATTTTTTTTTAGGCTACATCCATTTTATGACCATTTGGAGAAAAAATATTTCCTGAGTTTACCTATTAAGACTGCTATTTATTGCACCCATTTATCTCCTTGCTCTGCCTGTTTCCTGGAACTCTTTGGTTTCCATAATTTGGCGTGTTCCTTCAGGCCTCTTGACCCTTTCTTCTTCCTCCACCCTTACCTTCCAAAACTGCAATTGTTTCTATAGGATCTGTTCCTTCTTTCCAGCCCTCTGCTACATCCCCTCACTGTGCCTCCTTCCTTTAGGTGGTGTTCTTTACAAGTCTAACTATTTTTGAATACATAGAGGCTGTTGCCTTAGGGACATGACAGGAGACACCAGAAGCCGAGGGTTTCCAGTTCTGCTGAAATAAAAGCAGATTTGAGGAACTCCTCTCCCTCCTCAAATCCCACTTCAAAACAGAACTCTTCAAACCCATGATAACTTATATTAAAAACTGAGATGGCATCAACCTGACATCTTCTGCCTTATCTCTTAGAGATAACTCATGGCTACAGTAGGAGGGTACATGACAAAATATCAGAAATATTTGTGAAGCCACAAAGGTTTGGCTTCACAAATGACACGCCCAAGATGAATGTGAGTGCCTGCTCTGCCCAGCAGGGACCATGCAGGTCTGTTCCACCTGGGCCATGTTCTCACCTTGGCTTTGGCCTCCACCTGGGCTCCGTTCTGTACCAGGTACCTGACGACCTCAGTCTGGCCAGCCCTGGCTGCCATGTGCAGCGCTGTCTCTCCTCTCTGCACACAGAGCAAAGACAGAACAGAGTCAGACATGCTGGAGGGAGAGCAAACACCAGCGTGCTACATAAACACAGACATACCAGGGACCCAGCTCAGAATCACCTCCATGAGAAAACTCTGCTGCAGCTGTCTGTAAGATGTAAGATTAAATCAATGTTTGACCTGACACTGTGTGCTGCAAAGCAATTTATTGTAGGGTCAGTTTCCCAACTCAGTAATGCCTTTGTCATTATTTTTTGCTGAAAAGAGACAGTGCAATTTTTATATTGCTAGCATTTTATTAGCAATGTTAAAAAATATATCCTGAATTTAGTAAAAAATGTATTTCAAATTTTGTATATTCAGGCACACATACATATGGCTTTCTTTCTGTAATGCCTTATGCCTCTACTATTATTTGTTATCTGACAAGCACTGAAGCAACTGAACAAGAAGGAAAAAAATCATTACTGAGTACATTCATCTAAGGCTTCATGGACTTAATGAAAGACAAATCCAAGGAAAGCAGAACAATTCAGGAGGGAAAGTGGATTCTACCTTTTTGGGTATTAATGTGTTTATGGTACAAACATCTGCTAATTAACAAAAGGTGCTGCATTTTTACACAATTTAATAGAACCAGCAGGTGAAGACCATTACAAAATATTGTCTTCTGGCTGCACCTGTGTATGGAAAGTGAAAAGGAGGCCAAACTGATAAAGAGGATCAACATGCTTCTGCCTCTCTTCCCCTTCCCAACTTTCACATACCCATCCAAGAGCAAGTTCAGTTTTTACACATGCCCTGGGAGCCCTGGGGCATGCAGCACAGCCAGCAGAGGAGGCTGGATGGACACAGGCAATATGTCCCCACAATCTGCTGCAATCTGTTGAATTTGCCTTAAATGGCAGACCCCCAGGGTCTTGGAAAAACAGTGCTCAACAGTCAAGCACACATCTCAAAAATCACATCCGAGAAGCTACAGTATGTTCTCATAATTGTTTAATTCAGAATAATAATAATTCAGAATAATACTTCATATAATTCTTTACTTTAGAAAAATCAAGAGATTAGAGCCTGCTTAGGGTCAAGCCCCTTTGGAAATTTCCTCAACCTGCCAAGGGTCTCCCAAGCAGGGGTCAGCAGGCTGCACTTTGCCATGACTCCAGCACGAGCCACGGGTGCTGTGGAGGTGGGTGGTGGACAGCAGAATCAGGCACTCCATCCCAGAACTGCTCCCAGATATTGTCACACATTCATTCCCAGTCCTGCCTTGCTGAAAGGAAACCCGTGACTCACCACATTGGTAGTGTTGGGGGATGCTCCATGATGCATTAGCTGTGATACAATATTTACATGTCCCATGAAGGCAGCAACATGGATTGGAGTTAGGCCCGACTGAAAAACAGAACAAAGTTCAATTAAAATGCTTATTTCCACATACCTTTACAAGAATGTCATGGAAAGAACATAAATTTTTCTAAAGCAAGTAAACCCAGCTGCTTGCTCTTCTGAGAGGGTTTTATATTCCTAAAACCATATACATGTGCTTAAATGAAAGGGCACACAGGATTGGGAACACCTATGAGTGTGGTTAGTGAGCAAATTATATATAGATGTTCTAGGAATTCAGCAGTTCTTCATCAACAAAATCAACCATAGCTAAGCAAAATTAAGATTAGGCATTTGCTAAATATTGTCTTGGAACGTGGAAAAAAAAATATAGAGAAGCATTCTTGGTACAAAGGCAAGGCTTTCTGAAACATTCAGCTTGTGCTAAAAAAGATCACCATCATGAATTTGTACCAGTGCTCTTACACAGGATTTGAGAGCCCAACTGGAGAGGAAGAGAGGAGGAGAGGGGGAAAAAAAGAAGTAGTTATTCAGCAGGGCATGACCTCAAGGATTTTGCTTTAAAAACATAATCAGTAGTTAATATTTCCCCACGTGGAATCACCTTAAAGCCTCCTCACAGCTCCTGCACAGCCAGCCAGAGCCTCCAGAAGGGACTTTGGCCACCAAGAGCAGGAAAAAGCTCAGGGGATCTCTGGAAATCCCCATGATTTAGGCACCTTCCCCACAGATATATACAAATCTCAGAGGGCAGAAGTGAGGAAAGCACTTCTCTTCCTTTCTCATGCAGAACAGCAAACAGGAGCAGGAAGGCAGAATAACTGGCTGAAACAATTTAATAAATGCTTCTAAGAGTTTTTAAATGCTAGTCTGGAGCTACATGAACTGTAGCCAGGGCAGACTCTTCTCCCTCAAGCAAGCCAGGAAGGGATCTGTATGGCTTGCTGCTGAATAGTTAGAACAACCCCACACACATTAAATCAAACTCCATTCTGTAGAGATGAACTATTCCCCATGGCACCTTGTTTAATCCATGGAATTCCCTGTCATTTTCTTACATGGGCCATTCCACAGTGGTCACACATTCATAGATGTGATCTTTGCTCCCCTCCTAACTTGGTACAATATACATACATGGAGATAAAAATTCCCATAGGTACTTAGTCAATCTCAGAATTGTTCCAAGGACTGGGTGCAGAGTATCTCATGCTGACTGAAGTGACAGCATATTGATTTCTGTCTAGATGATTTGTGATGTCCCATGATGGTGGAAGAATAGAACTTCTTTTTGGAAAGCCTAAAAAAGGTTTGAATTAAACCACCCTTTAAAACAGGACTTGAGTGAAGCATAGTCTTCACCTCAATGTCTGTAACAGGGCAAATTTCATCCTTAAGGCCTTAAATTACAGAAGGAAAACTGGCAGAAATGGTAGATTTTAGGAAGTTCTTTCGTTATATTTCACTTGTTATTCTCACTGTAATCCCAACATATATCAGTTGTTTGTGATTTGTGATTTATTGTTCAATTTTATTATTTCATACTATCTAGTTGAAAATAATTGTTGACTTAATTGGTCCATGCTCTTACAGAAATACTGAAATATTAATCAATACAGAGGCAATGAATTTTGTAAGAAAAGCAAAGACAAGCATGGAAAGACCATTTCTTACCTCAGTTACAGCTTGAATTGATGCACCGTGCTTTAGAAGAAGTTCCATTACTTTTATTCTGTTCTTCTTGCAGGCAATGTGAAGAGGTGTGAAACCATTCTGGAAATGAGAAAGGGGCATTAAAAATTGTGTACCATGGAATTAAAAAATAGAACTGAGTATGGAATTCATAAAATAGATTTTTCTGTTTTAAAGGAACAACTGCCGAATTTATTTTGGCATTGCTACATTTTTCATGCAATAGAAAGTAAAAATTTATAAGAAGATAAAGATCTATTTCATATATCCAGTTTTAATTCTGTCATATATTGCCTACTCCAATAATTAGTTAATTTTAAAAAAATCTCAATTCATGCAAAACTGTCAAACCCTTCTTTTTTGCTTACCATATTCACTTTTACCCGGCTAGAGTTTTCTGGTGGAGTTTTTGGGGAATTTGGGGTGGGTTTTTTGGTTGCTTTTCTTTTGACCTTTTAGAGCTGCTGGTAAAAAAAGCACTTTACCTTTTACAGCTCTGGAATTTACATCTTCTAAACTATGTTTACTACTTGTTTTGTTTGTTTGTTTTTCCCATTAATTCCCTGTAAGCTTACTGCGACTAGAAGCATTTCACCCTTTCCTTTATAAAAGATGTGTGCAGTGGGGTGAACATTAGAACTATCGTCTTATTTAGTGTGAGATGATACCACAGAAAAAAAGTAAATCAGGAAAATAGTCTGTCCAGAACACCCACGATTGGTACAGCAACATCAGAGCACCAAATGCTGCTCGGTACAAAAGAGCCTTTGCAGAACATTCTGAAAACAACTGGCAGAGCTGGTCCCTCAGATCTGATCAGAGTTATCCTTTTTTACCTGCCATATGGTAAAAAGTACTGTATGTTTTCATGATGTGAGGTCCATGTCATTGTCTGTTCCAGTGTAGCAGCTCTCACTCCTCTCCTTGGCAGTGCACAATGCCCAGGGGGAGCTCAGCTGTGTTCCATATCTCCTAATAGCTTGACCACAGACACCTGAATGCAGCTGGTCTGCCACAAAAGGCACAGGGGCTGAGAGAAGGAAATCTGTGGAGCCTGTGCTGCCTTCAAGAGAGTCAATCCCACCTGGCTCCTGAGGGTTTCAGGAGCGCACGAAACATTTCAGGAGCTGAGTGAGTTAGCATCAGGCTGTGAGACCAATCAACCCAATTCATGTCAGAATGCAAATTTGTTTGGAACAGTTCTTGAAGCACAAATCAAAGAGACATTTTAAATAGAATGGACTGAGATTGCAATTTGAACAAAAGGCATTAATGTATTCTGTTTGTATGCAGTTTAACTGCACAAATGTATTTTGCTGCTGAAGTTGTTTCTAAAGCAGAAAGGCACATGACTCCATTGACATGGAATACCACAAATACTCATTATGTAACTCATTCCTACCTTTCACTGTTTCACATCACTGATAACTCAGTGATGTTTTAAACGTCACTGACTATTTTCTGTGTACAAACACTTGGAAAACAAGGATTCTCTCCATACCAAAAACTACAGCAGTTGTGTCTGCAGCTGTTTCATCTACTCATAATCATAAAAATCTACCAGGAGGCAAAAGTGCTCTAGTTACACTAGAAATTCATAAATCACTCCTGACTGTCTGCAAGCAAAGGTCTTCTCTGATTGCAGGGTACATTATCAACACTTTGAACCTCGAGCGTTTGTTCTTGGGCTGTGGCAGTAACAGCCCATCCTCTGTGTCAGCCATCAGCAGGCAGAAAACACCTCCCAGGAAGTCCCAGGACAACTTTGCAGGAATGTTTGGCTGTGAACAGCACCCTGCTGTGTACTCACCAGTGCTTTGGCATTAGGATTGGCTTTCTTGTCCAAGAGAACCTTGGCGACTTTGTAGTGGCCGCAGTGGGCAGCGACATGCAGCGCAGTCAGGTAGTCATTGGTGACATCGTCCACAGGCACGTTGTGCTGGATCAGGAGCTGAACACAGTTTAGATGATCCCCTTGTGTTGCCATGTGCAATGGAGACAAACCATTCTGCAAACAGAGAGACCCAGCAGGATGGGTTAGAGGATGCTCAGAGAAGGGAAACTCCTTCGCGCCGTTCTTGGGAGTGTGTGTTGTATGAAGAATTTTACAAGCCCAGAGAGAACCCAAAATAAACTTAACATGTTCAGTGTAAGGATGGGGGTTCTTACTGCAGAATTTGGAGCTTGTTTGGTAAGAGTTTGTAAGCAGGCCCACATTGAAAAATTGTCATAACATACCAGCCATGCTCTAAATGCAGCTTCCTTCCAGTCTCAGACAAGCTGCTCAATTTCATGAGTTACAAGAGGAACAGCACTTTGTGACTCTTAACACTCCAGCCAGGGAATTTGCTGGTTTTTAAAGCTGAGTTAATTAAACTCACCTCTCTAAATGTGGCCTGTATAAACCAGGCATGACAGCACAGGTCAGAGCATCACTCTGTGAACACTACAGCCTTCCTTCATCCCTCCGCTTGTGTTTTCCTGAATGTGGGTTGTACACATGCTTACACCACATTATCCAGCTCTGGAGACCACTCTTCCCAATCCTCATTGGTAAAGCACCAAAAGTTCCAACTGGGCTAAAAATCTCTGAATAGAGCCTCCATGCTGTGACCTACCAGCAGCAGTGGTAAAGCTGTTCCACCAGGGAAACACCTGAGAGAGACTCACGTACCAGTGAATTGTGTCTTGCCATGTTTAAAATAGTGAACAAGCTGCCAAAATATATTATATTTTCGGAATAAAACCATGAGAGAAAATTCTCAAAAATTGAAAGGACTGACACTATTTCATGATGAAAGGTTAAAAATACACACCAGAAGGAAAGAGCCTTTGTTAGCAGCGGTACACAGCTCCTCCTCCCAGCTGTAGGGCTTTTTTTCACTCGATTCTTCTGATGCCAAATTTAGTTTTGAGTGCAGCATCTATTCTTGTAGCAGCACACAATGGTTTATAAGCTGTAAGCGACTGCCAGCACACTGTGTCTGGAAACACAAACCTTTGCTCACAGGCGCAGTGCCCTCGTGTGACCGCAGCCAGCAAAGGCAAAACCAGCCGGGACCTCGGGCTCTGACACAGACCCTTCCCTCGGCCATGTGGAAACAGCCACAACTCCAAAGGAAGGTGGAAATACGCCGTGGAACAATACTTTAAATCGAGATGGAAGCAGGATGGTGAAAGCAAACAGGTGAACGCTGTCAGAGCTGGGGAGCAGTTTACTGGCAGTGCTGAGACACAGGCACTCTCGGACACAGCAACATCTTTCAAGTAAGATTATCTCATGGGCATCTCACTTGTGATTTATGTTGGCTTGGATAAGCCTCTCTCCCATTCCCAAAGGCTACTACAGCAATTATCTGCATGGAAGCTTCATACTAGCAAGGCATTTTAAATGTTTTCACTGTCTTCTAGTGTAGTTAACAGTAGAACAAAAAAAGATTAATTTCCCTTGGTCACCAAGTCCTCCTGGTAGCAGTTTATAACTGATGATGCTTTAGAGGTAAGAGTAAAAATATCATGAAACTTTAAACACCATCCTGCTCCATTTTTATAAGAAAGATCCTTTGGGTGAAAAGTGTCATTCTTCACAGCAATAGCCAATAAACCATAAACTCAATCTCTTACTCCATTACTTATTAATGGAGTAAGAGATTGAGAAGTTGATATGGGACTCCCTCATAGAAGAGACTTGTACCAAAAAGACTGAGACGGATGGAAAAGAAAGGAAGAAACAGAGCCAATTTGAAAAATCAGCAAAATATTTAATAAAAATCTGTCCTGGACAGGAGAAGTGCAGCAGCTAGCCAGACCTCATGCAGAAAAGTAAGAGACAAGACTAAATAAAATTAAAAAGACAAAAATAAAATTGGAAAATTGTCTTTTGTTATACCCTAAACCAGGCTTAGTTCTGTTGCAGTTGGTGATACTCTATAACCTTACACAAGTCAATATTTCAATGCCACATTTAAAATAAAAATATTACATGTAAAGGTGTTCTCCAGGCCCAAGAGACAACCCAACAATGACCTTAAGAAGTGATCTGGCACTTTAGGATGGAGCCACTTTATAAATACTCTTACATTACTGGTTTTTTTAAGATTTCCAAGAAAATATTAAAAGGGAAAGAAGTTCAAGATTAATCAAAGATACTGCCCACTAAGGACCATAAGGTCACACCGTACCTTAAAACAACCAAATAAAAAAACCTCAGGACAAAACAGGACCACAGAGATGAAACAAAGAATCAGCTGTCTGACTAGATAAACATAACATTTCTGAGCTTATTTTGTAGCTGTGTGGCATTAACTTTAGGGCAAGAAAAAAGAAGAAAAAAGAAGAAAAAAGACAAAGAGCCAAAGAAGTCTGGAAAACCAGTAATTAAAAAAAGATGGACAGTTACTGACAGGAATGTCATTTCTTACATCCAAAATCACTGGCATGTTCAGGATGAGAATTCCCTTTTCACTTTGCTTGTAGAAACCCCCATACAATCCATTAGTCCACCACCTTCCCTGAAAATAAATCTAAGGTTCTTCCAGTGCAAAAAAGGGTCAGCACTACTCTAAACCATCTTTAGCAGGAAATAGCTATCAAACTGCAGCCTGGTTATTATTCTGAAAGAGTTTTATATAACATGAGAAAACTTTGTGAAGTTCAAATTCTTTCAAAGATATGTCCTATTTCCAATAATATATGACTTAATTTGAAGAGAATGGAGCCACTTATTTCTGCAGAGGACAGTACTGCAGTTTAGTGCCAAATGAATGAATTCATTTATGCCATTCAGAGGTACAGCTACTTCTGAGCTCACCTTCTGAAAGTGGTAAAATTAACACATCAGAAGGAAATGCAGGAAGCTCTGCACTTTCTTCTGTTCACTTTTTAACATGTAACAGCTTTCCCTCTTCCAGAGGAGGCTCTTATTTTGCAGAAGTTGTTTATATAAGCCTCTGCAGATCAACATCCAGTCTGTCTCCCAGCCTTAGGCAATTTCTAACCCACTATCCCTTGTAATCTGCCTGATTTTGTCTAGTGAACTCTGGGCTAGGCTCTGTGAGTCTGCTCAGGAGGAGCCACAAATTCAAAACCTACAGTCCTGGAACAGCAGCTTAAGTTTAGGGGTAACACCTGAAAATACAACATCCACTCAACACAGAAATGTAATTCCTTAGGAGAGGTTTTCATTTACCATGGTGGAAATGGAAGAAATAGGGTGTATGTTCATGTGGGTGTCCTTTGGTTTGGTTTGTTGTTGTGGGGTTTTTTGTGGTTTTGTTTTGGTGATGGTTTGGGTTTTTTTCTTCCCTTTAAATGATAAAAAGAGCTTTCCAAGAGGTGGAAGAGCCTTTCTCCCTGGAGTATGAACTTAAGGCTCCGAGAGTGGCAGATGTGGCCCAAAGGGCTCCTAGGCAGCCCCTTGTGGTTCTCCCCTGCTCGTGGAGTTTGCAAGCTAGGGCTGTGGGAGCCCATGGAAATTCCACATGCAGAGGATGGGTGAAAAGTGTCTGTCAGATTACCCATGACAGCCCTTGCCAGTGACTCACTGAGCAGAGGAAAGCTGGTGCCAACCTCCCCAAACAAATGCTAAATATAATCCAGTAAAGGGGGAAAAAAGGAGGGAGGAGAAAAGCAGAATATATAGAAGGGTGCTGAGACAGAATAGGACAGGATGACAGAAAAGAAATAACAACAGAACAGGAATGTTGCTGCAACACACTGGTTACAGACTAAGGAAAAAAAAAACTGTAGTGGAAGGTTATCTTTGGAAAGAACCTCAACGAAGTGCACAGCCCAAATGTCATCCCTGAATGGGGAAGCCATGGATTGCAGTGGTGCAAAGCAGGCTGCTGCTATGAGATTTGAAATCAGCAGTAACAGCACAGCAGAGACCACTGCCTGCAGAGCTCTGGCAAGGGCTTCCTTTAATGCCAGCCCTCGGGTCTACAGCAATCTGTGCACCCTGGCACAGGTGATTTGAAATTACCAGGAAGAATTTTGCATGATAAACTGTAGAGAGACTGAAAGGAGAGAATCTGATAATCAGGCTAAGTCCTTAGGAAATATGAGCTGTCTCTGCAAAGGGACATTGCTCTATTTTTATCTCTTGTCTCTTCTCTAGCCTTAGGGTAAATTGGTACAAGCCGAAGATTTATTGTAATCACCGTGTATTTATTCCAGGATAGACACAGAGTTCTTCAGCTACTGAAATTCTGAGGGACAGGGTTGCCACACAAGCCTTTTTGGTTGGCACAGAAATCTTTTCTTGTATATCTGGATTTAACACATTTTACATATGCAGACGTGCTCTACATACGGCATTCACTTTGGAGAGCTCCCACACAGTTACTTTAAATAACCAAGAAATAGGAAAGTTATTGCCAAACCCTTAAATACATGAGACACACAGAATTACATCAGGAAAAAGAAAAAAAAGGTGCAAGGATTATCCCACCAGGAAAGAGGATCAGTTACCTTGGTTTTGGAAAGAATAGGGGCACCACGATCCAGCAGCATTTCTACAACCTGCTCATGGCCACTTCTTGCTCCACAGTGGAGGGGGGTCAGCCCATCCTGTGGGACACAGAGTTATAGCTCATTAGTGTCAGACATGCTGAAGTCCTGCACACTTCTGTAGAGGCCTGTGATGTCCCAGGAGGCTCATTAATTCCTGCAAGGCGCTGCTCTCCTGCAGATGAACACTGGAACCTGTTTGTTCAAACCAACAGAGCACACCCTGTCTCTGATTTTCTGAACGTGTAAATAGCCATATCACATTGGTGTTCGTGCAATGGGGCTCCTTCCAGGCCCTCATTGCACATGCAAGAAAAAGATGAGATTGCACTTCAGGTGCTTTTTCCTGCATGCCTTGGAGAAGAGTGGGTCTCTCATTTGTCAGTATGCATCGGAGTCAATGGATAGCCAGTCAGTCTGAGAGGGGAAAAAAATCCTCCTCAGACTTTTTTATTACACTGATTTTGACAAGTGTGCAGCAGATGAGAAAGGCATCTTAATCCCAGGTGATGGAAGTGTGTTGGACTCACTTCTGTCTCTCTCTGCAGACTGTGCTTATGTGACCCTCAGCTGAATGACTGGCCTGGAGTCAAGGCACAGTGCCCATACCCCTTTTGGAATAGTTTGCTTAGTAATAATCAACATCCTATTGCTTGTTGCAAATGATGTCAAAGTTGTCAGAAACTTTGGCTTTTTCATTTATAAATCACAAAGGAAGGGTCTCTTCTCTGGTGTCTTCCACTGCTCTTAAAACACATATGTTTTATTGTCTAGAATATGTGTGTCACATCATTTTTATACAAGGGATTATCTAAAATTCCCTCTCACATACTCTCTTCACACACATGCACTCCCCCTCCATTTCTGTATGATAACAAGTATTATTAAGGTACCTCTTTAATAATACTTTCCATGTGGAATTATAATATTCTTTCTTCCTTGGTAATTCCTAAACCACACTCTACTGGAATATCAGCTTAAGCCCTGCAAAGTGTGGAGGGCAGCCAGGGAGAGGGGGGACGTGGTTCAGAGAGCCTTACATTCTCCTGCTTCTACATTTTTGCCTGCTCCTGATAAACCTATGGAAGATAACAGGTAGGAATTTTCATGATAAACTTTCCCTGCTACTTTCATTTAAAACTTGCATGGTTCTCATTGTGCCTGCTCTTTCACTTAAAGTAAGGAATAGATTTTTGACATAGATGAAAAAAATATTTTGGTTCAGACTTAACTCCCTTAACTCAGGGAGTAATTTGTTCCTACAAGATGAATGCAGCTTGGCCCACAGTGTTCTTACTGACGCCTCTCAAGGTGTAATTACAATAATTCTATTGTAATTTCTGCTTCTTCCTGCTATTTCAGCCCATAAAGTACTGGGAAGCGCATCTTGTTAAAATGATACTACACAAATTCAAGATGTATTGCTCAAAATAAATAAAGACAGAGAAGATACCAAAACCCACAAATGATGCATTTTTTTAGCTGAGTTGCAAATGTTTTGCCACAGCTTCACAAGTATTTAAAATGGGTAATGCATATTTCTTATACCAGTAGCTCCCACAGGTGAGGGCATTTCATGTACTGAGCAGACACAAACATTTGATATGAAAATATCACCTACAAAAAGAAAAAAAAAAAGAATACTTGTATGGGAAGGAAAATCAAACCTCAGACCCAGTAAGGCTAGGCAACAGCTGAAGATCACCATATACATTAGATTGTTCACTCTTTTTACTTCCTATAATTATCACATTCTGGAGGTACATCAAAGACAGATACTCAAGGAGATCAGGCACCAAAGTTAGACACCATTTTCCAGATCCAACAACTCCCCAGGTCATTTCACCAAAATACCATGGTTAGCTCATAGAGAATGAGACACATTTGATCATCCTGTACCATGCTAGACCCTTCCAGTGCTCCCAGAGCCCCACCCCTCCGTGGTGATTCTGGCTGACAAGGTTTCTGGGCTCAGGAGGAGCAAGCAGCCATGCTTGGCCAGCTGGACCTCATTCTGGGCCACACAGCAGTCACTACCAGCAGAGGCATCACTGGTGTGTGTCATTGGTGTGTGTGACACAACAGGACGATGCACAGGGGTGCTTGTTGGGACAGCTGATCTACAGCTATTGTTCCCATGATGTCAGGTCTCCCTCTGCAAAGAGCAAATACACTCCAAGACAGATAATTTAGCAACATAGATTTTTTTTTTTGTAGTTTCAAAAGACACTCTTCACTGGTTTTGTTAATTGGTGCATGACACTGAGAGCAGGTAAAGAAATGTGCAGGGGTAATCTAAAATGCAGATAAGAAAGACTTCGCTTTTAAAAAGAGATTCTAAGATTAAACCAGACTGCTATGAGCTCAGCAAGACTTCACTGACTTTGTCAGGAGATCTTCTAGTTGCTTATTTACTGTTCACATAGACTATACCATGTGAAGCATAAAATATATTACATGTATTAGGAAGCAAACTTGACTTAATATGAGTCTGCAATGGCTCAGAAAAACCATTACAAACGATTATGACAATAATCTGCAGATTAAGGACTCTGTAAGTATGCACTGACATGATAAATCATATCATCTGTATTATCTATCCCTCCAGAGAGCCTGAGAGCAGCTTCAGCAAAGCCAGGAGGACAATAGGAGGAGCTATGATTAGGTACAAGCTTCCCATTAGCATTGCACACCCATCTCTGGGGCTGCTGCCTGCTTTAGCTTTTCTTTTAAACACACACAAATGAGACCTAAGGATTGTTTCTGGTCCCTGCTGACACTCAGGTGCCTGTGTAGCTCTCTGATCTTGTTACACTAAACTGCCCTGAGACTGAGCCTTCCTGCTGCTGTGGGTTTCCTCACCACCACGATGGCTTTAAGGGACCCTGAGCAGTGTGGGGTCAGCACAGAGCAGCCTCCTTGTGCTCCCCAGCTCCCTCTTCCCTGTCAATGCTCCCCCAGGATTCCCCTTGCATTGTGGCATGGGGAATTTCCCAAAGATTCCAAAGGGCTCTGTCCCACTCCAGCTCTCCTGAATTCTTCCCTCCTTTGGCAAACTGTTGCAAACTGCCCCTTCCTGGGCAACAAACAAGGTTTGCCCTCCCTGCTCGTGCAAAGCACACTCAGGATGCCAAGGCAGTGCCACTGCAGTTATTTCATATCTTAATACATGTGGGTTTTCTGGAGCAGCTTATGCATGATCTGATGCATCTCCAAAGAGCATATCCCATGTGTTTTCATGCAGATATGAGTGCTGGGCCTGTTGTTCAGCTGCAAAATCAGTAGAATGAAGATTATAAACACTTACTGTTAATCCAGGCTAAAACTTGCTTGCTGCCTGCTTCAGACACAAATTCACTTTGGCATATACAGTATTAGACAGCCAAAGCAAATCAAGCTAATTTAATCAACCTCTCTAATTAAATTTTACTTTTTAAAGTCTTTTCTGGAAGACAGAAAAAACATAATTAGGGCAACATTCAGTAAACATGTTACATGAGGCATTAACAGGCCTTTGCCCAGAATCTTGGTTAAAAACCAGAATGATTAAAGCTGCCCTGGCAGCACACAGTTCTTGAGGGGTACCCTTAAGAATTCAGTACCCAGCCCCAAATACCAGTTGCTAGACATCTCACACACGAAAAAGAAAACAGAGGGAAGACGAACAGCTGGTTAAAATAAACAATGCAACATAGCGTGAACTAAAATGGAAAAAAAAAAAAGGCTTCTCTGAGTCTCAAAATAGTTTTAACATATTTTTGGGATATGTCTCACATGTTCTCTCAAGTCCCAGCTACAGTGTGCAGGTGTGTAAGAGTATAATGGTGCTCATCAAATCCCAGTCCTAATGAATCCAGAGAAAGTGGGAGCTCCTGGATTACTTTTACAGTTATTTAAACAGGATAAGGATTTAGCCCTTCATGTTAACCTTTTGTGCAGTACTTCAGCACTGCAGTTTCCTGGACCATCTGTCAGCAGCAAATGCAAATGCTCATGTTAATGACTAAGGAAAAGAGATCATTACCTCAACTCACTTATTGCTCAGGAAAGGCTTTTCATTAATTTACCTATAAAACTATTTGTTTTGTGAACAATAAAAAAAAGTATTATGTGGACAGTATTCCAGTATCCCCTACAGAGGATGGATTGCAGGAACAGATCACAAAATGCCAGCTGAATAGATAAATCTGTCCCATCTAAGAGTCAGAGTAGCAAATCCTGGCTCTGTTGGTCAACAACACAAAACAGTATGTTCTGCATTCTCATTTAAAGGTGAGATACAGACATGAAACAGGAGAAACAAAGGTCTAAGAGTTTCTCCCCCTGAGCAGTAAAACTACAAATTTCAAGATTTTTTTTTTAATCCTTTCATAAGGGTACAGAACCTTTGCCATTTACCTTTAAGGAGGTATTTTGTCTTCAATAATCAACCTTTGAATTAAACAATATCAAATGCCCAAGACAAAAAAACTATCCTAATAGAAAAAAAAAAATCTGCTTATCTCTTACATACAAAAATTCTGTAAATCTCTTAGAAAAAAATAGGAAAAATGAGAGGGGTCTCACATTTATAAATATGGCACTAGGAGACTCACTCGTTTTCACATGTAAATCCCACCTGTTATCAAGTTGTGTGTGCATTCAGCACCTGCCCCTCACAGAACACACAATGATGCTGGGCTCTGCCTGGGCATCCAGCTGATAAGCAGGGCTTGACACATGTATCAGAAAAGACAGCCTCAGCTGCTCTTTGCCTTTCAATGCATCCAGCAGTGGTGATGCTGTGGTAAGGGATATGACCAGAGCCTTTGTCACCCTGTATTTTTGTAGGGCTATTCTATATCTGGGACATTGAAAAGAAAAATAGTGGATTAAAAAAAAAAAAAAAAAGAATAGCTACAAAGTTGACATATCTTAATTGGAAAACAACATTGGGTCAGGTTGGAACAACAGGAGAGATTTAGCAGGAACATGTGTTGCGCCAGCTCAGGGCAATTCATCTTTGCTGTTGAATATGAGAACCAGGCAGGCTCTCCCGAAGCAATGCCCTGTTTCACCCTGCACCTCTCAGCCTTCTCTGGCTTTTGGCACTGATGTGTGGGCCCTGCTGGTGCTGCTCCCTTTGTGGGTCCTGCAGGGTGTGATGCTCCAGGAGCCACCCCGAGCGCAGCCTCACCCAGCCCCGACTGCAGGACACGTCCCCTGCCAGTGCCAGCACCACAGCCCTGAGTGACACACATGCAGCAGGAGCTGTGCACATCCCTCCCGGCCTCTGCACAGGATGGGTGCCTGGGCAAGCAGGCAGGCTCTGGGGGAGCCAGGAAAAACAAGGCAGCGCTTCGTGAGCCACGGTCATCACTGCCTCTGCCTCGGTGGGAAGCTGTGCCAGCCTCAGGAGCTGTTAATGCTGCTGCCCCTCTTCCTAGATCCTGTTTCCGTCCCAGCCTGTATTTTTAGTTACATAAATTATCCCAGTGTCTGACCCCGAGCTTGTGACAGAGGAAATGAAGCAGAGCACGAATTTTCCTAACTGAAAGAACTAACTTGACTCCAGCTATTTAAAGTACTGGTCCCTAATGATTTGGACTGCAGTGGGCCATACAAATACTTGCAGAGGGAAGCAACTAATCCCCCATCAAGCCCCCTTCTCCCTGCTCTGACCAAATGCACATCTGTCACACACCACCAAGCCGTGTCCCTCCCCACCATAAGGCAGAAGCACACCCCTTATCCTGGTACCCCTATGTGGCACAGAGGAGGCTGGAATTTCAGTCCAGGAACTATACCAAATGTCCACATTACCCATGAGAAGTCATTCGTCTCTTCCACGTTATTGCCCAACTAGAAAAGAACCTAAAACATTTTAGAAATAAACCATCAGCTACTAAAGGTAAAATAGAAGCAATAAGGAAGAACATGTGGAGAGAAGGAAGAGATGACAAAATAAACTGACCCAGTTTCTGAATTCGACAGAGAACAAAAACACAAATGTGCCTAACAAGCACTGCAGGAAGTCTCAGGCACTACAGTAACCAAACAAAAACCTGTGAATACAGGAACAACTGCAGAAAAACTATTCTTAGGTTTTACATTTCTTTTGCTTAGAATGATTCTGAATGGTTGAACTTATATAGATGAATTCAAAATGGAAAAGGTAGAGGTGATAAATTAATATGTCAAGAAAATGATAATTGTCAGAAAGTTACTGGGACAGCTCTTGACAGTTACCTCTCACACACAGGAGTGTGTTGCAAAGACTGCCCTGACAGCCCACAACACCACTAGCTCCAGATTTATGATTTACTTCCAAACATTTGAACTTTTTCCTTCTTTCTCTCTTTTTTTTTTTTTCCTTCTGCTATACAACAAATAAAATATCCCTGGCTTGGTTGGGTTTTAACTACAGCAGTTAGACATAACCACATGCATTGAGTTTCTAAGTCACTCAGGGCACTGATTTAGGTGTCAGCCTGATGGAAACCAACCCTGTGCCTGCCCCATGTGCTGACAAATCCCACAGAGAGCCTGAGCTGCAGCAGAATCATCAGCCACAGGACACTCTGTGACACTGCCTGTGGATAGTGAAAGGCAAACACACTCTGCAGCTCAAAGTTACCCTGCTAGCATTCAAATTCTGAAATATCTGACTTGAATTGTCTTTAGCATCCTCCTGCACATTCACCTCTACTCCCAAGCAGATAAAAGCAGCTCCTAATTAAACACTGGAAAGGGAACATGGAAAATGGTTGGCTCTGAGCTTTGCCATCCTTGGTGCTTCACACACTGCTGTAAGAGATGTAAAATGTTACTATCCTACTGCAATAATTTCATTAAAAATAAATGCAGTGCAGCTGTAGCAGCCTCCTGGGAAGATGAATGATTTAAGCTCTACAGCAACACTCAGGTCAGAGGCAGGCATTCCACACAGCCACTTACAGCACTCACACTTGAGCTTACCCTTGTTTTGGCATCAATTTTAGCTCCTCGATCAAGTAGGAGTTTGACCATATTTGCATTTCCCCTTTTTGATGCAACGTGCAACGGTGTGATATCATTCTGTGGAAGAAAACAACATGAAAATAAATATGCATATGTCTGTCTTTCATGAATTCCATTTCTGGTCTGCTCACAGAGTGAATTATGCCCAATTTGCTAAATCATAACACAGTTTGTTTCCCTGGGAGCATGAAAGCAAAAGGAAGCTGTGCTCAATCACACATGTGAATTACTGGCCTGATATCTCAACATAAACACAGTGAAGACAAAAGTAAAATTGTTGCTAGGGTTATAAGATGACATGATTGTGCCTCAGCTCACAACTTTTGCTTAAGGGTTGAACTTATACAATTTTACTGAATCTTAGCAATTTAATCCAGCTGTAGTTGTTTAGGAACCTGTAGTGATAAGGATTCAAAACTCAACTTCACAAACCTTGTAGGATCCATAGAAAAATAAACAAAACCATTATATCTGCAGATCTCATACAACAATTATGAGAGGCCAGCATTACTTATTTCTGAACATTACCAGCAAACCCTGAAAGCCTGGCAAGCACCTTCATTTCAGCTGCACCATTAATTTTGCCTCCTCAATTTGCTCCTCTGATGGGTGCAACACCGTGCTGGAAGTGGGGCTGCAGAGGAGTGTGTGTGCTTCCCTGAGTGTGCCTGGCAGGCTGGCACAGGCAGGGATGAGATGCTGCACATCCAGGACAGTTACATAACCCACTCTGAGCACACACAGGCTGCACTTCCCAACAAGATGCAGCCAGGACGTCTCTTCATGCTCTGCTGACTCCTTCATCTTGTGCCCTGTGAAGGCCACGTCCTGTGTGCATCTGATCATATGGAGCCAAGGAAAAATAAAGGGATCCAAGCAGAGCACGCAGCCAGGGTATGCAGGCACAGAGAATTGTAGAGGATGTGTTCCTGGGTGCTGGGGGCAGCACACACAGCTGGCTGTGAAAGCCAGCAGCCCTGGCACCCAGCAGAAAGCAGCACACAGTGTCCAGTGCATCAAAGGCTCCCTGAGCAGCAGGGAGGGCATGGCTGGCTGACCTGGCCAACAGAGCCTTCAGCAGCACAGGTGAGTGCAGTGATGGAGAGCAGCACCAAGACAAGATCCCCTCTCAGCTCTGGCAAGCTGACTCACAGCCTAATCATAACACCAAGTACCTCATGCACTGCTACATTTACACAAAATTTCACTATGAAGAGCAAACTCACAGCTACTAGAAAGTACTAATTAATGTTATCTCAGAGGTAAAATACATGTTAGCAAGGTTAAATGACAGAGATCCTTTCTACAATATTCATGATCATTAGAGGATCAAAGTGATGACTGTGCCAGGGTAGCTAGCTTCTCATTCCTTTAAAAAGCAAAGTAAAACAGGAAGATTAAACAGCACATTAAACAGAAAGTGCAGCATGTCTAGTCCTTTCAGGGAGGTAAAACTATGCAATCACTTAAATTTTCTGTGAGATGGTTTTGAAAAAGAAGAGTTAATCCTATTTGACTGGGAGCTGACACTGGATATAATATGGGGTCACTATATTATTGTACCAGTCACAAAAAGGAGCAGAAAAAAAAGGAGAAAAACAATTATGTGGAGATACTTTCTGCTTTTTTTCTCTTCCCAGGAGGAAAGATGTTACTGAGTTCAGAGGGAGCAAGAGATGAGTTCTACTTTCCCAAGAAAAAAATGGTAAAGGAAATAACTTTTGTGTCTTCAAGTAAAGAGTACTGCAGATAATTTAGATTAAAGAAACACCTTTTTCTACTTGCTGATGTTAAGGGGTAAAGAGTTCAACTCAGCCTAACAGAGCCTAGTGCCCTGGTAATACATCAAAATAATTTAGTACTAATAATTTACTGCCTCATACACAGACAAGAAGAAAAGCATTTTCCAAGCATCAAAAAAGAAACAGAAGGAAGGGACAGCATTACAAAAGGCAAGACAAACACCTGTTAGAAGTCTGGTACGCATTCATCTCAACATTAAGCTGAATCTAGTGCAGCACAAGGGAGGGCATAACCACACAAGAACCTGCACTTTGGATCTAATTATTTGCCAGTCAAAGCTACTGCTGCCATGAATGAAGGAGAGTTGATTCTGGAATAGAGGGATGAGTGCTGGCAAACACACAGCTCAAAACTAAAAGCGATGACTTGTTAGCAATTAAGATGACCCCTTAGCAATTAAGGGTTAGGTGACACTGTTTGCTTGCAACGGTGAAAAAATGAAAAATATCCACTTTCATGTTCAAAACCAAGTCCTGTTCAAATGACATTCAGATTTCTGGATTGCTACCAAAGCTATTAGGACAGCATATTTCTCTCCCAGTTTCTGACAGGGGCGATCACGCTGGCTGGAAATGTGAGGAAATTCTCCAGCACCAAATGAGGGCTGAGCTCGAGAGCCAGCAATCCATCTTTGCTCTATGTGATCACCTGTCTTTACAAAAAACATTTAAATTCATTGTCTTTAGCATCTTGAAACCTGGAGTTACTTTTGGTTGAAAATAGGCAGCAAGTTCACATTACAAAGAGATGGATGGAGAAAGAACGTGACTGCACAAAAAAAAAATTTTTGAGGAAAACCAACTACACACAGCTTCCCAGAAATAATTAATGGAGCAGGAGGAATCAAGGAAATTAATCTCTGTATGTTCAGTGTAATATCTGTCCTTATGGATGACCAAAGAGCTTCTCTTTCCTAGGAAAGAGCACTCATTCCCTTGGAAGGAGTTTGCAGCTTTTGTTGTACTCTACTAACCCGATCAGGCAGTTCATAAAAAAATTAAAGGAATGAATAATTAAAAACACTTTTAACCTTTTTCAACCTTAACATCTCAGGAAAACACTGTGAGGAAAAGAAGGGAGGAACAAAGGGGGGGCAGGTCTCTATTAGAATTTAATTTTGCTGTTTAGCTATTTAAGCTTTTACTGGTAGAAAAGAATGCTAAGTAATAATTCAGCTGGCTGAGAGTTCTGACTCCAAACAGATGAAGGAAGAGATGCATTATCTGAATGCTTGAATAATTGCACACTGATGTTCAGGCCAAGAAACTTGGCTTTGGTCAATACTCTGTTGTACCAAGTCTTAAAGAATCACAGCTAGAAGTTTCATATGCATGGTCCTTTTCCATCTCTCATCTCACAATTAAGGACACAAACTGAGAAGTGAAAAAACCTCAGACAACACCATCATTAATTCTTCTGATGACAAAATGTAAAGCAAGGAACTCAAAATGGAGTTATTTGTACTTGTCACAAGAAACAAGAGATAAAAAAAGCTTAACAATATATGCAACTTTGGTGTTGTTTATTAACACTAAAACTGTGGTATCAGCAAACAAAATAGCCACCAAATGTAAGGTTCTGAATTCTTCAGTGTATCAACAGCATCCGCTGTCTTTTCAGTCTATTTTTATCCGTTTGATCTTCTATAAATTTCTCCCTTTGTTCTTAAGATAGAATAGTAAATCAGGAAATTTTTGAAGACGTTTTCCCGCAGTAATAAAGCTGAAATGCCTTCCAAAAGCTGCCATTAAATTATGTGGTTCAGATCCAGAGCTCCTGCTGGAGTGCTGCTTGCCCTTGCTGTTGAAATATCCAACGTTGGGTAATGTCTCAGGCAGACCCCTTCACACTGAGGTACAATTTGTGAGTATAAATTCAAAAGGGAATATGAAACATCATTGTGAGAAGAGCAAGCTAAAACTATGGAGAAAATGGCCATAGCATTATCACCTAGAACACAGCCTTTCCTCTCCTTCTTGGCAGATTTCCTGGGACAAGTGACCTGAAGCCCTCTGAGGCTGTACATAGCTCAAATGCCATGGATTAGGTGCAGGCAACTTTTTCTACACATCACAGCATTGTGGATGGTGGTTTTCCCTTTGTGTCCATCCACTGCCTGCTGCAGCTCCCTCACACTGAATGATTTAAGCTCTAAAGGGCTCGTGCCTTCCTCCAGAGCCACACAACATCCACAAATACGATGGGAGAGGAGTGCTGCTTTTACAATCCGTGGCTTTTGCTTGTGCCTGATCAGAGGGAGCACCAGGCCTTTCCAGCTGCAGCTCTCTATCTACAGCTTCACAAGAAAACTCAAAAACTTTTCAGTTATCTTGTGTTGAGATAACTGAACTAACTAACATGCCCCAGCTGAAATGAGACCAGCTGCCCTCTGACACACAGTGTTATCCATCACAGCTCACCACAGTAGTCAGAATGGGTCCATTCTACTACAATTTAGCCACGTGGATGGTTAGGAAGTGAAGGAAAAAATAGGGTTAAAACTGTCAGTGTGCAATGGTTCCATTTTAATGCATTCAGATAACCAGGAACTCCCCCTGGGTTTCTGGTGTGCTACGCTGTCCTACGAGATTGCCTCTTTCTCCCATCACAGCTGGAGTCTCACAAGCATAAGGATGCTAATAATAACCAAGAAAAGTAAATGTTTGCACTCACAGCTTCATATTGGGCTCTGAAATTCACCTTAAAGGAAGGCACGAAACAAAGGGAAAACATCTCCTAGTCATGTGCTGCATTGATTTAAATGGACTGAGCAGCTGATCACATCAGGACTGTGAAAACTCACTGCCAGTCACATGGACTCGGCATTTCTTCTTGCTGCCAGTGAGAGAACTCACCTCCACCTCTGAGCTCTCCCAGCCTCTCACTGGAGTGCAGTTTTAATCAGGAATATTACACTATCTGATGTCAAATTTCACTCCTTTGATTTAAAATAAACCAGAACAGTTTCTTACCAAAATGCTCAGATTAACCTGGAATTTAGTAAGAGAGCTCTTCTCACTCCTCAACTAAGAGCAACCTCTAGGAAGAGCTTAATATTGACACAGAATGTGTGAGTAAGAAGTTGAAAACAGTCAGAGTGCTATAAGAGAAATTTCTTACACAGTCTGGAAAATCCCTCCAGCATTAGAGGTTTTTAAGAAAAGAGCATAATGGTGGTTCTTGCATATTGGAATTGTCAGCAGCACCACTACATTGTTATTACCACTATTACCAGATCCTGGAGGTGTGGGAAGGTTGTGGTGTGCATTTGAAGATTCTCATATGCAACTATGCACCAACACCAACATGCTGTTTGTTAAAACACTCAACATTCTCCCCTGTATTTTCCTGCAATTCAGAACTGGAGCTACAACACAGCACAATTCCTGCAGAGAAAAGTCTTATATTCTAGTAGCAGTCACTGGGATCACTGAGGCTTGTATAGATGTTTCAGAAATTAAAGATAAAAATGCACAATTAGATGCTTTCCAGGAAACCCTCAACAGTACACAATTTTCCAGCTTTTTCCCTTCTCTTCTTAATGCCAGTAAGTCTTACATTGTGCTATTTTAGTTCTTGTGTGCTTATATACTTAACTTTCTTCAGGGTTGAGATGTATAAAATGAATCCTGGAAGAAAACAAGGAAGACTATAGAATGGGGCTCTTATGGCAAACCACCACTGGGGAAACAAAGATGTTTTTCTCTTATGCCACTGTCACTTAGATATTGCCTGCCCTTTCTGATGGGCTAATGGTGTTCTGCTCCTCAGCCTCAGGGTCATCATTAATGCATGTTGTCCTCACACCACCCTCAAAATCACCAAATCCTTTCCTAACCTTCCAGCAAGCAAACTTTCTGCAGGCAAAGCCCACTCCCAGTGGAACTGAGATCTCCTCCAGGATAAGGAGTGCTGTGGATCAGGAAGGCTTTCCCAGGGCTGGGTGCAGTTTTATGGCACAGTGAGGAGCTCCCTCCCATTTGCTTTGGCAAGAAAGATACAGGGAGAGGTCACCTTCACACAGAGGATCCCCTGGCTGCCTCCACCTTCTGACTTGCTCAAGCACAGAGTGGATGAGGGGTTCACAGAGGTTTCTCTCAGCCACTGCTCTGGAAGCTGCAGAGAATTTCATCCTTCCCTCCTTTCTAAGCACTGTTTTCCTCAGAGACAGGTGCAGCTTCAAAGGCATTTCCTCACCTGGGCTAAGCAGATCTTTCCACTCTCAGACAGAAGAAGGCTATTTGAAGACTGTGTGAACCCCCAAAAGATAACTTTTACCTAAATAAAATGCCCAGTTTATTCCAAACACTTCCATTAAATCATTAACACTCTAGGTAACACCTCCATTAAATCATTAAAACTTCAGGTAAGACATCTGATACAGTTTGATTTAAAGGCACAAACAATAGTTTTAAAATGACAGGAATTCGTTTTTCCTGTTGAAAAAATTGATAAAATAGATTCACTTAAAGCTATCTGGCTACCTTTCAGTTTGTAACTAGGATTCATCACACTGTCAGCTAAGAGAAGGGTGCCTGGAGGTGTTGTAATCCTTCAAAGCCCAAGTAGTGACTGCTTTAAAGTGTTAATCTGGCCAAGAAAGGAGGCAGACTTCACCCTCAGTTACCCTTTATTCTCCTCCCCCACTTCTTTAGTTTCTGTGTGATTGTCTCCCAGTTAAGCAAGAGGGAAATATGGTGATGCAATGAAGTATTTGAGGTATTTTGGAGAAGCTGGACACACCATAATGTAATACAGGAAAAGGATGATGAGTAGTCATAAAATGCCTGTTACCCTGCAATGCCTACCCTGCCAGTAACTGTGACAGGTTTTCTGTTGAGTTTGAGCCCAAGAAGTCGAGCAATTTGGAATGATTGTTTTTGCTTTGTTACCAAATGGCAAACATCCAGCTGAATAAGGAGATTTTGTTTCATTTGGAATGAGGTTAGGATGGCTCCCAGAGCTGCCTCCTTGTTTATAGGTGGAATAAAGGGCATCAGAAGCTGATTTACTGAAATTATTTCCATCCATCCCAATGGGGAGTTTGCTGTGCCACCTTCCCTTGCAGCAAGGCAAGAGGAGAAGGCAGACACAGAAGTGCTAATGCAGCTCATGGGAAGAGCTGACATGACAACAGTCACTGGACTGCAGGAGTGCAAACCTGTAAAAGCAGGTACATTCCCAACCCCCAGCCTCTACAGTCAGCAGGGACACAGGCTGGCAGGCACTGTGACACCTGTAAGAGCCCCTGGAGCTGTGCCTGTCCCCTGGCTGCACTGAAAGAGGGGACCAAGGGAATATGTGACAGCTGAGAGCATGCAGGTGTGTACCAGCAGGGCTGAGGGAGCAGCTGCTCGTGAATATCACCGGGGACATCATTTACTTAGAGCACAGCACCACTGCTGCTCCAGCCCACACACTGAGAGCCAGCAGCAAGCTCATCTCCTTCCTTGCTGGAGCCTCTTCCTTCCCTCAGGGCTCTTGGAAACTGGCTGGGAACAGCAGCTGAGGAGATCTCCTCTGCCACAGGCCTGCCCTCCTTTTCCTCACATCCTTTCACCACACTTGCCCTTGGCCTTACAGCTCTGCCTTCATCCTACACACCCATTCACAATCCTCCACCTTTCCCCTCCCTGCCTACACTGATGGTGGCAGATGGCAGATAGCTATTTGTCACACATTTGTCTTCACATTACCCTGCTCACACAAGCTTCTTTTATTGCCATAATCCTCTTCTCTTGCTCAAACCCCTCCCTAGAATTTGTACTTTCCTGAAGAGTCTGAGCATAAACTGAGAGATAGAAAAGCAGTGTTAATTTCCATTTATTTAGTGGGAACAAAGCAAAAATGCACAGTGCATTTGACACCTCCATCTTAAAAGTTTTCTCTTTGCACTTCTGAGAGCTACAGTACATATGGTAATATTTTATTTGGGTTACAACCCTTCCATATCTTTGCTCTGTTGCTCATCTCACATTGTCAGCAACTCAAATAAGGGCCTTTCCTGCAGAGGGAAGACAGCAGACTAAGTGGATAGCATTTATAGAAATTAAAACAAGAGGCCATGAGGTGGCAATGAGCAGGCTGTACCTGTGGGGCACTTTCAGTACCTGTTTTGCAATATGGGTAATCAAGGATCAAGAAAGGGCTCTGCTACTTGGTGCTGATAATTGGAAGTGCTCTGTTAGCCCACAAATCCACTGCTCTGCCAGAACCCAACCGATCCTCCTGTGCAGTGCTTTCATCCCCTGCAGCCTGATAAGCACTAAAGAACAACATTCAGCTCCATATTACTGTTATTTATGCTACAATTCTTTCTGTCACAACGACTTTATCTAGATTTGCAACTGCCACGGAGTGGAGATGAGCTCTGTCTCTCTCTGGATGCCCCTGCCCTGTATCACAAGCACAAACAAGAGCTCAGTGCTCCCTGAGCCACAGCCTCAGCCCAGGCTGATGCCACTGCATCCCCACCTCCCCAGCCAGCCCACAACTCTGTCTGATGATGATGACAACCAATGGAGGCAGAATTCAGAATGCCCAGATCTTGAAGAGGAGACAAGAATGACCTTTTCACTCTGGATGTGCTCTCCACAAGTGCCCTTAATCCAAAACAGAGCTGCTGAAGCCTAAGACTTATTATTCCATTAAAACAAGCATAGGCAGATGGTATTTAGTGCACAGGCACTAAATGCTGCTAATTGCTAATGTAGTAGCATTGCTAATCCTTAATCTTGTTTCTGAGTGGGAAAGACTTGACCCAAGACCCTATTTGTCATCCCTGCTTCTGTGATTAGGGCTTATCAAACCCACAATGCCAAAGCTTGGGATGGTATGAAATGCCTTAATGCTCTACTTGGGTCAGCTAAAGGACTTGGAAATCAGAGGTCAATGCTATCAATGAAAGTAGAGCAAGGGGTGTGCAATGCTGGTCAGAAAAACTTTGCTTTATGTAAATATGGGCCTTAACTACAGAAGCATTCAAGTTTTTAGCCACACAAACTATCTAAAGTAGAATACTGCAAATTCACTTTTCCCTTTGGGTTAATTGCCTAAGCAGTGTTGTAGTACTTTTCCTCTTGCAAAAGTAATAAACATAACACACGATCAAAATCTCAGAAGAGGAGCTGCTGGATTATCCACATGACATAATTCCCCTCATAAATATAATCTTGAATTTACATTGGATATTTTTTACTTTTTCTAATTTAATTGAAAGAATGCTCCAGAAACACATTAGTCATATTTAACATTCATTATTAAGCAGTTATTTATTAAATAAAATTAATTAATAATATTTAATAGGAAATATCTAAATTTCTAGACAACATTTATTCATGGCCAATTTATGCCTATTTACTCTTACATCAGCATTTGCCTTCACTTTGAATGCCTTGATTTTATCTCCCTATTGTCCTGGATCACATCCCATCTCTTCCTTGGCTTTGTTTGGGTGAGGTTTGGTGAGCCAAAGCCTTGCAGAGCCTCAGTTTGTTTTGTTTTGGGGTTTATTTATTTATCTGGTCTCATGCCTGGAACCACCACCTTTCCTTGCTCTCCATATTGTACCGCTATCCTTTGTGCTATATCCCTATCCATATCTGTTTGGGTTTTACCCCTGCTCTTCCAGCTCTAACTTCCCTCTATTGTTTCCTGCCTTCCTTCTGCTTACACTATGGACTCCACCCCTAGGTCTCACTTCATTTCCTACTCATCCAGGTTCCAGATTTCCTTTATGAATTGCATGCAATGGAAGCACAGATGCTTTCCCCAGCACCACACCTGATGTTCACTGGAAGCAGCGGCACGGTGAGGAGAATTCAGCAGGGACACACCACCCCTGCCATATGTCACAGCTACGGGTGGAAGCATTCGTGCCACTGCATCCCAGCCCACCTTTGCAGGGTTGGAGCCACGACAACAGCAGCTCCTTTCGGTGACAGCAGAAGTTCTGGGAGGTGAGGTCTCAAGCTCAGGTTCGGTTCAGCAGCCCAGGGAAAGCCCCTTGACGCCAGGTGGCAACAGCACAGCTCAGCCAGGTGTGGCCCCTGGGCTGGGGAGGGAGAGGTGCCTCTCACACCCCTGTGCAGAAGCTGTGGCCACAAAGCAAACTGAGCATGACTGGCTCCACACTCACCCTCGCAGTGAAGTCCACGGCAGCACCCCGATTCAACAGCAACGTGGCTACATTGATATTCCCATAGTGAGCAGCTATGTGCAGGGGAGTGAACCCACTCTGCAAAATAAACAAAACAAGACACAACCAATAGATACTTAAAAAAAAATATAGCACTGGAACTCCACAATTCATGGCATATCACTGACAAAAGCTAGTAACAGGAGCCTGCTGCAAGTCACCACCCCAATTCTGTACTAGTTTTCACTCACTGATGTTTATTTATAGTATCTCAGAGAATCTAAATAAAATCACATTGCTAGGCAGGAGGGAAAAAAATTAACATAATTATTCTAGAAGAAAAGAAGTTGAATAAAACTTTCAGTTATTCCAGGAAAACAGCAGCAAAACATTTGAGTATTAGAGCAATGATCTGACTTTTATGAGAAATTAGCTTCTAACTAGAAAAATCTAGTTATTGGTATTATGTCAATCTTGCAAGTTAAATCTCTTAAAGATTCTTTGCAGAAGTTCAAATACAAGTCATTTAATGGTATTTGCTAACTGGTTTTTGTAAATTCAAAGTAGATGCAAATGAAAATAACATCAAAGACTATTTTAAATTATTAATATGGGATTTTTTTCCAAGGGTTAGCACCATAAGGACCAGTCTCCCACTGCGGGCAATCACACTGGGTTATGTTCAGACACCATGAGTTACCACCCTAATTAAAAGACATCTTACTGATAAAATTACTTCAGCAACTGATTTTCATGTTTAAGTAGTCTTACTTCCTTTTAAAATAATGCTAAAACATGCAGCAATTCCATCAGTCCTGCAAAGTATGAAACCTTATGGGAACTAGATGCATTTCTAAATTGTTAGCAAGCCATGCTAGCTGCCACCGCCTTGCTTTGGGAGTTTTGCAGCTGTAAAACCACTCTCAGATCATTCTATTTGCTGACACCATCAAGGTAAGTGTCATGCAGAAGCCTAGAATCAGACCTGGATGCACAACATGACAGGGTTGTCTGCAGCTCTGAGAACATCTGATAAACGTATGCTCCACGAGAATCCCTGAAAACTCCATCTCTCGTAATACAGCCCTTTTATGATGGCAGTTAAGTTCCCAAGAATGCTTCACTCTTACTTTTAAACTCTAGTTCCAGCTGCAGAGAGCCCTGGTCTCTAAACTACAGTCTTCTCTAGCACATGCTACTTCATTTCATCTAAAGCAGGTGTCTATCCTAAAATATGCAATGCAGACAGGAGGGAGAAATGATGCAGCAGCACTAAGTCATGGAGGAGTGATGATGCATAGATATATTTATATATACCTCTGTTGTTCTATTCACCATCATCTAGGTTAACACATTGGGAAGCAAAGAGGGGGAAAAAATGCACGGTTAGTCCACCACCGGTGACATGGGTGCGGAAAGCTTCATGATGGCTGTGGGGCACGGCAGCTCGGGGGGCAGCACGCCCGGCACACACGGGAAGCTCCACAGGGTGGAAGCAGAACCAGCGAGTACTTTGAGTGCTAATTGTACTTTGAGTGCTAATTATTACACGTTTACCCAAGTTCTCCAAGCAGCAATTGCACAGACAGCTGATCGAACGGCAACTGTGCAGTACCTACGGCGCACCACTGCTTTCAGGAGTGGCTTTCATTCCCGAGATAATAATTCAAATAATATTTTGTTTATTATTTTCCATTTGCAAGGTTTCTATGAGAGAAATTAACCGTGATTTAAGCAGAAGGGGAACGGGGGAGAAAGAGGCAAAGGAGGCAAATCAACGTTATCCTTTATCGGGTGTTAGAGGAGAAAGTTCTGTGTAACTGCAGCCAAACAGATCACACCGAGGGAGATCTCCCCTGGCTGTGGCCAGCACCTGAGAGCACCACAGCTCCTTGCTTCTCCCAACTGACCTTTGACTCCACGTCAGCGTTGTGGTCGTTCTGCAGGAGCAGAGCCGCCGCCTTGGTGTCGTCCTTGCGCGCCGCGATGTGCAGGGCGGGCAGGCGGACCTTCCCCTTGGTGTCATTCTCCAGCAGCAGGGAAACCACCTGGTCATGGCCTTGCTGCAAAGCTACTGCCAGAGGTGTGAAACCATCCTGCAACACACAACGGGCACCGTCAAGGTGAGCTCCAAACCCTCCATGGGGCGGGAAGGGGGAGCCGAGAGATCTCAGCCCTACGAACAGAGATGGCCCAAATTCAACCCAGAGTAACACGGTGTAAAAGTACCCTGCCATGACCCTGAAACTGGAGTAAAGTGCTGGTGAACAAGGTTCCAAATACCCAAAACCCCTTTCTGGCACACCAGACACAACATAAAATTGTAAGACACAAATGACTGAGACTCGATGAAAAAAAGCGTGAAATTACTCACAAATTCACAGTTAATTATACAGATACATATTTATGTGCTTAACTATATAAAAAGGTATTAAAAGCTGGAATATTAAAATTGCAATTTCTAATGATGTCTCAATAGTAAATTATAATCAATTCCTGACAGATTATAATCGACATTTTTATGATTATTTAAGAAACAGCCAAACAACTAAACACACAAAACCAAACAAAACAAGCTCTATCCTCTAACATAATTTATATATACATTTAAAATATAATAATTGATCAAAAATACCACATTCTCCTAATGTACCGATGTTCTACTACATTTTACCTTTATGAAAATTTTTATGATTTGATAGACAATCCTGTTACAAAAAAAAAGTTATTTCCTTTCAGATTTGCTAATAACCAAAATAGTGTAGAATAAAAAACCTGAAAAACAGAAGGTTTTTGTTTAACAGATTTTAGAGCAGATTCCTCAAACACATAAAAAGCACAGTCTGGGATTTATAGCTTTATATCTTAATTTTAATTTTATGTTATGGATTCTTATAAAACTAAAGAATGAAGGAGTTGTCATTTACATTCTGCTCTGTCCCAAATATCTGTCATTGCAACCCAGGAGCACATCCAGCTTTGCCCAAGATAATACCCATAAATCACTCAAAAAATCACAAAGGCAAACTGCTTTGGATATTTACTTATTCAGTTTGTCTCCTGATGAATATATCCAAAACCTGTATTACCAAACCTCATTGCATCTTAGCGAGCAAACACATAACCACGTAACTGTGAAATAAAAGTGTAGCAGTAACAGAGAAAGAGGTAGATCCTCACCCCATGTCAACAGTGCATAGTTGAAGTGTTAGCTTTTAACTTTTGGAATGAAAAGTAAGGTTTTCAAAATGGAATTTTTCCCTCTAGCTTCAAAACCAAGAACACCTCAATCAAGGATGAGAAACAGGAGGGGTCTTGAAAAAGAGAGCTTTTTCAAAATTTTTGAGGGGAAGAAAATCCAAAAAATCCACTTATATTCCTGGGACCTAAAAAGCAATTTCCACCACACCCTCCCTGCCCTCCGAGGAGTTTCATGCTCGTTTAACCAGGTTTCCGTGCTGCCTGCAGCTCCCCATCCTCCAGCAGCAGGGGCAGGCATGGGCCACAGTGCTGGGGTCAAGCAGCCACAGGGCCACGGGGTGTGAAAGATGCTCTGCAGCCCTGAGGGCCAAAAACCCTCCCTGAGCATCCCCAGAGAGGGCTCTGGCAATATTGCTCTGCTGTACAGGCAGAAATGGGGGCTCTTGCCTGCAGAAACCCTGGAGGCCTTGGCTCCCTGCTCTATTTACATATCCCAGAATTCAGCCACTGCACAGAAAAGTGGTGTAGACACCCACAACATCTTTTCTTCTAAGGAAATAGAACCAATTATTTCCTTTAATTACATTAAACCGCCATGATTAAATACTTACTTTTAAAGAGTATTTAGCTAAGTGACAATCCTTTAGTTACAAAAGTTTTTGCACTTAAAATGATAGAGAGAAATCAGATTTTTAAGAAAACTTGGACTAAGAGAAAATAAGAAAGAACCCATAAGAGCAACTATCTCAAACAAGGAGGCAATAAAGGTGTCACTGTTTTGTATTCTGCTATCTTCAAATAAATTCTCCATGGATAAAATTAGATTGCACCTTATCATCATGCTGAGATGGAAAAAAGTTCAACCTAAACTGACATACAGTGTTCAAAGGAAAAACAACACCAAACAAAAAATAGTCAAAAACCCTTTCAAAATTTTTTCTAATTTTTCAAAATCTCTTTTCAGAAAATCATATCGTGGTAAGTGACAATTTTTGACTAATTTTTCAGATGTAACATATTTTATTTTGGTATTTCTTGACTCTCATATCCTTGAGCATTTCCAGGAAGTGGTTCTGATGCACACTTCAAGTTATAACTAACTTTAGTGATTTTGGAAACACTGTTTTGATCCATTAGCAATTCATTTTTCACAGTGGAATAAGGAATAAGATTTCCTTTCTATACCATTATACAGTGATACTATCAGGTATAAGTGGCAAGGAACTAATTGTGCATTTCATATTTTTCAAAAACTAGGCCTTTTCTAAATAAGCATTGTTTCCTTCATGGAAGCAGTACTGGTAGAGCAATTAGAATTCAACAAATATTAAAGAAAGCACATACTGAAATACCTTTCTATGGTTTGGTAGCAAAATTTTGGTAATAAGACAACTGAAAATTCACCAGATTCAACACCTTTCTCAATGCCATATATTTACAACTATTAATATATTTGCTATTTATTTTCCACTCAAATTGCCTTATTTGAGTTAGAATTATTTTGTATTTGAGTTAGAATTTCTTTTTAAAGAAAGAAATACAAATTGGTCTTCTAGAAAGATCACAGAACACCTTCAAAGATGGATCCTGCATCTTTCTGTCAGCTTGAAGTTCTCCCTGCAGCACCAGTGGGGTAACTGGGTGCCACAGAGAGGGCACCAACATGGTAATGAGGCACTTCAGGAAATGCCCAAGCCCCAGATAACCCTGGGTTTTCTCTGATATTCCAGGGCTGGTCCAAAGCACAGGTGAACAGTTGTTCTTGTCTTATGGCTGCCACCCTTCTCATTGTTCCCTATTTTTAATAAAAGCACAGAGAACTTTTATATTATAGACACAGCTTCCCTGTGTGAGCATTTAACCTGAAAGATTAGCAGTTATGACTAAGAACACATCTATATTTAGAATTGTCTCTAGTGAAAGTAATTTTTTTTTATTTTAGAAATGCCAAGAGACAGTTTAAATTGCTGAAAAGCCCATAACTCTATTCATTAGCACACTTCACAGAGACAGCTTTTTATTCGTCTTTAATTTGGTATTTAAAAGACTAGTTTGATATAAGCTGGCAGAAATCACTGCTGAAACACATTTTGCTTTGTTCATAAAGTGTCAAATTCAAACTTTTACCTCTGTGGCAAGGCTTTGACTGGCACCATTGTCAAGAAGAAACTTAACAACCTCCAGGTGGTTTTCTTGGGCTGCCATGTACAATGGAGTGAAGCCATTCTGAAATACAAGAACATGAGTGTAAACATCTCACAAACATTTTATACATGAAACAGATCTGCAAAATGAGGGAAGATTAGGTGAAAAGTGAAAAAACTCTTTGCTCACAGATGATTTAATGGCATGATCTACACTGGCTTAAGTGAAGATGGGAGAAGGGCAATATTATTTAAAAGGACACAGAAGAATTTTTCAGCTGACCAGCTACAATTCCAACAGCTAAGTGAGAACAATTCCTTTCACATCTGTTGAGAAGTTAAGCTAAAAATCAATCTGGACAGATGATTTGGTGGCAATGAGTTATGATTCCTGATAAATACAGCTACAGCACTGGAAATTCAAAACAGGACAGGGAAATACAATACAAGTCTGTGGCAAAAGGAAGAGCAGTGACTCCTCAGAGTAATTGTCATTTTTTTTCTCTTCTTTCCATTAGCTTTGACTTTCCTTTCACTTGTGTCAGCTACTTCTGCTTTCCATCTCCTCAAAGAGCTGCCTTCTGAGCACACTCTGCTTCTGGGCACTGAGCTACTTCATATTTCAGGCACCAGGAGCTGTGAGGATCGTTGGTGCTCAGCAGTTTGAGACAGAGGTCTATCAGTGTTTCTGAACACATTAGAGCATCTCTCAAATTATGCTTCAGTGACTGATTTCAATCAATGCAATACAAGTATCGGAGGCTGCAGAGCTTAACTCATTCTTTGGTGAATGCCTTTGTCTTACAGTCAATGTTTCTGTCTTTGCCTTAACCATAAGCAGCCTGTGAGAAACTGAATTTTTTGGGATTAATAAGAAGGCAATGCATTTTTTACCTTTTGTTCTAAGAAATTCTGAAATCTCTCCTACAATTACACAGGTCACTGACTTAGATTTTGCAGAAAACCAATGGGGCTGAAAATAGATGAGCTGAGAGGAGTTTGCCCGTATGTTTACAACAAAGGAAAAACATCCACATTCTGGGCCCTGGGCCCTGCAGAGGCAGATCCACGGCAGTGAAATTGGGCTGAGCTGCAGGGGAGCAGCTGAGGGACACCTGATTGTCCCAGGGGCAGGGCACACCTCCAGCACCCAGCACAGGGGACCTGAGGCCAAGCACATGGCAGCAGGGACATACAGGAGGTCACAACAAAGGACATCTGGGGACAAAATGGATGCTGGATCCAAGAGGAACTTCACCAGCATCAAGGCGCCCAGCAGCTGTGAAGCCACATGTTTACAAGGCCTGCACAGGTGGCAGGGCCTGCTGCTGCTCCAGGATTTGATATTTTGGTCTCTGTGCAGGCAGGCACTGCTACAAGCACAGAGCAGGCACTGAAGGGCTCACAGAGCCCAAGCACAAAGTTAGAGATGTGTTTAATGCACTCTCCAGAACAGAGGTTCAACAGTTCAGTCACCATACAGTCAAAATTCTACTTAATTAAAAACCAGAGAAGCCAGGAAGCACTTGCTAAGGTACCTCCTATGTCACACTACAAGTTATTGCAGTGAACAGCAGTCTGGTATTGAGTCTGGTATTCTATGATTTCATGGCATATTCCATATCTATTTACTAACTCAGCTGGAAACAAAGATTAATTTTTTAGTTTCAAACATTTGCAATTAGGAAGCAGGAAACTCTACCTAAAAGCTTCGTGAAATAATTAATAGGCAAAAATTCTCAAAACCAAGTATTATTAGCATTTGGAGGCAGAGCTGAACCTTTTCTCCTATGTTAAGTTTTTGCAGGGTTTTCAATATCTTTCCACCCCACACTTTATACTTGTTTCTCTCTTTAAAAAGGGGCTGGAATTGCCAGACAGCCACAAGTCTGAAAAAAAACATTTTGTCTTGAATAGTAATAAATAACCCTTAGAAGAGGTATAAAATTCAGCCATAGCACAAATTTCTGGCTTATTTTTGGCTTTTTAACAGCTAGGATGATTTGGCTAGAGAAGGCCTAACACTGGAACTGTCAGCATGGGAGAGCTGTCACCTTCAGGGAAAGAAGAGACAAAGCTCAAGTGGAGCTCAGCACCACAAACCAAGCTGGTCCAGGGCAGTTTGGTGACAGAGAGCACTAGGGACCTCCTCAAAAGCTGAATCCCAGCTGGTATTGGTGTGGAATGGCCAATAGAGGTGTTACATGGGTGCTCCAAGTAAAGACTCCATAGTGGGGTGGGGGAGAAATAAACCTTTAATTCTGGCATGTTAGCAAAGTTAGAGTAACATGTGGCAAAACCTTAGGGTGTATGGACAATGCAGTTATATAAGATGTTTACAATCTCAGATTATTTTTAGTTTCAGGGATGAATACACAAGTTCTCAAACACAAGCTGAAAAGATCCTGTCAATCCCATCTTAAGTTCTTTAACAGGAAAACCATGGCAAATATTTCTGCTTTGTTTTACTTCTTAACAGGCATGGGAGATTTTACCTAAAAATAATTTGTTGTTGTTGTTTTCTTTAAATTTAAGTGATATGGTTCCTGGAATCAAATAGTGCTGTATTGAGCTAGTATAAAAGAGTAAGAAAGAAGAACTGAGTCATTTATTTCTTTTCCTCAGGTGAAAAAAAACCATGAAATATAGACCACAAATAACTAACATTTCAAAATAGATCCTGTTAAGCATTTTGTTCCTATTATTTGAAAGACCAATAAAACACCCCAACCTTCTTCTTTAATTTTTAACAAACATTTATTTTCATGCCCACATTTTTATAATACAGCAAAATGGTAATCCTGGGCCAGATGAGAAGGCTGTCTCTTCTCTGACACTGCCTGCCAGCCCCTGAGCAGGGAGAGCAGGAGTGGGGTGGCATGCAGGACGCTGCTGGCACAGCCACATGGCTTTCAACAATCTGTAGTTTATGCATTTTTCAAGCCAGTGTTTTTCTGTTTTGTTCTACTGCTTTGCTTGTAGCACCCAGTGCTGTTTTGTCTCATTTCAAATTCTCTATAACTGACCTAAACATTTATTCAAAGGACTTGAACCAGACTTACAAACTCTGCATGTGCCTGCAGTACCTCCCTCTACAAGGAAAAGGGATGGGCTCAACTGAGCCTGAGACAGTGAATGATGTGAAACAGGATCCCTCTGAACACATTCCCTCCCACTCTCCTGTTCTGGCCTTGTCTCCTCCAGCTCTAACAAGGAGCAGCTCATAGGGCACATCTGAGGTTGAACTCACTATCAACTCTATTTTCAAGAGCCAACATTACCACAGTAAGATCTACCAAATATATTTGCTAAAATCAGAGTTTCTAAGAGAAGAACAACCCTAGTGTCAGCAGTAGCAAACATGTGGCTTACCTGAGACTGTGCATTGACATTGGCTCGATTTGTAACCAGCACTTTGACAACTTCTGCTTGTCCGGCGAGGGATGCTATGTGCAGTGCTGTGTTTCCTTTCTGGAATTAGAGACAGGGACACTTGAAAAGAGTACAAAACCTGAGCCTGAATACATAACAATACCATCAAGAACATCTTCCACTTTAGAATACAGTATTTCTTGCTGAATACTTCCAAAGGTTGTGCTATTCTAGAAGACATGGCATGGACAGAAACCACAACAGGAATCTACAGCTTGTTCAGTAAATCTCCACCCCAGCAATCTGTGACATTTACTATTATCTACTATAATTGTTTCTATTAAGCAATTATTGAGACCCCCCCCCCTGCCCCAGCAGTGGAAAATGGGCAATTTCTGCTGCAGCAGTCTGCAATCACATGGCCAACACCTCGTGCCCAGGCCAGCAGTGTGAACAGGGAACAACCAGATAGGCTTGACTGACCTTTGTGGCTGCATCCACGCTGGCACCTCGCTGGATCAGCTCAGAGACAACCTCTACATGCCCTTCTTTGGAGGCGAGATGGAGAGCATTCAACCCATTCTGGTTGGGAAAAAGAAAAGCAATTAGAAGGATTACCAAGTGTTTTCCAGCTTACCAAGCATATGAGGAGACAAGTTATTACCACTCCACTGAAAGGACTGCTTACAAAAACTAGACTTAGTTAAACTTCACAAGAATTAGATTATAAGGACAGAGTAAGAATTAAACCAAGATAAAGTGGCTCTGGGGTCTCGAATTCTGTGTGCTGTTCCATGATCTAATGCAATACAAATGGAATGAAAGATAAGGTAGAGATAAGGTAGCACGATCCCCAAGTGCAAGTGATATGGTGTCTGGGTAAAGGACTTAAAACAAAAAAACCCAATTATTTAGATATGTAAACGTGGTTCATCAAAAACCACGTAAATTATCTTTGACATGAAGTGCAAATATAATGAGAGATCTGAGAAACAGCAAGAAAGGTATTTATCCAGAAAATGTGACCAAAATGTTCTTCAACCTGATTTGAGATGTTGATGTCCACTCCATTTTTTAGGTAGTCAAGAGCCTTTTCCAAGTTGCCAGCTCGAGCTGCTCTCAAGTAACTTGCATTTGTGTCAGACTGCAAAAAAAAAGGAGAAGTCCCATGAGAAATCACGGCACGGTATAAAAACACATTTCAGCGGCAAAGAAATTATTAATGACACAGCACATTGTACATCCACTTAACTAGACAGGAAAGGATCCCAAACCACCTTGTGAAACGTGGGTCAAACCCCAAGCAGGCAGCAGGGGGCTTGGCTCCACACATGACCATGAATTATGGAGCAGGGTCTCACACGCAAGGCCAGCAGCCAGGGGCACATCTGGCACCCCATGTGGCACACGGCCATGGGGAACCAGCCTCAGGAATGGGCTGCAGGGAAACCAACCATGCTGCTCTTCCCCAAGGCGCCACACCACTTCTAATGGCCAAGCTGAACAGACCCAACCAGTACTGTGAGAACTTATCTGAGAGATTAAAAAAAAAATTCAAAATACTCAACCTTGAAGGATTGGATCGGTAGAATTAAAAATCTCATGGTTCTACAAATGAATGTATTATAAAATTTCACATCTGCTAACATTTTGGTTTATTTTCTCCATTCTCCTTCATTTTATGGCACATTTTATTGACAATACCTGTTCACTTTCAGTGAAGAAGCCAGAAATTTACAGGTACAGTGTCATTTTAGAAACTGCATTTTCCTTTGTTTCAGACCTTGCATTAAAGATAGTTACTCAAATTTACTTTATGATGACTTCAGCTTGAATGTAAGGACAGCAGAAATGTTGGTTAAGCCATGACAGAATCACTGAGAGGAAGTCCCATCCCCAGAGGGTTTTAACAAGTTATGCAAATATCCAGGGAGGACAGTTTAGATAATGATGATCCTGCCTTGGAGCAAATGCAACGAAGGGGGTTAGCTTTCAAGAGGGACAAATCACACAATCTTTGATTTTATCCCTGCCACAGCTTTCCCTGGCAACTTAGGCAGACAACATATTTTTTGTGCCCTCTTCTAGACTGGTAAAGCAGGAGTTGTCTGTGTCCTTTCCCTCTCAGCACCATTTCATCCCAGGCTTAGATCAGTGCAGCTACAAGTGCATCGAGATGTTTTATGTTGCTCAAATAATTTCCTTTTTTTTTTAAATATCGAATTTCTGGATTTGCCATAGAGTTTGCTCCTCTCCTGGCAACACAGCCACTGCAAGCTGGATGTTGTGCTCAAGAATTGCTCCAAGCCCATCAGAAGCCTCCTTCACATGCAGGATGAAGCAGTCTTGGCATAATGACAGCAAAATGATAAGAGGATAGGAAATCTGCTTTTCTCCTTGTACCCATACAAGCTACAAGACCATTTTACTGGTACATCTAATAAAACAAGCTCTCCCCTCTAAGGAGAAAGCCATTACTTATGAACTCCTCATTTTCTCCCGAGTTTTGCACACTTTGCATTCCACTTTGCAGTGATAAGTCACCAGCTTACAGCCTTCCCTGCTCTTTATCATTCTTTTCCAAGCATGCCACGCTGATCATTACAAACCAGCTTCTGCAATGTCCTTCCAACAGCACAGCCCCCCAATCCAGCCCCCAAATACTGGTGTTCAGTCAGGCTTTCTGAAAAATAAGGTGCCCTTGCAAAGTAAACAGTCATAACTGTAAAGACCATGGGCAAGAAAAGCTGCCTTGAGAGCTGCTTTCATTTGGGAGATCATCTGAGTTGTGCAATGCAGATTATTACAGGAGACAGGTCATATTCTCAGTGCTTAGCAACAGCAGTCACTGGGGTAAAAAAACAGGTCAGCATTTTATCAGCATTACTAAAGGTAGGAGGGAGGACTCAATAGAGCGGGAGCCTCTTTGTCAGAGGGCAATGGCATCCCTGTTTGGCACAGTCAGCAGGGGGACCAGAATTAACATCAGCTGTTTACAGCTGCTCTGGGTGGGGAGGGGAAAATCAGATTCCAGCAGGCAGGCGCAGGAATACAGCCAGGCAAGGAGCACTGCTCCTCTGCAGGCACGCCCCAGCCTATTTGCTCAAACAAAATGGAGGGGGAGAGGCAGAAGCAGCAATAAATATTTGATAATCACATTAATCTCTAACTGCAATTTCACTGTGGAGGGAGAGCAATGCCTGTGTCTCTTACAGACTTGGGCATGACTTTTGGGCTTAGGGGTTCTGAAGACTTAACAGCTGTTACTAACATTAACAGGAGGAAGGATAAAGTTCAGGTCACAGTCCCAGCCTGAGGCCATACAAAAGTGTCTCAAACCAAACTATCTCAGGCGCTGCCCAAATCCACTCCTGGAATCCCTCAGCCAACAGCACGTCCTCCTTTGCCAGTCATCCCTCAAAACTCACTCCATAGCAGCCACAAGCGTCTAGCCACACCAGCAGCCAGGCTGCCATCCCTCAGTGGGGCTGGTGAGGTGTTGGGCCCAGCATCCTGCTCACCTGTCAGCCTGCACCAGTAACCCAGCACTGGTTACTGGTTAACTGTTACTGGTTTCCAGGTACCTGAACGTGACGTGAGCCAATGTGTGCGCGCGCATGGGCTGCCTTAGCACACAGGGTGCAACACGTCCCTGTGCTCTGAGAAAGGGGAAAACCTTTTTTGTCTGGCCTTGGCTGATGCTCCCCAGCCCACAGATGGGGTTAGCTCACCCTTTCTGGGCCACCACGCACAGGAGCTCTGAGATTTGCACAGAGGGAGAACAGACTGAGGGTGTACCATTGTGCAAACAGGGTTTCTGGGAGCCCGTCCATCCATTTCCACCTCTACCATCAGCAGAAACAAGCAGGAACATTAGAGAGAAAACAGAGACAACCTTGTTGGAAACCAAAAGTAGTTTCAGCCTCCCTAAAAGCAGCATTGCCAGCTTCCACTTCCCCTATAACTAAGGCATTACTTCAGACCTACCCACACAGAGGAGAGACTTGCAAGCTTTTTTCTGTCTCACAAAATGTCTTGAGTATCCTTATTAAGACATGTCACTTCCAAAACCACAAGAACCAATAAATACTCTCCATCCAAAATGTAAGGAATTGGTCAAAAACATCAATCCTAAACTTCTACATTTCTGAACCCAAAATTTCCAAACTTTACGTTTGTATTTTAAGACTAAATTTGTTGTTTTTCTTTTTTTAATACCTCAGTAGAATATGAAAATGTTACTTCAATTGGCACTGTTTTGTTTAAAAAACAGCCTCTTGGAGTCCCTGCTGGAGCCTGTAAATTGCCTCAGTATTATTACAGACAGAAACAGCACCAGAGCCTAGGCTCACACCAATGGAGGATTTTAAAGATCAAAGAAGTGCAATAATAACGTTAGTAATTATTTATCTGGATTGCCATCATTCCTGGAAGCCTATGTCATAAATTGATAAAGGACTGACATATGAAATGCATTAAAACCACAGTGCGGGGGGAGGGATCTTGGGTTTCCAACCATCACCCAGGACACCCATATGCTCCTGCCTATGGGCAATTCTTCTCCACGTGCCCATTCCCACCTTCCACACCAGTTGGCATCTGAAAATAAGAGTCCCACACAGATAGAATAGACATAGACACTCTGTCTACAGGACATTCTGCCATCAGACCTAATATCTTTATCCTTTATCCTATCTTTAGCTTTATCCTTCACTAATTAAACCTCAGCATCCTGCGAAGCATTCTGAATGCTTGCGGCCAGTTGAGATCCCTTTCTCTTTTTCTGTAATCAATCCCATTATGAAATGAAGATGAAAATTTGCTTTTGATACTCCAAGGTCTGGACAAATATCATGAGAACAACAGGCAAGGGACACACATCAAAGCACCCTGAATCTGAGATGCTCTTGCAGTCAGCCACAAAGATTGCAGCCCTTCCTGTGCAGCTCTTCCCTCCTAGGATTCCTGTGGCTGCTACCTTTTCAAACTCTACATGCAGACTAAATTTAAAAATCAAGATTTTTACAAGTGTTTTAATTCTTGGGGAGACAAACTTCAGGTGCTGTGCACAGCACTGAGCTCTGAAATGGCTATTCAGAGAATATTCAGTAAACAGTGGATTTATGGGAGTAGCAGTACTGGTGAATGCATAATACCAAGCTTTTTCTTCACAGGTGGGATGATTTCTCTCCTCTCTCCCCATACTTTCTTGGAAGAAAAAGGGACTGTTTCTAGTTTTCAGAAATGTGCAAATGTGCTCAACTGGCTAATGAAGGGGGGTTTTATGCAATGTGTATTTCTTTTAGATCCGTGTATTTCCCTTTAAGGTACACTGCTATAAAAACTCCCTCTCTAACGTACAGCAGGCTGATGAGCTTGCAGACTGCCTGTAGCACACAACAGGTTTTCCAGTCTGGAGCTCATTTTCATCCCAGGGACATCTCAGGAAAGGGCTGAGGCTGAATAAGCTGTGCTGGCAGCAGCACTCCATTTGCCAACCCTTCTTTACCTTATGGTCCCCTAGTCCTGCCACAAGATGAAGGGACCTGGGAACTGTTTCCCCATTTTCAGGAAAAGCTACATGAATTAAAAATATTTCTGTTACAGCAAAGACTAATGCCTAAGCCACTTGGATATTACCTTAAGCCTCCAGAAAATGCTGATGCTGACTCATGCTAGCAAATACATATTTACTCTTTTTCTTTAAGTGCTTCCAGAGAAGTAAGAGATTATTTATCAAGGCTAAAGAGAAAAAACTATTAGCAAATTTTCACTGACTGTGATCCAGGGTCTGGCCTGGTTTTCCATGGCATTAGAGAGAGCCCCTTAAGAAAACAGGGAATCTGTATTATTGAGTGAACCCTCTAAAGTGCAAAGCCATTATTTTTAACGTGCACAGGCCTCCTCCCATACTGGTGGTATTTTATTATGCTCATCTCTCTTTGCTTTGTGTTCTGCTTACAGTGGCCTCTTTTTCAGATTAAAAATCCAGTCTTTTTTTCACATTGGGAGCAGGGTTTTGTTTTCCACTCCATCTTTAACAGTAGCTGTTGTGAAGGGAAACCCCCAGCAGGTTCCCATTGTGCCAGACCAGGATGCATTCTGGCTTGAGTCCCAACAAAAAGATGCTAACCATGCCTAACA